TTCTCACACCAGAGTTCTCATTGCTCCTTGAACTACCAGGGCCTTTGCACCTGCTCTTCTTCTGCTTTGGAATTTCCCTCCCAGCCCCAGGTGGTGCAAGGCCTTGCTCCTCCTCTTTTTATTCTCTTCTTCAGCTCCCTGAGCCCTTGTAGTGCATTTGCTCTGTGGTACTTCTCACCACGGGGCCATTCTGCTGCGTATTTGTATATGTCTGCCTCCCCACGATAGAATGTAAACATAGGGCAGTGACTGTCCAATCTGTTCTGTCTATTCGCTGCTGCTGTATTCCCAGGCCCTGGCATAAAGTACCTGCTCAGTAAGCACGTGACCTATTTATTGAGATACACAGTGAGATGAGAGTGTTGTGCCCGGTGTGGAATTACCGCTCAGATGTGGATGGATTTGCACTTGCTTCCCATTTTGTTAAGACTTTAGAGGACTTTATTTTCATGCCCTTCTAACCTGCCACTAACTAAACTCATCTTTTAGGCTCCTGAAACATTCGAACAGAGACCTCTGGAAAACGTGTATTTACAGGCATCTGGACCTGAGGAACTCACAGGTTGTGATGTAGAGGTTGTTAGTTGTGTCGAGAACTCTGTGATTAGCTAGAAAGGGGGCGCATGGCCAAGCTGCAGACCTGGAGGAAGGACGTGCACATTCCTGGGTATCCAGAGTGGGTACTTCTGGGTATTAACTGTGCTTGAAGCTGTAAGGGACATTTCTTTCTTTCTTTTTTTTTTTTTTTTTACAAATAGTTTATTGTCAAATTAGTTTCCACATAACACCCAGTGCTCATCCCCACAAGTGTCCTCCTCCATCCCCTCCTCCCCCCACATCCATCAGTCCTCAGTTTTTGTCAGCATTCAAGAGTCTCTCATGGTTTGCCTCTCTCCCTTTCCCCCACCATTTCCCCCCTTCTTCTCCCCCTTATTCCTCAGCTAAGTTCCTCCTAATCCTCCTATATGTGCAAACATATGATATTTGTCCTTCTCTGCCTGACTTATTTCGCTCAGCATAACACCCTCAAGGTCCATCCATGTTGCTACACATGGCCAGATTTCATTGTTTCTCATTGCCATGTAGTATTCCATGGTATAGATAAACCACATCTTCTTGATCCATTCATCTGTTGATGGACACTTAGACTCTTTCCATGTTTTAGCTATTGTGGAGAGTGCTGCTATGAACATTGGGGTACATGTGCTCGTAAGGGACATTTCTGGAGCATCTTGCTCTTCCTTTGTCCCCATGTGCCAGACTGCTCAGATGACCCTTGGAATTAGAACCAATCCAGGTACTGAAGGAAACCTGACAGGGTTAATAAAAATCCCCAGTGCAGGTCTTTTATCTTTTTTTTTTTTTTTTTTAATATTTTTATTTATTTCTAGGAGAGAGAGAGAGACAGCGTGAGCAGGGGAGGGTCAGAGAGAGACGGAGTCACAGACTGAAACAGGCTCCAGGCTCTGAGCTGGCAGTCAGCACAGAGCCCGACGCGGGGCTCGAACCCACGAACCGCGAGATCATGACCTAAGCGAAAGTCAGACGCTTAACCGACTAAGCCACCCAGGCGCCCCTGGTCTTTTATCTTTTTATACCCTTTGTTCTGCTTTTAGAGACACAAGTAATCTTCATGACACATTGAATGAGTCATGTTTTTCAGGCTGGTGGAAAGTTTCTCAACTCTGAAGAGTCCAGGGAATCTAGTCCTAGGCCACTGGAGGGAAGCGTACTTCCTGGTGAAGAGTCTAGAAGAATACAGTCCTAGGCCACTGGAAGGGAAGGGCAACGCCCTGGCTGAGGGGAGCAGTTCTGGCTTCCTGGACGGGACATTCCTGGTGACGGTTATTCCCAGAGACGCGGCAAGCTCGTCTGTGTGCGCGCACACAGGCCCGGGCGCGTGTGTGAGTTGGAAGGAGGCCCGCCATGCGGACATCTTTGACTTTATCGGGTGGCGGGGAATTACAATTTAGGGGCACGAGTGGGGCAGAGAAATCACCCCAGTCCGTTTCATTTTCTGTACAAAGGGGGCCTGGAGGGGTTACGACTTGCCTGAAGTCCTCTGGGAAGTAGCAGAGGCTAGAAGGGTGGGTGTGAAAGCCGAGGCCTCCCAATTCCTAGTCCAGCAGAGCCACTCCGTTTCATTGCACACCTGCTAGGGCTGCGTGCCAGAGACTGCCTGCCGCCCCTCATGTAGCCCCCCCTCCCCCCGCTTTGTTTTCTAATTAAATATGAAGTTTTAAAAATATTTTACTTTTACTATACCTGATGTGGGGCTTGAACTCCCAAGCCCGAGTTCAAGAGCTGCATGCTCTACTGCCGGGGCCAGCCGCCCCCTCGCCCCCACGCCCCACGCATCCTTTGTTTTATCCTCCCTGCTTCACCTGCGGTAGGACTCCTGGTGGCCTTACCCCGGAGATGAGAACCCGACACAGCGAGACAGACTTGCCAGCGTCACCCAGCTAGCACACAGTAGGACTGGGATTCGATCCTGGTCCCGCAGCGCTGGGGTCTGGGTTCCTTGTGACGATAGTGGCCCATGAGTCCCTTTTAGCCGCCTCTGCCATAGTCTCTGGTCACTGCGTGTCTATCAGGGGTGGCTCTGGCACCCACGAGTGGGTGCGTGGCCGTGTCACACTGGGCTGTGTCCTGCTCGGGGGTCTGGATAGACCTTGTTAGAGAAGGAGCTGCTGCAGCCTCCAACGGTCGGGGCGCAGAGGGCGCATGTTCTGTCACGTTTCTGTACGGTCAGTGCGGTGTGCACATAGCGCGTGCTGCGTCTCTCACTCCCACGCGGTCCGTGTGCAGAGAGCATGCGCGCTGTCTCATTCCCGCGCGGTCCGTGTGCAGAGAGCATGCGCGCTGTCTCATTCCCGCGCGGTCCGTGTGCAGAGAGCATGCGCGCTGTCTCATTCCCGCGCGGTCCGTATGCAGAGAGCATGCGCGCTGTCTCATTCCCGCGCGGTCCGTAAGAAGAGAGCATGCGCGCTGTCTCATTCCCGCGCGGTCCGTGCGTGGAGAACGCAGGCTCTGTCTCACTCGCGCGTCGTCCGTGCGCAGGGAGCGCACGCTTTGTCTCGCTCCTGCACCACGAGCCCTCCCTGCCTTCCTTACCGTGAGCCCCCTGAGCAAACTCACAGGACAGGCATCTCCTGTGGCGGCTCAGAGTTTGTCAGAGTTGATTACAGGGGATTGAAGTGGGCATGAGTGTGACACGGAGCTGGGTTCGAGTCCTGGCTCAGCCGCTGTCTATGTGAGCCTGCGCAGTTCACTTGACTCTACTTCTCAGATTATTCAACATACGGACCTGAGATGCTCCACCTCCTCCGTGCTGGTGGAGTGAGGAGTACCTAGAATAAAGTCACAGAACGGCCCAGAACAGCGTGTGGCATGTGGCTCAGTGAAAAGGCACCTCTCGCAGGAATGTTGAAATATCTCCTCCGTGTCCTACCCCTTCCTCCTCCCTCCGAAGTTCAGGAGGAGATTCCAGAGATCTCGGGCGGTCCCACGGCCTCACTCAGGAGGCTGGACCTCGGCGCCGTGTGGTGGGGCCCGGGGATGTGTGTACAGGGTGTGTTAGTAAAGACGCGGAACTGTACAGACTGTTCAGAAGTCTTGGAAATGCCCCTGAGTGGAAATAGCATCTGGTGATTTCTTGGCACGAGTGGCAGGCAACAGATAAATGAGCTCAGATGTGACATTTGAGTCAGCACTTTGAGCCGCCTGAACTCTTGCTGCGTGCGGTTCAGCCTGGTGGGAGCAGGACGCGTCCTCGCACAAATGTGGCCCTGGTCATGGTAAGTTAGTCCAGTCCTGCGAGGAGGTTCCTGTGCACCTTGATAGCTGTCTAGGTGTTTAGTAAGCAGTTGACATCGTGATTGGAAGACCCTGGTGACATAGCCTCTCTAGGCTCAGGAGTACTCTTTTGTCCCGCAAGACTGTACTCCAAGGGTGGAGGGGAGTCGGGAGGGCAGGCAAAAAGGCCTAAGCCTGACTCCCCGTCCCACCATACCCCAACTGTGTGGCCAGGCCACATCATTTCATTCAGTGCCCTGGTGCCCCATCTGTAAAATGGGAATGGTAGGGCCTGTGTGCGGTAGCGGCAGACACCTCGCTCGGAACATTGGTGCTATCCTTGGGGTAACTGGTGTTCTAATTCTGAGATTTGGGGAGGGGGAGAAGGACTTGGATGCCTAATCCAGTAGATAAGAATGGAGCTGGGATTTTTGCAGCGTTTGAGGAATGGTTTAAGAATAGGAAATGCCAGGGAAACCTAGCTGCCTCTAGATATTGTGCATGTTCGCAGGGTTCGGGCAGGATCTGGGTACCACATGCCGAGAAGCAGGGCCCTCTTGGCCTTAGTGGGTGGAAGACTGTACCTGATAATGGTGGGGCCTTTCCAGCCCATGGAGGGTGAGCAGCGGCTGACAGTCTGGATGAGGAAAACAATGAATGCTATGTGGGGGGCCCCTGTCCGCCTTTGAAATGTTTTCCAGTTGGGTCTCTATATGGAACCTGGTAGTGGGGCCATGCAGGGAGCTGATACACTGAGGTGCTCAAATATGAGCTGAATGGATGGTTGGTAACCTGTTGGGAAAAGTGTTTCTAACAGAGGGGACTGTTCATCAGCAGCCTTCATACAATAGGAGGAAGTGAAGCCTTGGAGGTAGAGGCAGATGTGTTTCCGGGGTCTTAGGGATATAGGAGTCTGAGGCATAGGGAAGGGATGGCAGGGGGAGTTAAGATGAGAGAAACTGGGGCAGGGGTGAGGCTTTACCTGTGCTTGGGCAGATAAACAGGAGTGGGGTGGAGGGAGGACTCTGTGGCCAAGAGGAACTTGGTCTGGAAACAGAGGGCTAAGCTATGTTCTGTCCTGATCCTGTCTTCCCACCAAAGTGCATCAGCCACATCAGCTTTTGTACAGGGACCAGATGTGGACACTGTCTTGAACTTAGTACTTTGTTAGCTAAAAAATGCTTCCTTTCATTTTTTCCTCTTAGTATCCAGTGGAAATCAGGAAGTATGAGTATGACCCAAATTTTGCAATTCGTGGACTTCATTATGACGTGCAGCGGGTAGGTTTCATCCTCATGTTCTTTTACAGTTTGATAGTGTTTGGGAATAACATGCACTCTTGGTGCTTTTCTTTGCTGATTTTCAGTTATATTCTTTGGGGCTGCCGAACCGAATTATTAAAAAACCCATCTTTTTCAGAAGTCTTTTTCAGAAGATTGTGTATTAGAAAAAAATGAGTGAATGCATTTAGCCATTTGGAAGATACTGTTTATTTCTAGAAGGAAGAGTCAGCTGTCATACTGTTTTTGCAGATTTTTTAGTCATTTCCGTGACAGGCTGCACAGTGCTTTCATCAGCAAGCAGACCTGTCAGAAACACTCAGTGTGCTTCCTTGTCCTGTCAGCCTGGCGTCTAGAGGATTCTTACTGATCCCCTACAGTTCTCATTAAATATACTGTGTGTCTGGTTATTCACCTGTGCATGTGTTTATGTTTTTGAAGGCAGTTTTGATGAAGATCGATGCTTTTCATTACATCCAGTTGGGAACCGTCTACAGGTAAGAGTCAGAGGAGGTAAATTTAATTCACCCAAGGTAACCAAGTGGCTTTGGGGTTCAAGACGCACTGACTGCTTAGCGATGAAGAGGGTTGCAGTGTGTGTATTTGTGATTCATTCACTCATTCCTTCAAGAACATTTATTGGCACTAACTATCATCTCAGGCCCGGAGGGTTTGGCTTACAAGGATGCCCCAAGGAGCCTGGAGCGTAAGTTGGAAGCCACATAAATAAACCAGTGACTGCAGTCCAGAGTGACCAAGGCGATGAAGGACTGATAGACATGTGCTTAGACTCTGAGGGGGTGTTTTGGGGACTCTGCGGGAGGACGGGCTCTCTTGAGGTGCCTGTCTGCCAGCTGAGGGAGGGTCCTGGAGTATGGGTTTGCGGGGGAGGGATGCCGGGGTTAGGCAGCGGGTCTTTGTTCCCACCACGGCTGTTGAGTAGTTTGGATATGAAGACATTTCTCCCCATTTATTGGAATTAGTAGAAGCACTTAACTCAGTTTCAAATCTTTGTAACTGAAAATGAAGGATTTTGCCTTTCTAATTCTTGAATTTAGGGAGGATTTAGGAGTGTGGTTATTGTACCTTAAAAAAAGAGGTGTGCATATCAGATTTTTCTTTCACAAACTCTTTATTTTTTTAACAAATTTTTTAATGTTTATTGGTTTTTGAGAAAGAGCAAAAGTGAGCACAGGGGAGGAGCAGAGAGAGAGGGAGACATAGAATACAAAGCAGGCTCCAGGCTCTGAGCTGTCAGCACGGAGCCCAATGCGGGGCTCAAACTCATGAACCACGAGATCGTGACCTGAGCCGAAGTCAGTCGCTTAACCCACTGAGCCACCCAGGCACCCCACAAACTCTCTAATTAAAGTTAACATTTTTTTTTTAATCCAAGTTAAATATGTTCACAGAATCTGGGCTGAAAGCGTCATGGTGGACAGCCCTAGCCCTCTGTCCCCACTTACTCCCCAACTCCTTTACACTCTTGATTTTTGTGTGTGTGTGTTTTTCTTCCTATTTCTAAATAATGTGCTTATTTTCCATATTTCTGTTTCCTAACTTATTAACTCTGGACATCATCTCTGCCACGGGACAGCACTTGGTGTGCGTACATGCACTATTTCTGCCTCATTCCTAGAGCCTCATGACAATCCGTGTCTGCTTGTTTCTCCAGCATTGGTCAGTGTTTGCATTATGACTCTGCACATCTTACTCCTTCTTACGCCAGGTCATGCACCGTGACCCCTCTCTTCTTGAACAGTGCTTGCCTTTTCTTAGATTTAATAATAACATCATTTTTTATTTGCCTCATTTTCTGTAGCGGTGTCCCTAGCTTTTTCTAAATGCTCCGTCACAGATATCATCCATGTGTTTATTTCGCAACAATTCAACAAATGTTTTAGATAACCTGTTAGTTACTTTTTTTTTTTTTTAATTTGACTACCCTCCTTCTCTGATCGCTCATCCTGGGGCTTGCGTTTGCCTCTCTCCCCATTCCCTGGTTCCCTTCTCTTCCTCTCTCTGGCTTTACTCCCTCGTCTTGCTGGAGCACATCCCGTAGTAGCGCCCGGTGCCTCACGGGGCTGAGCCTCCCTGGGTAGCCACGGTGGTTATTCAGTTCCTCTCGGGGCCTGTTCTTCTCAGGCTGGGTCAGGAGCCTCCTTGTCTGCTCTTTGTCTTACACAAACATGTTGACATGTCTTGTCTCCTGTCTTTGCTCTCATTTCCTTTCACTTTTTGAGTAGTTTGTTCTTTTATTATCATCTTAATGGCGTTCCGGGACAGAGAAGAGCCGGTGGTGTTTATGAGAATACCAACAGGTAATAATACTAGCCACTAGGAAACATAAAGTCTTGCTTCAGCACACACACTGCCACAGGGCTTTATTTCACTTAACTCATTTGATCCTCAGAATAACCTTGTGAGGTCTGCACTAGTGTTAATCATGGAGGCCTTAAGTAACTTGCCCAAGGCTACACAGAAGTAGGATTCAGACCCAGGCCGTTTGGCTCTGGAGCCTGTGGCTTGGCCTGTGTCGGCATGACCTCTGTGAATGGATTAGGTTAACTAGAAATCCTTCACCAAATCTTTTTTTTTTTTTCTTTTTTAATCATTTATTTTTGAGAGAGATAGAGCGTGAGTGGGAGAGGGCCAGAGGGAGAGGAGGACACAGAATCTGAAGCAGGCTCCAGGCTCTGAGCCCGACATGGGGCTCGAACTCATCCCTTGTGAGATCATGACTTGAGCCAAAGTTGGACGCTTAACCGACTGAGCCACCAAGGCGCCCCTCACCAAATCTTTTGAATCTGTCCCTCTGTGTCCGTTCCTGCTATCAGCTCCCTGGCTCAGACTCTTAGTCCTTTCCTCCTGGGCTCTTGCAGTTTTCTGCAGTGCAGTCTATCCTGGGCGTTGTTGCTGGACTGATTTACCTAAAGTGTTGCCCTCAACAACCCCCTCTCTTTTGTCAAGTCTAGAGAATGGAGCCCCACTGTCTAGAGAATGGAGCCCTAATTTCTTAGGCTTTCCATCAACCTTCTCTAAACCCATATCTTACTCTTCTTCCACACACAGCTCTTTCACTTCCTGGATTGGTTAAGATTCTTGGTTAGAAGTTACTAAAGCCTAGCTCAGACTGACTTAACCAGAAACGCAGCATCGGCTCACCTGGGCAGAGCGAGGTAGGAGATGCCAGCCGAGGCATTTGGAGAAGGAGTGTCCAGGTTGAGGTCCTGGGGCGGTCGCTGTGGCTGCAGTACCGAGGGGATGTGTGGGCTGAGTGGGCTCTGGAGTGTGTGCATATGGGTTCTGGAGTCACACTTCCTGAGCATGGACACCACCCCCACTCCTCACATGTGTGTGGCCTTGAGCAAGTTTTTGATCTTCCCAGAGCCTTGGTATCCTTCTCTGTAAAACTGGCATACCTCCGCTGCCTGCCTCAGGGTGACTTGTTGTGCAGACCAGAGTGTGCTCAGAGCAGTAGAGGCACGCGAATGCTCTTCCCTTTCCCTTCGAAGAGGGGCAAGAATGAGCCCATGGCTGGGCAGAATGCCCCCTCCTCATCCTCACCTGTTTCTGAGACCTGCTGCAGTGTGAATTTCGTGTTGTGGGCTGTAGGAGTGGATGCCACAGGGCAGAAGTGGAGGCAGACTGGCTGTCCCCCAGCTCCATTTTGTACCCACAACTTAAGTTCTTCCCAGGGACCTTGTGAGGTACATTTGCTCTCGTCACAGGCACATTTGCTAGTGTCTCTTCTGTCTTCTCAGTGAGGCCAGGACGTAGATGCTGTTATTATTCCCCATTTTAAAAATGGCACCGAGACCCAGAGAGGTTAAATTGCTTGTCCAGTTGATACCCCTACTAAGGAAGCTGGGATTTGAACCCCAGACAGACTCATTCAGATTTGCACTCCTAATCTTTCTATTTCTTGCAATCACGCAGGGCTGTGTAAGTAGTTTCCTTTTTTTTTTTTTTTAAAGTTTATTTATTTTGAGAGAGACCGACAGAGTGAGCAAGAGAGGGACAGAGAGAAAGGGAGACAGAGATCTCAAGCAGGCTCCACACTGTCAGCTCAGAGCCCAACGCTGGGCTCAAACCCACAAACCATGAGATCATGGCCTGAGCTGAAATCAAGAGTCGGACGCTTAACTGACTGAGTCACCCAGGCGCCCCCCAAGTAGTTTCTGTCTTGATCCTAGCACTGCCTGAGGCTGCATCCAGGTGCAGCCAGTCCCCAGCCCTAGGCTGTCGCAGAATTCAGCTGGCTGCAGCTGCCTATGTCCCTGCTTTTGAGCTGACCTCTGGTTACTTGGGCCTTAAAGATGCAGCTTGTGCAGTTCTGTGCCTGTGAATGTGTCGTAGGGTAGTGTCTAGTGTGGGGGCAGAAAGGGGACTCACTCAGCAGAGTTCTTTCACTTCTGGTTTCTTTCTAAATGTTAGGGCTTCAGGCATGTACACACCTGGGCGCTGATATTTGAGCAGGAGCTTTGCCCCAAGGTCATTGATCAGGTCATTCTGGTCACAGTGCCCCCGTTGTAGCAAGTTAATCAAGATTGGGAGCAAAGTGTTAATGAATCCAGTCCCCTTGGGTATTTTTGTAAGTCTTCTGAGGGTGGAGAACAGAGGAATTAGATTCCCGTTACACTTGCGTGTCTGCCATCAATTATAGTTTGTACTTATCGTTGGTCAGGTGATTTTATGTGATTAGCAGCCTGTTCATATTGGTAACTAAGACTCTAGTTGCACTGTTTGTACTCCCACCGTGGCACCGTGTGGGCTCTCCCGCATTCATTCTGTGGTCTCCTCACCGTTGGTGTCTGTTTCTCAGGCACCTTCCCTAGAGAACTGTCCGGGGAGCAGCCACTTTTCTCATGACACGCTAGAGTGGGTAGTGCCGGGGAGGGGGGGATGGCAAAACATGAAACCCCCAGTGAAAGCACCACTCACAGCGCCGGCGGCCGAGGCAGGGTGAGATCCTGGCCACTCGGACTCCCACAGCCACCTTTCCCTTTGTGGAGGGGCTGGATTGGCTCGCAGATTGTGCTGTGGCCCCCGGAGGCAGGCCCACGGCAGATGGCACCCTGGCCGTTTGTAGATGAGGATGCTGGCCATGACTGTCACATAGCATCTGGGGTCATCCCTCTTGGAGGTGGCATCCAGGCTTCCTGCCTTGTATCATGGGGTTTTAGTCTGCCCGAGCCTCAGGCATGGCTTTTCCCCACTGAGCACTGACCGTGGGTTAGAGTATCAGAGGTCAGAAGGGTGATAGGGGCAAAGCTAGCCTTTCTCTCCCTAATGTATTAAAAACATAAACATGGAAACAAAGACCTACCCCAAAGCAAACCCTACCCCAAAGCAAAGGAAGCCTTGTGCTTGATTGAGAGAGGCAGCGTGGCATCGTGGATGAGGAGCCCAGGCCCTGGAGCCAGAAAGCCTGGGGTCTGGTCCTGACCCACTACTTTCTTTGCTGACCTTGACTAAGATATGTGACCTATCTGGTTCTCAGTTGCCTCTGCTGGGAAATGAGAGGATAATAGTGCTTCCCTCCTAGGATTGCTGAGAAGTAAGTGAATGACTGTGTGGAATTCTTATATGGCATCTAGTAGGTATTATTTTTCCTGCCCTTATTACCAACGGCATGCTGGTAGTAGTGATAGTAATTGCTTCTCGCCTGTTATTTGTCGCGGTTACTAGAGGCACAGTTCACCTGCTTGTGAAAGTGGCGTCTTGTGCCTCAGCTGAAAATCCTGGCAGTTGCCAGAGGCCTGAAAATCACTGCTCTTGCTAGGTGAGTCTAACTGCACCACCTGTGATTTTTCCAGAGGCCTCAGCGTTGTCCCTGATGAAGAAGTCATTGAAATGTACGAGGGGTCCCACGTGCCTTTGGAACAGATGAGTGACTTTTATGGAAAGGTAATGAGAGATTTTTTATTTAAGGCAGCCTGTCTGTTTCCTTCTTGAAACATGGCCTGGTAGATTTAGGATCTCTGAGTGTTCCTGCAGAGCTGACAAGGGCATTTGGGACTGATTGGAGAGGCCCTGGATTTGAGAGAGGCTAGTATGTTGGTGGTGCTTCTAGGTCCATCATGGTTCCCCTTTCTTATCCCTTTCCTCCCTACCTGCTGAAGGCTCTTTACTCTTTCCTTGTTTCTGCCCTTCTCTGTCCCCCTGACCCCATCCCAGTGTGTCCCCTCTTTCTGATGAAGTCCATGTAGCAGTGGTCATTTTCCCGGAGATCAAAGATAACAGGTCACCCTGTGCCCTGGGGAAGCCTCTGCGTCTGACTTCTGTCTCTGGACTTTTGCTCCTTGTCTTATTTAGGTGGGCTTTTGTTTGCATTGTTAAAATACAATGAAAGATGCCCGGTCAGCTGGTAAACTTAGGGCTATGAATCACAGGCCTTCAGAGAAGAGCTCTTTTTCAGGCTCCCGTATTGGCTGCACGGGGGTGCTCACATTCTGGAGAGTTACATGGCTCTTTCTGCCATTCTCCGGGCCATGATCGACCTTTCGGCTTCCCTCTGGGTTTGGTGGGAGAGTATGAGCTGGAAGTTGGACAGGAGTGTGACAGTGGTTAGACTTTTGGGGGGAAATCAGAGCGTTTCCTTGGATTTTCCAGTTACACTTAGAGTAGGGTGTCAGTTGTGCTGGGAATGAGAAGAAAAAGGTGAACACCTCTACTTTGTTACCTTTTTCTTGGGGAGAGAGATCCAGACGTTGATGGCCAGAGCCTCCCCCGGGTAAATGTCAAGTCTGGCTCTGCTGTGGTGTTAGTCTCGCTCTGAAGTATTCCTCCCTGCCTGCAGAGCTCTCATGGAAACACCATGAAGCAGTTCATGGACATCTTTTCTCTGCCAGAGATGTCACTTCTGTCCTGTGTGAACGAGTACTTTCTCAAGAACAACATTGACTATGAGCCCGTCCATCTGTACAAAGACGTTAAGGTGAGAGGTGGCGATGCCGCGTGTCTCAGGCGTTTTAGCAGAAGGGACAGAATAATCAGCCTCTTCTGTTAGGTGTTCGAAACAGTCCTTCGCTTGGGACCTCTTTTATTTACAGCTCTACCTTGAAAATTGTTAAGAAAGATGTTACATCAGGACACTTGGAAACCTGTCTAATTTCGTCTTAAAGGAAGAGAGTACTCACATGTTATCTTTCTGACCAAAGGCTAGGGCCAGTGCCTCTGTCAGAGGGGCAGGTGGTGGCTGAGGTCCAGCTCGACCCAGCTCACCCCTGAGCCCGCCCGGGGAGAGGGTGACGTCGCACCAAGGCTGCAGCCCATGGGACTACAGTGGCCCAGGGCGGGGCCTTTCTCTTGTCCCCAGAGGTTACATGGGGGCCTTCGAGACCCTGCAGAAGCTACGCAGGACCCCAGTGGGGGAGGTGGATATACAACTATGAAACTTACACACATATATATGCACATCACTTATGTATCTTCACATTTATATATTTTAATTCGTATTCACATACCTGTGTGTTTATGTGTATTCTTTAAGCTGTCTGAACTTTTTTCAGTACTTAAAAACATGTTCATGTATTACTTAATATATACTTTCTAATATGCTTTCTAATATATATTTCAAATTTTTGCATATATATTCATATATGTAGTATATATTGTGTATTCAAATTTTTTTCATGTTTATCTGAGAGAGGGGAGAGTGAGCAGGGGAGGGACAGAGAGAGAGGAAGAGAGAGAATCTCAGTGAAGCCCCGATGAAGAGCTTGATCTCATGAACAATGAGATCATGACCGGAGCCAAAATCAAGAGTTGGATTTTCAATTGACTGAGCTGCCCAGGTGTCCCTAAGTACTTATATTTTTAAAAGATCTGTATTTGTGTACTAAAATGCTTTTATGCTTATATGCTTATGACTGATTTTAATGGCTGTCTAAAATCATGGGTTTTAGGAACATGAAGGATGAAGTCTAGTTTCTCAATATTAGTCTGGTATTATTTGAACTAATGTTAAATATTCAGCTTCTGTTCTCCTTTTGGTGCACAGAAATACTTTATCTTTAAGAGTCACTTGTAAAAAAAAGAAGAATCACTTTTAGTTATATAACCCTTTGCAGGCATGAAGAGAGATGTTTATGCACCAGTATATTCCAGGCACTGTTTTTCTGAGTGCTTTATGCATATTAACTAATTAAATCCTCACAATAATGCCTGGAGGTAGGTACTATTTTTACTCCATCATTCTACAGTTAAAGAAATTGAGGGATGGAGAGGTTGAGTAACTTGCCCAAGTCACATAGCTAGTAAATGGTAGAGGTTAGAGTTCAAGCCAGGAAGTTTGGCTTCAGCTTGACCTTAACCCCTGCCTTATGTTGATGTGAAGTTGAACAAGCCTGTGCAAGAAGGTGATCAAGACTGAGTTTACAGTCCAGAGGTGCTCACTTGACAGAAGTCTCCCAATTTTCTAAGGCTTATGGCCCAATTTTGCCTGCAGCCCAGTCCCCTGCTGAGCCCTCCAGTAAGTTTCCATGTGCCTCTGGGCATGTGGCCTGGGTAGTAGACCTGCTTAGCGCCCCCCGAGAGTTGGGCTGTGCTCTAGAGCTGCCAGCCTGTGGCTGCCACACTGTGGGGCATGTGGGGGGTGGTTAGCCGTCTCCCTGACACTCCCTCGCCTGACTGAACTGAAGATCCTGTCCTTGGTCGCGACCTCTTTCTCTAGAAGATAGAGCCTGCTCTTGGGGTCTAGGGCAGGGTGGAGGATGAAAACACCAACGATTCCCTTTCTCCAGATGCCCTGGAATTGTTTGTTCATGATGCTGCATATAAATTGCCATTTATCACGTGGGCCTTTATTCAGAATTGTTCACACAAGTTACCTCCTCCCAGTGACCCTTTGGAAAGCTGCATTGGAACCTGCCACTGTCACCATGGAAACCTAAGTTTTCCCCAAGGGGCCGCCTGTGCTAAATGGACCAGAATCTAGATCTCATTTGGTGCCTGGATCACCAGGCTTCTAACGGCAGACATTGTCCCAAATGCTGTCTCGCTTGTCCTGTAACTCGGGTGACCTCACTTCTAGTTTCACTGACAAAACAACCTCTCTTTGAACAGGATTCAATTCGAGATGTGCACATCAAAGGAATCATGTACAGAGCAATTGAAGCAGATATTGGTACGTATGCAGCATCATCGTGAGGGCAGCCTTTCCCTCTGCCAGGCCACGGACAGCCATTTGCCTTCATTTCTGGGGCTCAGGGGCTGGAGGGCCCTCCCAAGTGCAGTGTGAGGACCTGGCTTCCTCACAGCTTGGACATCTTCCTCCCCTTTGTCTCAGAACTTGACATTGTCCTGACTCAAAAAGAGAGCTGTAGGTCTAGTTTCACTTAGACCCAGGAGGCAGGGTCTTGTTCCCGATGGACCGGGTAGTGGTGTGCCACACTCAACTGTGCCGCCTTAAGACTTTCCTTCCCCCCAGTGCCCAGGACAGTACCGGACCCACAGGCCCTGTTTAGGAAGCACCTGCAGACCGACGGGCTTCATTGCTGAGTCTGTGTGTGCATTTTTCTCTTGCTCGCAGAAAAGTATATCTGCTACGCTGAGCAGACCCGCGCGGTGCTGGCCAAACTGGCCGATCATGGCAAGAAGATGTTTCTCATCACCAACAGTCCCAGTAGCTTCGTGTAAGTTGTTGTGGGCAACCTTCCAGCTCACGCCTGTATTCCCACTTACCTTAACAGTTGCAAATTGGACAGAAAAAGTTGCAAAAGTGGTTAATCCCTCTCTTGTGAGACTAACTGGGCTGACGTGTCATTCCAGGGACAAAGGGATGAGGTATATTGTCGGAAAAGACTGGAGGGACCTGTTTGATGTGGTCATCGTTCAGGCCGAGAAGCCAAACTTCTTTAACGATAAGCGGAGGTGAGTGTCTGTCTTTCCGGGAGAACTAGATTCTAGTCCTTTGCTGCCGTGGATACTTAGGTAGTGTGCCTTGGTAAAATCTAGTTGGAAAATCAGAAGCATCTGACATTACAGCTTTTGATTTTTAACCTTCTAGCAAGTAATTGCAAGGAGAGTGAGGTTGTGCACAGCTGACGGCTTGAGACTGTTCCCACTTCAACCTGAGTCCTATGAGTCAGGCTTTAAGAAAACTATGGGCAGCAATGAAAAAGGCATACATAGTGTTAACATCATAAGTTACACTTCACCGTGCAACAGGGCAACAGCAACAGTGAAACCGCCTGGTGGGTATTTTTCTACATACAGCTCTAAGGGGTGCATTTAAAATTCCAGCTGGATTTTGCAAAACTCTGCAATACAGGTTCTGTGTCAAATGGAGTGCATCTCTACCAAGACTCATGTGGTGGCGTTCTAACGGTGACTACAGTGTGTTCTTAGCATTCATAGGTGGGGATCAGGGATCCTGAAATGTCTTTAATGTGTGGAACCGACCTCTTCACCAAGAGTCTTCTCCTCCCTCCGCCCCGCCCCCCCCCCCATATCAATAGTGTTGACAGTTACTGCACTGGGGTTATAAAAATAATCTGCATTTTGTATAAAGAAGCACGTTTATCCACTTTTATCTGTTCCGCGGTTGGTAACTGGGCAGGCTTTCCCTTTCTGCCAGGTGATTTATTTATTTTTTTTAATTTTATTTTTTTAAAATATTTTTTTATTTATTTCTAGGAGAGAGAGAGACAGCGTGAGCAGGGGAGGGTCAGAGAGAGAGGGAGACACAGACTCTGAAATAGGCTCCAGGCTCTGAGCTGGCAGTCAGCACAGAGCCCGACGCGGGGCTCGAAGCCACGAACCGCGAGCTCATGTCCTAAGCGAAAGTCGGACGCTTAACCGACTAAGCTACCCAGGCGCCCCGACTGCCAGGTGATTTAAAGTATCATAATTCAGTGCTCCTTAGTTGGTGTTGAGTGGATTAAATTCCTCTTGGGATCCTAAATTCCCATTTTCCAAGTGTCACAGTGATTCCTGAAGGAAGAGGCAAACCCAAGAGCCATGTGCAGAGACTGAGAATTCAAGGGAGTGAAGGAAAACTTAAGAGTGTTGATCAAAAGTAGCTATACACTGGCTTGCTGCTTTCTCATGGACCAAGTGCTCTCCTGAACTTTCTTATTAGATCCCAGGTGTGGTCAGGACAAGGACCTCATCTCCCCTTTCAGTAAGAATGCCCTCTCCACGTTGCGCTTATACACAGTGGCAGAGCGCTGTCTTAGACTGTTTCCTGGGGGAGGGGTGGGCAGCACCCCTCACTCCCCACCCCCCTCACCTCCTGCACCCATTTATTTTGCCTTTGTTCTGCATGCCTGCAACACCTCTGTTCATCCCATTTTACTTCTAATGATGGCCAGAGACAGCCTGAAGGGACAGCCATAGGAGGAGATACTATACAGCCATAAAAAATAATGTATTTAGGGAAAAAAAGCAGTATGCTTGTTTTATGACTATAAAAAGCAATGTAGGAAGAATATATAATCATGCAGGAAATTGCTCACGGCATTAGAGGAGAAAAAGATATCAATCAGTATACACAGTAATCCTCATTTATATTTATAAAAAAGAGAAGGATAATAGATGTTATCTTTATAGACTAAAAGATACCTACTGAAATGTTAGGTGTTTATACCCGGGCACTGGGATTATGGGCCATTTTCCTTTTCCTCATTATATTCTTCGTTTTCCAGATTTTTTGCCATCATCTTATATTTTTTCTAATCAGAAAAACAATCCAAATAAATGTTACCTTAAAAAAGGCAAATGGACTGCATACTTTGGACTCTATTCTTTTTTTTTTTTTCTTTTTAATTTTAAAGATCTAATTGGCCTTATTGATTCATGAATCAGGGCGCATCCCATCTAGTAAGTAGAGAGGAGCTTCTGAGGTCTCTTATTCCCATTTTCCATCATAAAATGATGTATACCTCATCTTCAGATTTGTTTTTTATGTAGAGTGGCTGAATTTCAAGTACCAAGCTTGACACACATACTGAGGCAGTATTTCCAGAACTTTTTTTTTTTTTTTTTTTGCAAAGCAGATTTTCTTTGTGATCAAATGCATTTAGGAAATCTGGATTAAAGAAAGTTCTGTACTGGGTGGGCTTTTCAGAACCATTGATGACTTTTTAAGAGGGCCATTAGTAGCGCCTAGTGTTTTCTAAATTTTTTTGACCCTGGAGTTCTTTCCTCCCTTAATACCTTTGGATACCAGGGTCTGCAGTTGGATGTGTGCACTGAACCAGGGAGCATGGAGGTGGGGTTTGGGTGCCCAGGGCTTTCGAGGTCTATGCAGCCCCTTTCTGTTCCCAGTAAGTAATCATGTCATATTTCGTAAGCAGATTCCCACAGATCATAATGTTTCCCATTTCTGTTGTTAGACCTTTCCGAAAGGTGAATGAGAAAGGTGTCTTACTCTGGGATAAGATCCACAAGTTGCAGAAAGGCCAGATTTACAAGCAGGTACCTCATGACTGATTTTTCCTTTTTGTTCCTTTGCTTTGTGGTCAGTTATAAAATGCTAACTGCCAGCATTTGTTGAGTCTTACCGAGTGCTGGGCGTCGTTCTGAGCATTCTGCTTGAATTGATGGCTTATACTTTGGCAGCAAAATTTAAACTTAATTCAATATATTTTCAGTGTACTGTATCCAAATTAACTCAGAATTGAACAGTCTTTAAAAATAAAATTTAAAGCATTACTTTCATAGTATATACAATTTAAGATGCTGGTAGTAAACCTTGGGTTTTTCATTTCAAGAAGCATTGAATCACATGGTGTGTGACTCACCTAAATTGGTAATTGTTTCCAGATGGGCTGCGTTTTATGTAGTTTTGATATCTTTTGGTATCAGTAAAGGTCTCAAATATTTGAATAAATGATTGAATCGCTGACCCTGATTATGTTACTGAGTTTGCTTCCTCTCATCTTTTAAAACTTTTGTATTTCTGTAACATCTGTAAAACACATGAAATTATAGAACAGTACCACACAGTTAAAAACACAAACAAACCCTGGTACATTCCTAGCGGGTCTTTAACACACTACTGGATTTGTCAGTATGTGTATTTTCTGCCTTGAAAGATTTGCCAAGATACAGCCATTCCAATTCTAGGAAGTTAGACCAAGAAAATTATTAAGATGTAGCTAGAACTTTGCTACAAGATAGTTTATCATGAGTTACAAAATAGATAACAAGGTAAACGTCCAACATCAGGGAATTGGTAAAACGAATCACAGTACTTCTTAGCTATTAAAATGGTAGAGTAATACTTCCCGACATGGTCACAGAATGTTCAGTGTAGTAAGAGCATTACAAAGAGGTGTATACAATACAAATCATTTTTGGAATGTACATTTGACTTAGAACAAAAGTCTGAGAGATTTCACACAAAGACGGTTTTATCTTTATATTTTGATAGTTCAAATAATTATAAATGGAACATTTTTTAATTAAAAGAATTAAATAGATAAGTATTTTGGGCTACAGGTGATACAGGTTTCTATCTCACGTGATACAATATCTGTGTTTTTCTTTTTCTTACTATCTATATTTTTCTATCCTTGCAGGGCAATTTATATGAATTTTTGAAACTTACTGGGTGGAGAGGATCCAAAGTGTTGTATTTTGGCGACCACATATACAGCGACCTGGCGGTGAGGAGCCTGTTTTTCCATTTCTTTGTTGGGGGACAGATGGGTTAGTCCTCCTTACTAAGGAATTTCTCTCTTGTTTAAGACCATTTTTCTGCTTGCATAAAAATGAGGACTAAGTTACATTTTTTTTTTTTTTGCATCTTGTGTTTTGCAGAATAGAATGGATCATAGCTATAAAAAAGATGATTTTTTTTGAAATGGTAGAAATTAGCAAGTCACTCAATTTATCAGAAAAACCTTTCCATTTAAATAATGCTAAGAAATAAATGCCACTGTTCTTTTTTTTTTCTCATTAAATGTAAGAAGCGTCTACATGCAACAGAAGAGTAACATCAGTCGGAGCTCCTGCAAATTCAAAACCTGGCATTTCCAGGAAACAGCTATTATATAAGAAAGTGAGGTTTTTCAGGCCCATCGGAATGACTGTAGCGGGGTCTCGGGACTTGAATTACGATTTAGTGTATAACTGGAGCAAGGCTGAGTCAGCCATTCTTCCTGGCGGCTCTGCTCCCGGTGCGATGGGGTTCTGTTTATTACCTGGGCCCAGGCTGGTTGCACCAGGCACGTTTTGCAAATCCGAGTGACGCTTGGTGTCAGCAGAGTAAGCAGACAGGGTCGTGGCTGGCTCTCAAACTCCGATTGGTGTTTCTGACCATTCTGACCCGCGTCACTGTGGTCTCGTGTTTGTGTCCCTTCACGTCTGCCTGTCTTCGGAGCGGTGAACTGTAACGGGCTGTGCACGAGGCCCATCTGGGAGGTGTTTTCAGAGCACACAGCCTCAGACTTCAGACTGCCTGGTGGTGGAGGAGGGAGGGGGCTGATTCTGGCGCCTGTGTGCAGGGACACTGGCCCCAGGCGATTCCAGCACACACCCCGCATAATTGAGTCTGGCCGCTGGGCTGAGGTCTAGTGGAAGGAATCATGGGCTCAGCACTGCGGGACAGGTTTTCATCCCCACTCTGCTGTTTTAGCTGTGTGACCTTGCACACATCCTCCAAGCCCCTTCATCCTTATTTGTGAGCAGCGTGAAATCAGGGAATGCATATAGAAGTGCTTATTAGTGCCGTAGATAATCAGAGTGCTGCTGTCAGAGTGTCCGCACTGCCAGAAGGTTTGGCCGAGTGACATGGCATTGCAGCCATTTGCCTCTTGCGAAGCAGTGTCTTTGGGCCCTGATAAGGTAAGTCTGTGCTGCCCTTGAGGCATGCGGGTACGTGGCCCTGTGAAGGGACACACACGCACAGGTCTTAGCCTTATGAGGCACTCACAAGGCAGTAGTTTCCTTAGGTGTGGTCCCTGTGACATCAGTGTCACATGGGATCCTGTTAGAAATGCAGTTTCTCAGGCCTCACATGAGACCTACTGAGTCAGAAACTGTGGTGGAGCTCAGCTGCCTATGTCTACTGCTTTTCACACTAAAATTTGGGGTCAGGGTAATGTTGACTCTGAATAAATTAGGACGTGTTCCCTCCTCTTCAGTTTTTGGAAGAATTTGAGAAGGATTGGTGTTAATCCCTTTTTAAATGTTTGGTAGAATTTACCAGTGAAACCATCCTACGGGTCCTGGGCTTTTTATTGTTGGGAGACTTGTGATTACCGATTCAATCTCCTCACTAGGTAAGAGGTCTTTTCAGATTTCCCATTTCTTCATGATTCAGTCTTGGTAGCTTGTGTATTTTTGGAAGTTTGTCCATTTCACTTAGGTTATTCAAGTTGTTCTGTACTATAGTTTATAGCTTTTACAATTCTTTTCATTTCTGTGGAGTTGGTAGTAAGTGACTGCTTAAATTGCTGATTTTAGTAATTTGAGGCTTTGGGTTTTTGTTTTTAGTCAAGATAAAAGTTTGTCTATTTTGGGGCGCCTGGGTGGCTTAGTCGGTTAAGCGTCCGACTTTCGCTTAGGTCATGATCTCGCAGTTCGTGGGTTCGAGCCCCGCGTCGGGCTCTGTGCTGACTGCCAGCTCAGAGCCTGGAGCCTGTTTCAGAGTCTGTGTCTCCCTCTCTCTGACCCTCCACTGCTCACGCTGTCTCTCTCTCTCTCTCTCTCTCCTAGAAATAAATAAAACATTAAAAAAAAAAAAGAAAAGTTTGTCTATTTTGTTGATCTTTTTGAAGAACCAACTCTTGGTTTCAATGATTTTTTTATATTGTTTTTCTGTTCTTTTTCCTTTTTTTTCCTGTTTAAAATTTTTTTTAAATGTTTATTCTTGAAAGAGAGAGAGACAGACAGAACATGAGCAAGGGAGGGGAGAGAAAGAGGAAGACACAATCTGAAGCAGGCTTGAGCACCTGAGCTGTCAGCACAGAGCCCAGTGCGGGGCTGGAACTTATGAGCAGTGAGATCATGACCTGAACCAAAGTCAGAAGCTTAATCAACTGAGCCACCCATGTGCCCCCTTTTTTTTCTCTGTTTTAATCTTTGCCGTAATCTTGATTATTTCTTTGATTCTGCTAGCTTTTAGTTCAGTTTGTTATTTTTCTGGTTCCTCTGGTATAAAGTTTCATTGTCAGTTTGAGACCTTTCTTTTTTCCCAAAGTAATCGTGTATGGCTATGAATTTCCCTTGTAGCACCGTGCTTGCTGCATCATATAAGTTTTGGTGTGTCATGTGTGCATTTGCATTTACCTTTGTCATAAGATACTTTCTCCTTTCCCTTGTGATTTCTTCTTTGACTCATTGGTTGTTTTAGAGGGTGTTCTTTAATGTCCACATCTTTGTGAACTTTTAAGTTTTTCCTTCTGTTGTTGATTTCTAGCTTCATTCCGCGTGACCAGAAAAGATGCTTTGTATGATTTTAAAATGTGTTATGACTTGTTGTAGGGCCTAACATAAGGTCTGTCCTGGAGACTGTTTCATGTCCACTATGAGAAAAATGTGCATTCTGCTTTGTTGGGTGGCATGTTCTGCACCTGCCTGGCAGATCCAGATGGTCTCCCTTATTCTTCAGGTCCCCTGTTTCCTGATACAGCTTCTGTCTGGCAGTTTTTCTATCATAGAATGTGGGCTGTTGAAGTCTCCTGCTGTATTGCATAGCTGACTATTGCTTCCTTCAGTTCTTTTATTGTGGAGCTCTAATGTTTGGTGCATATATGCCTACAATTGTTTTATATTCTTGGTGAAATCACCTTTTATGGTGATGTCATTCTTTGTATCTTGTAACAGTTTTTGACTGGAGGTCTATTTTGTCTGAGTATAACACTCCTCTCTCTCTTTTGGTTGTTCTTTCTATGGATTATCTTTTTTAATCTTTTCACTTTCAACCTATGTATGTTCTTAGGTCTCAAATGAGTCTCTTGGAGGGGGTGCCTGGCTAGCTTAGTGGGCTGTGCCATTCTTTATCTCAGGATTATAGATTTGAACCCCGTGTCGGGTATAGAGATTACTTAAAACAAAAATATGGAATGCCTGGATGGCTTAGTTGGTTAAGCATCTGACTCTTGATTTCAGTTCAGGTCATGATCTCATGGTTTGTGGGTTCAAGCCCTACATTGGTTTCTGTGCTGATAGAGTGGAGTCTGCCTGGGATTCTCTCTTTTCCTCTCTCTCTGCCCCTTCCTTGACTCAGTCTCAGTCTGTGCATACAGGCTCTCTTTCAAAATAAATACACTTAAAAAAAATTTTTTTTAAATGTGTCTCTTGGGGATAGCATATAGTTGGATCCCATGCCAAAGTTTGAAAACCACTGTTGTAAAGTGGTAAGATTAATTCATTACCTAAAATGTCAGAAATTATGTGGGCAATGAACATTACCCTTCAAGGGAGTCATCTTGGGGAATGTAGGTACTTCTAATGTTGTTGCTGTTTCGCAAAACACATTTGGGTGCCTCTTTTGGGATAGATTTGAGAACCAGGTTAAGGCATAGAAGGAAATTAGTTTTATTATTAATATATTATCATGTACTTTTGTCTTAGGAATGTTCCAAATGACTTTTTATCTATTTTCAGAAGTAAAAGCCACCTTCAAAGGTTTGCCACTGTTGGGAATGTTTAAAAGGTTGTGCCAGGGGTACCTGGGTGGCTCAGTCAGTTAAGCATCCGACTTCAGCTCAGGTCATGATCTCACAGTTCACGAGTTTGAGCCCCGCATCGGGCTCTGTGCTGACAGCTCAGAGCCTGGAGTCTGCTTCAGATTTTGTGTCTCCCTTGCTCTCTGCCCCTCCCCCACTCATGGTCTGTCTCTTTCTCTTAAAAATAAATAAACATTAAAAATAATTTTTTAAAAAAGGTTGTGCCATGGATTCCTATGTATTATAGGAGAAGGAGAAATATTGAAAGGTATAAGGAAATTCAGGGGGTGAAGAAGATAGTCATCCTTAGGCCTTACAGAATGGGGATTCTAGCTTTAGGTGAATACCCAGTGAATATTTACAGTTGTAAACCTGATACCACTTTATTCTCTAAAACCTTAAAGCTTTCCTTTCTTTCAGAGTAAAAGCCCGATTTCCTACTGTTTCCTACAAGGCCCTGCTTGACTTGCCCTCCAGCATGACCTAGAAGGCATGACCTGCCATTGCCCTCTCTCCCACTCTGTGTAGGCTTCCTGCCTTGCTATTCCTTAATAACCACCCCAAGCATGTTCCTGCCCCGGGGCCTTTGCACTTACTGTTTTTCTCAGACTGATTTTTTCTCCTCCCACATATTTGCATACTTTTTCTCCTTCCTGGGGATCTCTGCTCAAAGGTCCCTTTATTGGCTTGGTTTTCCTAACCACTTAATATATATACCATGGTAACTTTTTTCTTTCTTATTTTGCTTAATTTTTGACCATTGTCTTTATCACCACCTAATTTTGTATATTACTTGCTTATTTTTTGTATTTCCCAAGAGGGCAAGGCTTTGTCTGTTTTTGTCATTGTTTTGTCCTTAGTATCTAGAATAGGGCCTAGCAGTTGTAAGGATTTAATACATATTTGCTAAATGAGAGAATGAATGACCATTTAGTATGGGTGATTGTATATCTTAGATCTTTCAGGATATAGCTGATGTCAGATATTCTGGCTTATTGTCAAATCATGAGATTACTGTATTTGGGATGAAAAATGTGATCACGTATGTGTGTGTTGTAGGATCATTCGGAGTCTGAGATTCTAGGATTCCCTCTAATCCACAGGGCCTGACACACAGTGGGTGATCCCTAGTGGTCTGTGGATGAATTGAATGAAGACTTTCAGTCAGCATTTCGGTTGAGCCTTTTTCTGCCCCTGACCTAATTGTTGTTTTACAGACCACGGTTAATGATTTCAGACCCTGTGTCTGTGATTCACAGCAATTATTCCCAGAACAGAAACTTTCTTTGGGTGTTAATGGTCAAAGCCTGGGGCTGACTTGGTTTTAATTAAATGTAATTCATTGAATTTGGCTTGGTTAATAACCAACTATTACACTTGAAGAGTAATTCAGTGAACACCTGTTGCATCTGGGAAAGGTAATGGAATGGTTTAAATTCTGTTGAGATGAGTGTTGACTTTTTGTGATCTTTGCGATTAGGATTTGACCCTGAAGCATGGCTGGCGAACCGGTGCGATTATCCCAGAGTTAAGATCTGAGCTCAAAATCATGAACACAGAGCAGTACATCCAAACCATGACGTGGCTGCAGACCCTGACCGGGTTATTGGAGCAGATGCAGGTTTGGAATTTTTTTTTCTCTTCTACTTTTTCTATAAGTCTGAAATTGTGGTTATATGAGTCATCCTACAGAATAACTCCTGGGTTGTTTTGCTCCTAAGAGAGTTTTGCCAGTTTCCCTAAAGAGGACTTTAATAATGCCCTGCGGGGGCGCCTGGGTGGTCTAGTCGGTTAAGCATCCAACTTCAGCTCAGGTCATGATCTCACAGTTCATGGGTTCAAGCCCCACGTCGGGCTCTGTGCTGACAACTCAGAGCCTGGAGCCTGCTTGGGATTCTGAGTCTCCCTCTCTCTCTGCCCCTCCTCTGCTTGTGCTCTGTCTTTCTCTCTCTCTTTCTCAAAAATAATCATTAAAAATTTAAAAATAATAAAAATGCCCTGTACATTCATTTGGAGAAAGAACTTTATGGGGCCATGTAATCATAGGGGTCTCTGTAGAGTCGTCTTTCGGGGGGAATCCATGTGTCCTCACTTTCCACTCACATTCTGTTGGGAGAGGTCCCGTAAGACTGCTGGATTCAAGAATGTTTGGATCTAGTCCTGTTTCTGATTTTAGCCTGCTATGGACTTCTTCATTCTGGGCCTCAGTTTCCCCATCTGTAACACGAGGATCCTGCGAGATGAATATGTCAGGCTAGGCACCGCAGCTTACTGGAGAGAGTCTCAAAGCAAAAGTCAAGATCCCTGCGTGCTGCCTCCATTTGACTTTGAAGATAATGCCTACAATTTGCTTGCTCTGTGGATTCGGTGTCAGTTTTTGCTGGTGTAAGTTATGTAGCCAGTTTGGGACAGTCGGTGAGGAATGTTTTTGGTGATTTTCTGACCTGCAGCTGGGGACCCACTCCCAAGGCTCCTGAGACACCTCGCTTCCTGCTCAGATCTGCTGGTCTAGCCTGCAGCCATCTCAGTACGAGTGCTGACTCTCAGGGCAAGGAGCGTGGACGCCTGTGCTCTCGGCTGCTGCACCTGCAGCCTCTGGCCCTGGCCTGCTGCCCACAGCCTGCCGGCCCACTGTGGACACGGGCAGGGCACCGCCTGGCCAGGCCCAGCGGGACACAGGTGGGGGACCAGAGGCCCAGGCCCAGCTAGACACGGGCGGAGGACCACCTCACCAGGCCCACTGTGGACATGGGCGGGGCACCGCCTGGCCAGGTCCAGCAGGACACAGGTGGGGGACCAGAGGCCCAGGCCCAGCCAGACATGGGAGGGGGACCACCTCACCAGGCCCAGCAGGACATGGGTTGGGGACCACCTCACCAGGCCCAGCCAGACACGGGCGGAGGACCACCTCACCAGGCCCACTGTGGACCCGGGCAGGGCACCTCCTGGCCAAGCCCAGCGGGACACGCGCAGGGGACCGCCTCACCAGGCCCACTGTGGACATGGGCACAGGACTGCCGGGCCAAGCCCAGCGGGACACAGGCGGGGGACCGCCTCTCCAGGCCCAGCTGGCAGCCCGGGTGAGGCAGCTGGCGGTGAGCTCAGGAGAAGCCACAAGGCCTGGTGGCTCCAGGGTGCACACATTCCAGGGCGTGTGTCCCTGCACGTCCCAGGCCTTGTTTCCAGTGTGCTCTGTTTCCCTTATTCTGCTTGTCCCTGAAATGCTTTTCTAAAAATAAAAGGCATTGATTCTGGGTTAATACAGCTTCAAGTCTATGCCTAGGTCACACGGTAATAATAGCTACTTCTCATCTGCCAGACATGCTGAGTGCTCGCTCTCTACACGTTACTCACTGACGGTCCCAGCTGCCCTGTGTGGGAGGTACAGCTTTTCCACTTTAGAATAAGGAAACTGGCTGTTTTAGAATAAGGTAAGGTTAGGCGGCCTTACCTCTTACATGAGGTCGTAAGATGACAAAGAAGAACTTGAACTTAGGCTGTGTGATGCTCAAGTCCGTGCTTTTGCACACAACCTGAAAGTGCTTCCCTGCCCTTTGGTTTCGAGGTCTCAGGTGTGGCAGACCCTTTAGCTCAGGAGCATCCCTCTGTGATGGGGGCAGCTGAGTGGACACACAGACACGAGCTGCACGTGCATGGTGGCACTGCATTTTAGCTTTGAGGGCAGTTTTTGTTTTCCACTCTCTGATCCATGTAAAGAGTTTGTGATTAAGGAATGTGTGTTTAAAAAAAAATTTTTTAATGTCTATTTATTTTTGAGAGAGTGTGAGTAAGAGAGGGGCAGAGAGAGGGAGACACAGAATTCGAAGGAGGCTCCAGGCTCTGAGCTGTCAGTACAGAGCCTGACATGGGGCTTGAACCCACAAACCATGAGATCATGACCTGAGCAGAAGTTGGATGCTTAACTGACTGAACCATACAGGCACCCCTAAGGAATGTGTGTTTTAGAGAATGGAAGTGCTGAAAATATTCTATGACCTTAGAAACATATAAGGTATAAGGTTGAGGAAGGAAGAAAAGGAATTACCATTTACATTGCAATCCCTATTTTGTAAGAGAGGAAATTGAGGCTGAAAGATAAGTAACTTATCCTGAATTCCAAAGTTAGTGAACTGCAGAAGCAAGCTATTTAGGAATGTTCTAGAAACTACGTTCTAGAACTACGGTCTAGCCACGATGCTCTAGACACCATGTTCTAGATACCATATTCTAGACACTGTTCTAGATGCTAAGGGCTTTATGTTCATTTCCTTCTCAAAACCACTCTTCGAAGTAGGCACTAACACCCCCATTTTATAGATGAAGAAGCCAAGGCACAGAGGAGAAAATAACTTGCTGAAGGAAGGGGAGGTGCTGGGACATAGACCTGGGCAGTCTGGCTCTAGAGTCTTAACCTCATATTGTCGCCTCAGGCTCTGGGACTTTTTACCGCTTTCTGTTGGGTTAGACTCACTAGGATATAGAGAAGTATGGCAGGTAATTTAAAAAAAAAAAATCCAAATGAATGTCATTTCTCACTGTTCTTCCTGTTCCCATTCCACCCTCCCTACTGCCCCATGTTCACCTGAAAAGCTAGATTATTCCAGTGAGCCTGTGTCACATGTTTCTAGAAACTCCCCTTTGGGGGTTATTTTGAGAGACATAGCACATTGTTTGGACTATTTTCTGAAGAGAAAAATTTGTCCTCTGAGGTTGGGTTGGATTTCTTTTTATATGCGGAGCCAGCGGAGTGTCGTGCGGAGCCAGGTCTGATGAATTCAATACAAGCGTATGATTTTGGTTTTAAGAAAGTGGCTGTAAAGAATGAAGATGGTGCTGGTAACCGGCCTTGATGCACAGCCCAGAACGGTGTGGTTAATGGTGGTAATGCCGGCCGATGGGGGTAGAGTCGCCCCAGGTTGTCAGGTCACAAGCACATTTACCTCGGGGGGGTCAGCAAATGTCTGCCAAGGGCCAGGTCGGTCAGTTTGGCGGGCTGTGTGGGCCACGCAGGTTGTCAGCGGTACTCAGCTGTGCTTATGGCACAGAAGCAGCCATGGGCAGGGCGTGTTGTGGTGTCCCTGTGACATTGTTGGTGGACACTGAAATTTGAATCATCGTATCATTTTCATGCATCATAAAATTATTCTTTTTTCGATTCCTCCTACCCCCAACCATTTAGAAAGGAACTTTTTCTTAAGCTCAGAAGCTGATAGGAAAAAGTGGGTGGTGGGTTGGATTTGTGCCCCTCTGTTAGAGGCCTTGGGGGGCTGGATCGTAGTACCCTGCTCACACTGGGAGGGGGGGCTGGTGCAGCAGAAGGAGTCTAGATTGACTGCACATCTGCAGAGCCCACCCGGAGGTGGGGGCCCACTTGCAGGGCAAGAGATGGGAGGAGAATTCACATGCCCTGTGGCAGCTGGTTTCCAAGAAGAGAGCAGGGGGTGGGGTGGGTGGGTCATTACCCTTGGTAATCCCCTCACCAGAGAGTTTTCCCTCCTGCAGGTATGGGCAGGGTAAGGGACCCTCCTGCTAGGCAAGGACATGGGTGCTATTGTAGGGGCGGAGAAGGGTGTGTGGGCAGAGGTGGGGGTAGGGGTTCCCTCTCAGACTGACTTCTCGCTCTCTGTGCTGTCACTGTTTTGTCACTGTGACCCCCCACAGAGGACTGTGTCTTATCCTCTGTTGTATTTTCAGCATGTATGCAGTGAAGTGCTGGGCACATGGTAGGTGTGCTGAATACATACATGTACATACGTGTTTGTATGTGTGTGTAACGTGTGTATAAAAATGTGTTGTGGTGCCCCACACATTTTACCTTTTTTGATCTAGTCAAGTACTTTGTAGAGCCTCAGTTCTATAGTGAGTAATTTCTTGATTAAAACGTGAAAACAAATGAAAACTCTGCTCATAGACCCTGTATCATCACCCCCAGAAGTGCTGGATCTGTCTTCCGGCTCCAGTGACGCAGAGGCAGACAGTGGCCACCCAGGGGTAGCTGCTCCTGGTGGGCTAGGCGGTGGTATTGGGGAAAATATCCATGTTATAGGCTCTGTCATCATAGGCTTTGTGTCAGTGGCAATCACCTCAGCGACTGACTGCTAGGCTGTTGAGCTGGGCAGATGCGGTAAACAGTGCCTTGGCTCCCACGTGAGAAGCAGATGGCTTGCTTGTTTGGTATTTTCCTCCGGGTTCCAGGGCCGCCCCTGTGACCATGGATCCCAGGGAGCCCCACCTGTCGCCTCCTATCACGTGCGCCTCTGACCCTGGCACACTGTTTCTGTTCTGCCCCAAGAGCCTTGGAGAGAGACTTGTGAGATTCCATTTGTTAGGCTGTGGACGGTTGTGTTCTTTTTGCCTTTTGCTTACATTTCAGCCCAACCAGAAAATTCTCTGCTTTTCCATCTTCTTGTCGTTTGCAAAACAAGTATTTATTTTCTCTTGAACACTTTATTATTTTTTTAAATCTATTTATTTATTTTGGTAGGGGGTGCTAGTGGAAGAGAGGCAGAGGGAGAGAGGGAGACAGAGAATCCCAAGCAGGCTCCGCAGTGTCAGCACAGAGCCTGATGCAGCGCTTGAACTCACGGACTGTGAGAACATGACCTGAGCTGAAATCAAGAGTCAGATGCTTAACCAACTGAGCCACCCAGGCGTCCCTCTCTTGAACACTTTAAAAGATAAATAATAATTAGGAAAAACATTAAAACCATTTATAACCCTACTTTCCTTGCACAGATTAAAGAAAATTTTCCATGTTAATTTCCAAATATATGCACATATTTTGACATGCTTGCAGTTAGCGATGTGCTGTTATACCTGCTGAAATAATTTCCACTAAACTGCCATTTTTGTGTTTATACCTACAGGTAATACGTGTAATAGGTGGTGTGCATTAAGTATACGTTTATATATGTGATACATATGTGTAGTCGATACATGGCACACATATGATGCACATATATTTAATAGCCTTTCATAGTACTTTAGTAGCTCCAGTTTAATAGGGGCCTTATTTAATAGCTTTGTAATGTTCCATCTCAATTTACTTTTTAAAAAATTTTTTATGCTTCTTTATTTTTGAGAGAGAGACAGAGTGTGAGTCGGGGAGGGGCAGAGAGAGAGGGAGACACAGAATCTGAAGCAGGCTCCAGGCTCTGGCTGTCAGCACACAGCCCAATGCGGGGCTCGAACCCACGAACTTTAAGATCATGACCTGAGCCGAAGCTGGATGCTTAACCAACTGAGACACCCAGGTGCCCCATCTCAATTTATTAAACCACATTTCTAGTGTTGGCTATTTAGACCTTTAGTTTTGGTGAAGAAAGCAGGACTGCAGCCGGGAACCTGAAAATGCGTTATTTCACGCAAGCGCCTGTCTCTTTGACCTCAAGGGAATAAAATTCTTCCAAGAAAAGCTGCCCATTAAAAAATTCTCATAACCTACTGAGCTTCTTTGCAGCCCGAGCATCTTCAGTAATTAGCGTGTGTCCTGTCCTGCAGGTTCACAGAGATGTGGAGTCACAGCTGGTGTTGCAGGAGTGGAAAAAGGAAAGAAAGGAGATGAGGTAAGAGGGGCCACCCCGTCTATGCCCTGCGCGGGTCACACGCCTTCCCCAGGGCTGGCCTGAGGTGGCCATTCTTTCTTAGCTGCTGGGTATGAATGTGGCCCATCTCCAGAACTAGCTGTGTCTGCCCTTCGTGAGGGATATGTGACACTTGAGGCAGCAGCGACCTTTCTCCCACCTCCCGGCCTGTTTGACTTTTCCCTTCGGGCAGCTGGTGGCCCAGCTGTTGGTCACGCGAGCAGCACAGCGTGGCTCCTGGGACAGTGGAGGAGGCGGGCTCTGAACCGCGGTGAGGGGCCCTACAGCCCGGTGCTTAATGTTACCAGGGGTGTATCAGCACTCAGTGTCAGAACGTTTATTGGTGAGCATGGCCCGCCTGCCGTCCGGAACGCCGGGCTGGTGGGCGTCTTCCGGGAACAGTTGCTGGAAGGAGACCCATGGACAGTCGTGCTTGCCTGAGAAGGATGCTGGATGTGTAGGCGCTGTTTATTGGAAGGAACAGTCACTGCCTGGGCTCTGGCCTCTGAGCAAGGGGACAGCCTGATTGGGGGCAGCATGGGGAGGGGACAGAGTCCTCCCTTGGGACTGCAGAGGCCACCTACATGTTGAATTTAGTCCTTCTTCCTCTCTCTTGGTGTTGGCTGCCCAGGGCTTATTCTGACTTGATTCTTATTCTAATATTGGCCTAAAAGTATTGCCTGAGAGGGGGAGAGGTGGCGGGGAGGCCTCTCGTGTGATTGAACCTCAGGCCTCATGATCCAAGGGCCAGACCAGGCATCTCAGGTTGTCAGATGACTGAGCCACTTCACCTTCACATTCGGTTTGGGATTTAACTCTCTGGCAACCTCATGCCTTAATGAGACTTTTCACCAAAATTATAAAAACCATTTATGTTGCTCCGCTTGCAGACCTAACAGAGTTTTTAAAATTTTCTACTCTGCTTGTCATAGCATCTACTGTCACCACGGACTGTACAGATGGCTGATACCAGCTAGTGACTTTTGTCACACAGTTATGTATGTGGTTCCATTTTCTGCTGTGTTTGTAACTGATTTATTAATAGTCAAGTGGTATTTTTCTACCTTGCTGGACTGTTCTGTGCATAGGGGACCCAGCCAGCTGACAGTGTAGTGTGCCTGTCCTGTTTGCGTGTGTATGTGTTTGTGTGTGTGTGACGGGGTGTTGATTTCCACACAGATGCATGGCTGCAGGGGCTTAGAGCCTGGGCTGGGTGAGCAGCCTTGCAACACGCTGTCACCTGGGCTGCAAGGAGGCAGTGAGGTGCTTGGAGCTGTGTAGCAGATAATGGAGACTTATTTACGTCACTACAAAATAATCCTTAATTTCTCAGACATCGAAGTACTTTGGAGTTTCTCATACGGTTTTACCTGTGTTACCATACTCAGTTCTCACTGTAACCATGTAGAAAGCAGGGTGTCAATCCCATTCCGTAGCTGAGGGAAGTTTGGACACTGAGAACATTGTGCATCTGCACCCCCTCTCCTGCCTCCTCTGGTTTGGTTTGGAAAACATGATGGGTATGTTTAGAGGGCCATCCACGTGTCCTCTGGCTAACCTGAGTGGGAAATGTGGTCACGGTCATTTTGATGGGTGTTTGGCCACAATTTTCCTGATTAGAGGCTGGGGCTGCTCTAGGCTGATTTTCCCCTCAGCTGAGTCCTATGAAAATGAAAAGGGGATTTTAATTTCAGGAACTGCAAAAGAGACTCTCCTGAACTGTTCTCTCTTGCTTTGCTCTTTTCTTGCTTCTTCAGAGAAATGACCAAAAATTTCTTCAACACCCAGTTTGGAAGCTTGTTCCGCACAGACCAGAACCCGACCTACTTCCTGAGGCGCCTGTCACGCTTTGCTGACATCTACATGGCGTCCCTGAGCTGCCTGCTGAACTACGACGTCAGCCACACATTCTACCCCCGGAGGACTCCGCTGCAGCACGAGCTCCCCGCGTGGTCGGACCGGGCCCCAGGCCCGCGGCTCCCGCTCCTCTGCGAGGCCCAGGCCGAGTGAGGGCCCAGCGCGCGGCCGCCGGGACGCCCCAACCGGCCGGACCTGGGGGCGGCCTGCGCGCAAAGGGGGGCTGCTTTCCGGAGAGACACAGCACGCCTTTCGGTACTGGTTTCCTACCTTACGGACACCGCTCGCCCAGTTGCCAGGACAGAAGCCAGCGGCGAAGCCAGCGGCGCGGCGGCCCGGCCTTTGCGTTCGCGGTACTGGCTGCGCTGCGAATGGAGACTGTTTCCTGCGCTCCTATCCCGGCATCGGTTTCTCGGGGCCCCTGCTGCCATCTCAGTTCCAGCAGCTGAAGTGCTGAAACGTTGACTTCTCAGTGGGAAACGGGCTGAATATCGGCAGGCAGCACGTTGGGAGCCGCAGAGGCCCCGTGACCTGCGACAAACTGCTCGCCGGAAGCTGCCGGGTGGGTCCGCTCTGCGGAGCGACGTGGCGGGTGGTGACCGAACCACAGCCACCTCCCAGGTCACGCAGCACGAGGGCCTTGCATCCTGGTGCCTCGTCTGGAGGGAGACCCGGCCTCCCTGCAACGTCTTCTGTGAGAGAACAGGAGAACGTGCGAGCCCTGGGCCCGTGCTCGTCCCGTGTCGGCTTGCCGTGTCTTGCTCCACGCAGCGGAGGCCACGCGGTGCCACCGGTGGTGTGCGGCTTCAGTCCTCCCCCAGGGCAGGAGGGCAGGGACAGAAGAGCTTCTGGTTTACTCCTGCCGGCAGGACAGACTGTGCGATCCGGCTTTGAGGACGCCGTGACTTTGTCATGGGCCTTGCAGGAGTTCACCACTGAAAACGCCAACCCAGGCATTGGTTTGGTGTGCCTACTGGAGGGCAGAAAGTGACACAGGCAGAGAAATGTCCTTGAAATGCTACGCCGTGACCCCTGCTGGGTTGTGTTGGCATCTTGTTAAAACGTACGCGTTAACCAGCAGGGGGGGATGAGGGGGCCCTGTCACTGCGTAGCACCCCCAGTCCTCTCCTCCCCTTACATTTCCTCCCTGCCATGTTTGTGTGGCTGTTTGGGGGAGCCGGGTGGTTTTCTTGAGGTGGCTGTGCTTAAGGTGGGAGAGGATTAAGGGCGTGGGGGCCCGGAGGAGGCTTAGGGGCAGCCAGCCCCCCAGGTGTCTCATTCTCTCCCAAGGCGAGTGACTCTCAGGCTTCACCCTAAAGGATGGCAGGTCCACGGAAGGGGGCTTGTGGAGAGTGCTTGCTGAGTCCGCGCTTTAGTCCGGCAAATGTATCAGAACCAGTTGTCAATGAACTGCTAGCTTGGTGTTGCCTAGGCTACCTGCCAACATGCAGAAATGAAATGAGTTACATGGGATCCTTCGTGATGCCCTTGGTGATGCCCTTGGTAATGCCCTTTAGACCCAGTAGACCCAACTTGGCCCCCTTTTTTTACTTGTAAATGTTTGTTATAAACACAGTATCCATTCTTTTTTTGGGAATGGGGTAGGCGTTTTGTTTGCTGTGTTAGCACCTGTAAGTTTTAAGCATCGGAGGGTATTGAAGATGAGTATTTAATAGGTGCAGGTGGGTGCCCAGAACTGCTTGGTGTTAGGGTCCCCAGTGGACGAGATGGTGCTCTGGGCTTTAGAGTTTCTGCTTGGAGAAGCTGAGCGAGGAAGCAAAAAAAAAAAAAAAAAAAATCCTTAGTTTTAATCTGATCAGCCATTGGATGTTAGGTACATGTTATAGTGTGTTTTGTTTACTCAAGAATGAAGTAGAGATGTTTTTAAAACTGTCTTTTATGGATAGCTGGGTTAGGTGACCCACACCTTAGGGGAGAACTACATTTTCTCGGGACAAATAATAAATTTTACAATATATTGCCAATTAAGGTTTCAGTCTCTGGGCCATTGAACATGGCGGGATTGAGATCTGGCGTGTGGAGCAGAAGTCTGGCGTCCATGTCAGCGGGTCCCACGGAGCAGGTGCCGGGCGGACTGAACCCACACTGGGGCCGGCAGCCTGCGTCCGGACGGCCGCTCCCGTGGGAAGGACAGGCACGGGCATTCTTGTGTGCGCTCAGTCAGGACAGATTTTACCCTGTCCCTCTCACGGCTCCACTGGGATCCGGCACACCGCACCGGGCATTCTGTCCTTTCCAGTTCGCTGTTACGCACACTGATGCAAGCATATTGGTACAAGGGAAGTGAGCCCCTTTTCTACCATTTAGAAAAAAATCTGTTTGGAAAGTGAACTCAGTGAAATTGGTCTGCACGTTATAAAATATGTTCTGTTTCTAGGCTTGGTTAGGCTGGTGGTACGGGACGGTCAGTCGCCGCCGCGGCAGCCCAGCACCGCTCACGGTTCCCGCGGCCGACTGGTGGCAGGAACCTGCACGGCTGGCGTCGCAGTCGTTTATGGATGAAACTCAGCTCTTAAAATATTTTAGGAGTTTGGCTTAGAGCTCCCTCTTTTCTCCTCACATAGCCTCTCTTTTCTTCTCTCTCTCTCTTTAATTCTCCTCAGCTCCATTTCCTGCCACCACCATTAATACCATGTAACATAAGCCACCTGTTACTGATTCAGGCCCGTCTTAGACTAAATGACTAGTTGCTGTGGATGCATTGGGCCTCTTAATTAATGCAGAAGAGAAATGAGAAGTAGTCTTCCCTCCTAGCTAATTTAGCTTTGGGTGAACTAAATGGCTTTTCCTCTCTTTTCCTCCCAACGGCCTTTTAAGCAGTAGAGTATGTTAAGTATTGCACTTGATTCCTTCTGCTGAAGGCTTATTTGCTGCCAAAGGCCCACTCGGGAGCCCTCTTCCAGAATGCTCTGAGACTAAATTTGGCCAGACGCAGGGTTCCTTGATTGCTCTATTCAACTGCTAGGGAGTCTGTATTTTGCCCTCTTAATACTAATTTCCTTTTTTCCAATTCTCTCTTTTTTTTTTTTTTTTTGCATTCGCATTTGAGGGCCTGGCTCCAAGTTCAGCTAACCGTTAACACCCTGGCAGATTAAGGAAAGAAAAAGGAGTGAAGCTTCTCTAGGATTCAGCAAGCCTTGCCTGTAAAGAGCCAGATAGGAAGCCCTTGCAGCTTTGCAGGCAATTTTTTGTCGCCGCCGCTTTAGGAACGGGCACGCTGTATTCCGTCACCACTTGATGTACAAAAACAGCTGCGGGCTAGACTTGGCTCCCCCGCCGGAGTTTGCCCACCGCTGCTCTAGTGGCTTGTGCTGGTGGCCAGGCCAGTTCCCCTCTCTGCAAGCATGCAGATGAGCCCTGTCAGAGCTGCGCGCGGCCACTAGAGAGATGTTCTCTAGGTGAGTGCACTGCGCTCCGGTCCATGCACATCTGTGGCCAGGGTTTCCAGCACACAGCGTTCCTGTGTGGTGTGGGTGCTGGCTGACTGTCCTTCACTGCACTGACTTGTGGTCAGTGCTCGTAGCCGGTGATGGGCTCGGCCGCCCAGAACACCCTTCCCAACCGCAGGACCTCCCCCCGCCCCCAGCTGCCGGGCAAGCTGCTGGCTTAGCATCCTCAGCTGTTGGCTCATGTCATAGAGAGCTGTCCTCCAGGAAAAGCCCTGCCTCAGACAAAGTCCTGCCCCCTTGCTGGAGCAGCCAGCCCCCACCTCCTTCCCTTCTCTGTCCTTCTCTTCCATTTCCAGGTGGCCATCCCAAGAACACTCCCCCACACACTTCCTCCACGCGAACTCCATCTCCTCTGGGGACCCAGCCCGCTACAGCCCCTCTGTACTTTTTGAGTACGACACACTTGAGCCGGGACTGAGGGAACCGTGTTCTAACTATTCAGAAGAAAGACAGGTTGTGCCTATATGGTATCAGGCATGATAGATGCAGACTAGGTAGATTTCCTATTTATTCTGAATGTGAATTTGCCATTTATTCTAAGTGTTGATTTTATGTGAAAGGATATTGAACCTAGTGCCAAATAAAAGTTTGAATTATGTCGTCCAGTCCATTGTGAGGTTGTGTGTTTTTGTGTGCTTTAGTGGCAGAGCCACATCCAACTCTGACGTGCCCTAAAAAGAACAGCCTGGTGAGGAGAGGAAGACGTGTGGGTCATTTCTTGCTCCTTTTGTCCTGACAGCCCAGCAAAGCACACTCGCTTGTTTTCAGAGCTTGAAGACTGTAGTTAAGGCACAGACGGAAAATTGGCATGAGCTCTAGACTCAGGTAGGCAGCAGAGAACCCCTTGGAGTTTCTATTCCCACTTGAGAGCAAGGAGAACATGGCCATCCACGTGGTTCCCTGCAAAGCACCAGGAAAGCTCAAACTTGGAAGCAGTGTTTTACAGGCAGGAATTAGTGAACAATACTAAACCAGGAGTGACTGCTGTGAAGCCAAATCACTACAGGGTTTTAGATAAATTTACAAATACTTTGAAGAGCTTATTTTTTAAAATTGTTTATGTGTGTGCATACACGTGCACATGTATTCACTGTATTTTCTTTTGACTCTCAATGCGCAAGAACCTTTGCCTCATTTACTCCTCTCAGGGATAGCCTGCTGCTCTTCCTTTAAAAAAATTTTAATGTTTTTTTATTTTTGAGACAGAGAGAGTGTGAGTGGGGAAGGTGCAGAGAGAGGGAGACAGAATCAGAAGCAGGCTCCAGGCTGTCAGCACAGAGCCTAACACAGGGCTCAAACTCATGCACCGTGAGATCATGACCTGAGCTGAAGTTGGATGCTTAACCGACTGAGCCCCGCAGGTGCCCGTGCTGGTCTTCCTTTTAATCACTTACCTCTTTGCACCTGTGACAGTAGTGGGGGACTCACTGGAGACTCTGTGCCTCATTCTTTTTGGGGAGCGGTCTCCCGGAAACGTGGCATTGTTGTAGGCGCGTTGTCCTAGTGGAGATGGTGTGCTGCTCCGTTCCTGGAGTTGTGAAAAAGCTGAAGACCCTGGGGCCACCAGAATCTCTCCCCTGACTGCAAAACCCCCATGACATGGAACAGTAATTTGGGCCATGAGGGCAGCAGGAGAGGCTGAGGTCTGCTCAACCCAGGCTTTCACTTCTCCATCCACAGCAGTGATTCCCAAACCTAGCCAGTCCTGCCCGCTAGGGGACATCTGGAAGTGTGTGGTGGGTGGCTCAGAGGGTGCTCCTTGTCTCAGTGATGGGAAGGGCAGTTCTGGTCTTTTGAGGGCAGGGACCTAGTGTGGCAGATATCCCGCATCACTGTGATACAGTGATGAGAGAGCTGTGTACAGCGAACAACTGTCCCGAGTCTACACGTAACCACTGGAAAGTTCCAGAGCAATTTTCATTACCCCAAAACAAATCCATTCCTTCCTTCCCTGTGTTCCTGGCAATCACTAATCTACTCTCTATGAACTTGCCTATTCTGGAAATTTCATATAGATGGGATCATACAGTCCGTCGTCTTTTGTGTCTGCTTTCTTAGCATGGCATTTTCAGATTTTATCCATGTTTTTGCATGCATCATAGTAATTTTCCTTTTATGGTGGAATGCTACATCACTGGATGTACCACTATTTGGTTATCCATTCATAAGATGATGGACATTTGGGTTGTTTCTCTTTTTTGGCTATTATGAATAATGCTACTATGACCATGACTATATAAGTTATTATACGGACATGTTTTTCATTTCTCTTGGATATGTACTGAGGAATTTCTGGAATGTCTGGATCATTATGTTTAAGTTTTTGAGGAACTGCCAACCTTTTTCCAAGTGGCCACTACATTTTACATTTCCACCAGCAATATATGAAGCTTCTGATTTGTCCACACCCATACCAACACTTGTTATTGTCTTTTTGATTATAGCCATCATAGTGGGTGTGAAGTGGCATCTCATTGTGGTTTTCATGTCTTCTTAAACAAAATTAAAAAGTTTAAGAAATTAATTAAATTAAGAATTAAGAAAATTAAGAATTAAGAAAGAAGAATTTATAAGGCAGGTGTTGGCTAAATGCAAAGGACCTAATTAGGCCTAAAAAGTGGATTTTACCTTCATGGTTTGACCCTTCCTATGGCAAACTATTTTTATTCCCCAAGGCACTAGTTTTGTTCTGTTGATTTTATTTCTGTCCATAAACATTTATTGAGCACATGGCATGTACCAGACACTGGGCTAGGTGCCGACACACAAAGACGAAAGAGGGAGGTCCCTGCCTTTGGAGCTTACAATCCAACAGGGAAATGAGACAAAGGCCATACTTAGTGTTGGGAAGGACGTAGTTAAGTGCCACATAAAGGTACAAAGGAAGCACAGCAGAGGGACGGGTCCCCCTGGGTTGGTGGGTGGATTTAACATGGTCCCTCACCCACAGAAACCAGGTAATCCTCCAGATTCACCAAAGAGATGAGGTATGGCTTGAGTGCTTCCTACTGTAAAACATTAAAGGACCTTCCTTTCTGAAAGGCAGGTGGTGCCGAGGATTCACAGTTGACAGCCTTTTGGAGGAGGCTCTGGCTGATGGCTACTGGCCGTGGGGGGTGGCCGCCGCCGCAGGTCTGGGCCCTCACAGCGCCCCCAGGGGGTCACTGCTGTCCAGCTGCTGGTCTTCAGTGTCCTGGAAAAGAGAGGTCTCTGAAAAACTGGGTGCAGGACTTTCTGCTTGTCGAATCTTTCCAGGTTGAGTATTCCTTCTGGCCACCCAGCTGAAGCCTTGAAGGGACTCAGAACACACTGCCCTAAAATATGGCACCTTGGCATTTTTAAGATCTTAAGCTGAAGGAAGTTTTGAAAAAAACAGAAGAGGCAGGATGGTCACTCCAACCTTCCTCTCCTTGTCCCTCTTCCTCCCGTTTCAGGATGAAAGAAAACACGTATCCCCAGAGACAAGGAATTGGGGGCCAGGAATCTGTACAATCTGGTTAAACTAACCCTTTATTTTCCTATTTACTTCACCATTTACTACCCCAAGCCCAAACCTCCGCCTTGTCAATCCTTCACACATGTATTGTTTCTTTACAGAAAAGCTTCCTGTTCTGGTCATTTCAGGTCTTCATTCTCTCCTGAAGGCTCCCCATGTACAGGCGAACTTTCAATAAAGTTTATATGCTTTTCTCCTGCGAATCTGTCCAGATTCCTTTTCAGACCCAGCCAGGGACCCTAAGAGGGTGGAGGAAAACTTTTTCCTTCCCTACAGCTTAAACCAGTTCCTCTCTAAGTGCCCTGTGAACATGTTTGTGGTAGGAGGGTCTGTTCACCTGGCTGGCTGTCTTGTGTTGGGAGGCAGGATGGTGTGGTGGTTGTGGGGACAGTCACCGCTGCTTGGAGCTTCTGTGCCCTGGACATCATTTCAAGTCTGCCGTTTTCCCCTGATCTATAAAGGGCCCTGATAATATTTACCTCCCAGAGAGGTGTGAAGATTAAATCACATACTACATTAAGGAAGGTATCAGCACCCCACAAAAGGTGGCTAGTCATATGATTACAAAACACCACTTTCACGGGTGCCTGGGTAGCTCAGTTGGTTAAGCATCTGACTGGCTCAGGTTATGATCTCACAGTTTGTAAGTTTGAGCCCTGCATTGGGCCTACACTCATGGTGTGGAGTCTGCTTGGGATTCTCTCTCTCTCTCTCTCTCTCTCTCTGTGCCTCCCCAACTTGTGCTTTCTCCTCTCTCAAAACAAAGAAATGTTTTAAAAAACATGTTTAAAAAAACCTTTCAGATTTAAAATTCTTCTTGAGCATTTGAGAGAGTCCAATCAGCAGCCCTATTCCAGAGGCGGCACCCCAAGCCTTACATGGCTCTGATTGGCACTGACGTTCTGTTAATTTGCATAAGGGGCGTGTTCCAGATGCCTGGATTGGCTACAGATATTGTATAGGCACCCCCACCTTCAATATAAAAGGTATGAGAAGGTAGAAGGCCACTCGTGGGACTGGCACCCTCAGCTTAGGACTTCTACTCCTGGAACATTTTTTTGCCACTTGGTCTGATGAGAAAGTTCATCTGACTCCTGCATATGGGATTCCCTCTTCTCCTGCCTCTGGAGACTCTTTCGTGCCTGGGGCTGACAGGGCCCTCTGAAGAAGACAAGCAGCTGAGAAGGTGTGAAGAGCGTTGAATAAGATGGATAACATTCCCCCGCTCCCAGCTGTTTAAATGAGGTTGATTTCAACATAACCGTGCTTCCACAAATAAACTACTGCTTAATACATGCAGAGCTGAACTTACCCTTTCAATCTGGACGGGGAAACTTTTAATGGGTTTGATTAGAAACACAAAATAGGGTATGATCTGGTTATCTTTCAGTCTATTGCAAAGATACTAGTTCTGCTACCATGGGTACTAAGAACACAAGATATTGATGCTTGGTTCACTGCAGAAAAACAAAAACATCGATTGCACTATATAAGCTTAAAAATGGTGCAGTACAATATTCCTGTAATGTTTCCACACCAACTTACAAGAATTCAACAACCATGAAGTCTTGAGGGGAAGGGCAGCACATGTTCAGGCATAAAACAATCACAGCAGCTCTCTGGCTTTGCTTACTTTTCCATGAGGGTTCTAGACCAACAGCCCAGATTCAAGTTACTTCCTTGGACCTGAGTAGTGCTGTCAGCTCAGTCTGCTGAGGCACGTGCTAGCTGTCAATTCTTCTCATCTTTATATAAAAGGAAGGATTAAATGTTATTACTAACGTCTCCATCCAGACCTGGTGATAGACTACAGGTAGGATGTACCTTCCACAGTCAGTGTGAATGGGGCACCTTGCCATGGGCTCCCTCTGGGTTGAAGTCAGTGGGCCCCCATCTAAGCTCAGGGATCACTAACTAGAAATGAAAGGTTATTTCCCGGAATATCAGAGCAGAACATGCCCCTCTAGACATAAAAGGGTTGATCAAAGTGAGATAGGGAAAGCGAAGGACTCCATAAAAATCTGCTTATGCTCCCTTCCTGCCTCTATTCTTGCTCGGACCTGCACCCCCACCCCGCTCTACACATGCCTCAGAAGGCAAATAGCATTTGGCTTCCTCTAAGGCACAGGGGTTCATGATTTCTCTAGGACAGATAACATCTAAGGAAGGATAGGGTGAGGATAACCGGACTAAGCCATCATGTGCCTATTTCAGACCACCAGCACTAGACATCTCTATGCCAAGGCCCTCTGGCTCCAAGGACTAACACTCGGACCCCTGTCTTTGTTCTGGCTGGTTCCTGGATGCCTGAGAGGACATGTACACAAGACCACCATCCTCAGTAAAAACCCCCAGACCCAGAACAAACACAAGATTCCTGCTCTTTTCCTTCTACAGCCTCGCAGGCACTCCGTCTGCATCTGCTCTCTCTGTATGTTCAATAAACTCTGCTCTCACTTCCTGCTAGTTCATGTTTGATTTCCATCCTTCAAGAAGCCAAGGACCCTCTGGGCTGGTCCTGTGGGACCTCTTCTGGATCCTTGGGCCTGGTCTGTTGGCATCAAAAGCAACATAGCTTCAAAGGTAAGAAGCAGCTCTAACAATGGGCAGAAAATGTTGACAACATAAATTGTTTAGTTAAAAAAATTTTTTGAAGTAGGTTTCATGCCCAGCATGGGGCTTGAACTCATGACTCTGAGATCAAGAGTCACATGCTTGGGGCGCCTGTGTGGCTCAGTTGGTTGAGTGTCCAACTTTGGTTCAAGTCATGATCTTGCAGTTCATGAGTTCAAGCCCTGCATCGGGCTCACCACTGTCAGCACATAGCCTGCTTCAGATCTTCTGTCCCCTTCTCTCTCTGTCCTTCCCCCACTTGCATTCTCTCTCTCGAAAATAAATAAAACATTAAAAATTTTTAAAAAAGAGTTGCATGCTCTACTAACTGAGCCAGCCAGGCACCTCAACAATTTAAATCTAAGTTTAAAGCATAACATGAAGAAAGAAAGAAAGCTTTTTCGGGGCTGAGTCTTATTTTGTGCGGGCTTCCTCATCAATGTTTTTAGCAGAACTAAGCTCTGGATTTGCTCATGTGACGTCTCACGTTTCACCTGGTCACAGGTTGGGGGGTGGGGGCACCTCTGGTTCTCTCCGATTACCTCTAATTGTTGGAGACTTCAGCCTCCCCGAAAGAACTCGGGGACACTGAACAGCCAACATGGCTTCAGTCAACTTGTGATACTGGCTTCTTTAGGCTTACTGCCCTGAGATTGTCCTAGAAGTGTGCTTTTCTAGGTGCAAAGCTTTTCACTTGCATTTGCTGAAAGGCATCATTCACCCCCAGCTGACTCTGGTGCCACGTAAAGATGCAAACTCACCAGGAAGGGGTCGTAGGAAGGTTCTGGGGGAGCAGAGGGTGTGCTCTCATATAAGGGGTTTGGTATATTCTCAGGCTGCTGCTTCCCGAGGGCTGCAACGTTGATATCCTCCTCCGACTGCTCAGAAAGACAAGCACAGGCTGAGAGCCAGGATGTCCCCAAGGCAGGAGCGGCTCATTCAAGCCCAGGAAGAGCCAGCCACGCCCCACCCACCTCCAGGAGCTTTGTCTTTTTAACAGTCCTTTACTGACACAAAGGTGCACTGCTCTTGAGTGTTCAGCGCAGTGGCTTAATCTGTCCATCCAGGTGTGACCCCCCCAGCCCCCCCACCCCCCACCCTCCCCCCCGCCTCAAGTCAGTGTATAGGGTGTTTCCATGCCCTCCCTCTGCCCCAGGAAGTATCCTCATGCCCATGGCCACCAGCACCCAATCCCAGCCAGGGTAACTGCTATTCCGACTTTCATCACCCTGGAGTGGCTTTCCCTGTCCTTGAACTTGATATAGAAGGGCTCATACAGCATGGACACTGCTGGTGAAAATGCTGGAGTGTATTAATAGGCAGATGACCTGCGAGGAGGAGCTGGCCTGCGGCTGGGGCTCTGCACTGTCGTCACCAGGCGGGTGAGGGGGGCAGCTGGAGAGTGGGGTGGGCCTGGCAGGGGCTCAGCTGTGGGGCCGCTGCCAAACCTGGTCCCCAGAGCAATCCCTTGCTCAGCCCAGACCTGCTGGCCCACATGTGTGCCCAACAGTTCAAACGGGGGGATGCTTGAGGCTGGCTGCACTGTAAGGCCAGGCCGTGCAGCTCCCTGACCCCGTCCTCCACCCCCAGAGTCAGTCAGCCCTGAAGCCTCCCCACCGATCAGAGTGGGTGCTTATCTCCCCTTTCCTCCAAGGTGAGCTACCTCCTGGGCGCCTGGCGAATGTGCCTCCAAGCCAGACCCCTGCACGGAGAGCCCATGCTGCTGGCAGCCCATAGCCCCCCCCCCTCACCAAAGCCCCGCTCAGCCAGGGCTTGCAGCTGCACCTGGGCTCCTCTCCCAGTGGGGCCCACCCCAGATGCGGGGGGCGGGGTGAGCACCAAGCCCCCGGCTACTGCTGGGTGGGCTCTGTGAAGTGGCCGGGCAGCTGAAGGAGCCCAGGGCCGGGCGCTGGAATGCAGAGAGCGCCCCATCAGTGCCTTCCCATGTTTCTCTGTCTTACCTCAAAATGCTGGAAGCCAATTGTTCTCCGGTTCAGTCGAAAGTAAGAATAGGCAGCCAAAGCAGCGGCTCCAAAGATCAGGATGGTGGCAAAGAATATCCCTGTCCCCAAGCCAGCGTGGACCGAGGCCTGCACACAGAGAGGGAAGGGGGGTTACTTAAAGCTGCTGCCTCCTCAGGAGAGGAGTGCCTTCTGGAGCCCACCTCATTCCTGCTGGCCTGATGCATCTTGGGGGCCAGTTGGTATAAAAATAAAGATAAGACAGGTGACATATACTTAGCCCTTGCTATTGCCAAGGTCTCTTCTAAGGTCTTTCCATGAAATACTCCAGTTAAACCTGGAATAGTCCCTAGAGATAAGGACAGTTATTATTGTTTCCATTTTTACAAGGTGGTGGGGCACAGAGAGAGGGTAAGTGCTTGCCCAATATCACACAGCCAAGGAGGAGCAGAGGTGGGCTTTGAACCCAGCCTGGCTTGGAGCCTATGCCCTTAACCACTACGCTATGGCGTTTCCCAGAAGCCCAGTGGGCTCAACTCTCCCTCACACTTTAGAAAGCAAAATAGTGACACCACCAACCAGCCCACCAACCCTTATCGAGCCCGTGCCGTGTGCCAGGGACTATCCTAACTATTTTATATTTTTTAATCCCAATTCTCCCAAGAACCTGGAGGTGAGGTAGGTATTATGACTCCCATTTTGCAGATGAGGAAAATGGGGCTTGGAGATGTTCTGGGATTTGTCGAGGGTTGCAGAGCTGAGGAAGTGGAGAGGCCAAACCAGAGCGCGGGATTTCCAACTCCCCTTCCAGTGGCCTCTCTGTCGGCCCATTCATTCAACAAACATTAATGGTGACAGCAGAGGTGGGATGAACCAGGGCCCTGTGGCCCTGAGGCCAAAGTGGGAGTGGGAGGCTCCTCCAGTCTCCAGAGAAGAGGGGGCGGGGCTTCTAGCGACAGTTTGCCTCTTGGGAAGTGGACACTGGACCCCCTGCCAGGAACCTTGGATACTCACCAGTGGGGCAGGGGGTGCCTTTAAAGGCCTGGAGATGACATGAATGATCCCATTGGAGGCAAAGATGTCCCACTGAAGAATGGCTCTTCCATCCACAAACCTGGTCTCCTGGGGACACGAGAGGAGGGCTGCTGGGGATCTGTGGCCACCTGCCTCTTTTCCCCACGCGGGCAGCCCCTCCGTGGAAGGCAGTTGCTCGGTGTTTCCGAGGTCCTGCAGTCTGCGTGTCAGACCTGTGGTTACCGGTAGGCAGCACAGCACTTCTGCTCACCACCTGGACAGCCCAGGACATGAGTTGCCCTGGGGCCAAAAAGCAGATCTAATTGCCACAGGGAACGCAAGGGCCATTCTGTCCTGTCTGCTTGTCTAAGAGATGAGAGTTCAGAAGGAAAATGGTTTGGCTAAGGTCACCCGGGTAGCAAATGGCAAGCCCTCAGCCTCTGAGCTTTGGGTCCACTGCTCTGAGCACCACACCGAGCTGTTAGAAAACGGAGTTTTAAGTGATCTAGTCCCCTGCCAATCAAAGCGTGATTTTTGTCTTGTGCTTATGGGCATCAGCGGGAGTTCATTAGAAATGCAAAATCTGAGGCCCCCATACCGCACCTACTGAATTATAATCTGCATTTGAACAAATCTCTAGGTGATTAAATGCATGTTAAAATTTGAGTAACACTGGTCTAAACCACTAATCTTCAAGAAAAGAAATAATTTATCAGGTAAAAATTAAAAAAATAATACTCTTTGGGCACTTGCCACACGTCATTAACAATTCTCACACGCCGCAAGCACCGTATCACTGAATCCTCACGAATGCCTATGATTTTGACACCACGGTTGTCCTGGTCATCACTACTGCCACCACTTCTCATAGTATGACCACCACCACCGCATGGCATCATCATCATGATGAAGATAATCATCACCATCACCATCATCACCGTCAGTGTCATCATGTCAATCATCAAAATCCATACCATCAGCATCCTGAACGCCATCACCACCCTCATGATCACCATCAATATCACCATCACGGTCATCACCAATATCATCACCGCCACCATCATGAAACAGAGGTGGAGAATCTGCCATTTAAAAATGGCTTCATGTAAAGTTCCTCACTCATGACCAGTTTCTGGGGCCGGTGGTCACCAGCGGTTTGCTTGCCAAGAGGCAGGGGTTGCCTCATGGTGTGGTGTGTCACTGTGCGCAGCTAGTACCGTCCCTTGACTGCAGGTCTGGAGTTTACTTTCACATACTAGTTGCCATCTATTAAGCACCTACTGTATGCTAAGGTCTTTGCACATATTATCTCCAGAAAATCCAGAAGATTTCTCATACCAGTTGTTGCTGGTCCTGGCTGGCGGTGATGAGCAGCTGGCTTCCCAGCTTAGTTTGCAGGATGGTACCGTTGACAAGGTCATTGTAAAAAAAGATGCTGAGGTTGGTGAGGTGGTGCTCAATGTCCCGCCCAGACAGCGTCTGAGAGCAAAGGAGAAACATAAGAATGGTCTGTAGAAGTCAAGCAATTTTATTTTTAATAATAAAGATGACACAGGGGGAAAAAAAATCTCTTCTCATAGCCTTGGTTTTCTGCTTCCAGGTGGAGATAAGGAATGTCAAGTCTTCTCAGGAGTCTGCTTGTCCGGGCCCTCCGCCACAGGCTCGCCTCTGGCTAGGTTGTGGCACTGAATGTCCTGTTCGTGAGGACTGGGTTGTGAGTGGGTAACGGCGGGCAGAGGTAAACTCCTCTCAGCCCTTGGGGGGGCCGGGGCCGGGGGCGTCAGAGGCTGCAGCCGGCCACCCGTGTGGAACAGCCGTTCCTCTGTGGCGTGCACGTTAGTGTGGTAGACTGATGGCATCAGCGGCTCTGGCTCTTCTCCCCTCCTGCATTCCTGTCCTTGGCCAGGTAACTCTGAGTGCGTCCCACTATGGCTTTGGGCTCAGCCACGTGACCTATGGGGCCCGCAGCACGTCAGCCAGTGTGACCAGTGGGAGGCTCGCTCACCATGAGAACATGCCCGGGCTGGTCTGCTGGAGGGCAGGCGGCCTGCGGGGCAGAGGCCCAGGCGGGTCGCCCCGGTCAGCCCACAGCCAGGTCACCACAGGCACGCCAACGTGCCCGGCCAAGACTAGACGTGCCCACTGCCCCGCAGATGTGTGAGCTGTGTAAATGTGTGGCCCCTGAGGTTTGGGGTGATTCGTGGTGATAGGTACTGATACCGTTTAGAAGCCCCCGTCTAACGCACAGGCTCCAGGCACCCGCCTCACCTCATTTTCCCGCAGCCCGCTGTTCTGTGGCACAAAGAGGGTGCTGCGGATTGACAGGTCCGTGAGGCGTTTCAGGAACGCCCGGCCTCGGGCCGAGCTGTTGGAATAGGCCAGCACTTCCTGGGGGGAGGAGAGAGTGATCAGCCCGGGAGCCCAGGGTCATGGGGCACCACCCATCCCAGAACCTTCCCGATGTTGGCCACGACTCATCCCATTTCTTCTGACTGACTCTCGGGAGAGCTTTAGGAGCATTTTTTCTTTCCTCAGTGAACCCCATCATCCTAAGTCACAGCCACCTCACAGACAACTCTTTATTTTTAAATTTTTTTTCAAGTTTATTTTTTTTGAGTGGGTTGAAGCAGAGAGAAGGAAAGAGACAGGATCCCAAGCAGTGTGGAGCCCGATGAGGAGCTCGAACCCACAACCCATGAGATCATGACCTGAGCTGTAATCAAGAGTCGGAAGCCCAACCTACTGTGGAACCCAGCACCCCCAACCCCCACAGACCATTCATGACATGGCAGCCTGTGCTGTCCTTTGAAATGTCAGGTCAAATCTTACTGAAACCTTGCAATGCTCTGCATTTCACTCAGAGGAAAAGCCAAAGGCTTTACAATGGCCCATGAGGCCCCAACCATCTGGACCCCGTTGCCCCTCTGACCCTGGGCTCCGGCTGGGCTCTCCCTCCCTCCCTCTGCTCCAGCCACACTGGCTTCCTTGTTCTTCTTCAAACTTGTGCAGCACACTCTTGCCTTTCATCCCTCCCCAGCTGTTCCTTCTGCCTGGAATGTTCTCGTCTCACATCCGTGTGGCTAACTCCCTTTCTTCCATTCGCTTTTTTCTCAAACGTCATCTTCTCACCAAGGCCTTCCCTTCTCACTCCGGAAAACGGGAACCCTGTGGTGGCACACCTTTCCCTCCCTGCTCTACTCCCCCCACCCCCGCCAGCATACATAATCACCTTCTAGCATTCAATACTATTTACTTATTCGTTTATTGTTTGTATGTCTATTTTGTTCACCAATATATCTCAAGCACATGGTGAGCACTTGTTAAATACTTGCTGAAACATTATAAGAAACCTCGGTACCCAGCTCAACTTTGCCATTGTGTACACGGGGCTACTGAAGCCTGACACTGTTTCCTCTGAAATGTTGGTACAAGCCAAGCTCCCGCACCGCAGAAACATGAATTTGAGGGTTTATATTTGGTGTGTTTATGGTAACCCTGAATTTTAGAACCGTTAGATGGATACCATTTGGTCTATGGATAACGACTCACCATTTTGGAGCCCTTGGTTTAACTTCTGCCCTGATCCTTTAAGCCCTATACTTATGCCCAGTCCCCTCTCCTTGGCTGTGCCCTTGACCTTTCTGGGAAGCCTCAGTTTCTTTATTTATAAAATGGGGATAATAGCAGAAATGACCTCATGAGGTCACATGAGAATTTATTCATACTAATGTGTGTTTACTGAGCACCGAGTGTATGCCAGCCACAAGGCAGAGATAATCCTTTCCCGCAGGGAGCTTACATTCTGTGGACTGAGTGATAAGTGCTCTGAAAGGGTTCAGATGTGCACAGCACAAAGTAAATGCTCATGAAATGCTAGCTATTCTTGTTCTTCTTCTTAGCTTAGCTCTTTGATCAGTGAGCACCAAATCCTTCTACAACTGGAGCTTTCTCTTCATTAGGCCTAACTTGTAGAATAACTGAAGTGACTGAAAGTGCAATACTAAGTGCAAGTTGAAAGTTGGCTCACTGGCAGCTAACTGGATAGCCCTGCCCTGTCTGCGAAGACAAGAGTGTCTCATTCCTGCAGATCAGACTCTTAAGCTGCTCTAGATGCAAGAGACAATGCCAGCTAGCCATGGTGTGGCAGTTCCCACGTGCTGGCCACGGTCTAAGTGCTTTACAAATACTAACTCACTGATGAGGTTAGTGAGATCATCCTCTCCATTTCCTCCATCCTGAGGGAACTGAGGCCCAGAGAGGAAAGAAACTTGTTGAAGGTGGTGCAAGTAAGTGGCAAACCCAAGCTTCACATTCCAGCAATGTGGTCTGCTGTCCAATATCTTAACCATGACTGGGAGCCTTTGGCTTCTTCCAAGGACTTGCCTCTGACTAACTGCCTTCCTCCCCTGCGGCAAACCCAAGCAGACATGGTACGTACCCTCAGGAAGTTTGTCAGCGAGGGGAAGGACATCAGGACCTGCAACAGATTCCCACTGCACGAGAAGCCATCTCCCACGTAGCCGACCTTGCAGGTACAGTTCACATCTGGAAGGCAGGGACACACAGCCCCATTCCAGTGAGCCAGGGGCCCGGCTGCTCCAGCTCACCCTTGGGGATGGGCTGGCCAGGCTGAGGACTGCCCCGCAGCTGGCCCGGGATCTGACGTGTAGCTGGGCTGGTTACCTTGCATCCGATAGCAGAAGACATCCCACATTTCACTCTTGTTGTTTCTCTGTCCATAGTCTATAATTCCCACAACACCGGAGCCACAGTTCTGGGAGGAATAGGCCGTGGGGTAAGCGACCCGCCCGCTCTGCAGCCAGCCTGCTGAACAGAGGTGGTACTTGGCCTGCAGGGACACAGACACGGCCGCGGATCAGTAGATCAGCTACAGGTTCATATTTGGAGTGAGGTCCTTTGGTGCCTGTCTGATTCTCCCCTCAGACTGTAAACTCCAGGGAGTCAGGGTCACGGCTCATTTTGTCTATTGGACCCCTGTGCCTGGACCACAGTGGGATCTCACTAAATTGTTCTCAATCAATTCACTGAATGGATGAAAGTGGTACCCTCTTTTTCTTAGAGGTGCCCAAGTCCTTCACGTTCGTTTCTCTTCTGTCTGTTCTTGACTTGAGATTTCCTATCAGTCATCTCCTACCTGGTTGTATCGAGAGATGGGGCAATCCCCATTTAGGACCTTTCACAGCCCCTCCAGACATTTCAAAACTCGGCTGTTTTGTGGGTTCAGGGAGATCATGGGCCTGCGGTTACTGGCCCCTTTCTGGTTTTTAGCTGTGATGCACGCACTCCCAGTCGCTGCTTCTGCCTTGATGGAAGAACATCATGGCAGAGAACAGACATCTGGGATAAGGGGCTACATCTGAGTCCTGGATCTGCCACCTCTTGGCTGGGTGACACTGGGCACAGTACTTAACCTTTCTGAGCCTTGCCTGCCCTGTCTGTAAAGTGGGAAGAGTGACACCTACTTCCAGGGCTGTTTACGGATGGATGGTGTTGTCAACACCGCACCCGCACAGTGCCTGCCACATCGTACGTGCCGGGTGGACGTGACGCGTTGATGGTATTGCTCCAGGAGGACCCTGTATTGCCCGTCGAAAAGGCGACAGCCCGTCTCCCTCATGCTGAGAAGAGGCCGCACCCCCGCCCCCCGTAGCCCCTGCCCGCAGGGCGCCCACTAACTGGAAGCACCTTCTGGGCATAGGAGAGCTGGTTGTAGGTTGCCACGGTCGCTGCTTCCTTGGCACAGGCCTCTACGGCTTTGTCAAAGGTCAGTTTATACTGGCCCAGTGGGGAGCGTAGATGGAACACTCCGACGGTGGTGTCTAGAAGGGAAAAAAGAGGAATTGTCCGGGGCAGCCCGCCTGGTGGGCAGGACTTCCGGCAAAGAATGCCAAAGCGGAAGGCCGGCAGTAGCCCGGTGCCAATTCGTTTCCGGGTATGTTGAAACACAGCATTTAAAGTATTTATTTCTGGGGGCACCTGGGTGGCTCAGTCGGTTAAGTGTCAGACTTCAGCTCAGGTCATGATCTCACGGTTTGTGGGTTCAAGCCCCATGTTGGGCTCTGTGCTGCATGCTTGTCCAGAGCCTGGAGCCTGCTTCAGATTCTGTGTCTCTCTCTCTCTCTGCCCTTCCCCCACTCATGCTCTGTCTCTCTCAAAAATAAATATAAAAAAAGTATTTATTTCTTTGCTGCAAACTGGTGCAGCTACTCTGGAAAACAGTGTGGAGGTTCCTCAAAGAATTGAAATGTGAATTGTCCTTTGACCCAGCAATTGCACTACTAGGTATTTATCCAAAGGATATAAGATGCTGATTCGAAGGGGCACATGCAGCCCGATGTTTATAGCAGCACTATTAACAATAGCGTAATTATAAAAATAGCACATGTTATTGTGGAAATTTGGGCAATACAGAAAAGTAAAAAAGAAATAAACAAAAATCACCTATAATCTTACCCCCTGGAAATAACTATTCCATGGCTAACATTTTGGTGTGGTTTCCCTAAAGAATTTTTACTTTCTTTTGGCAACTTTTTATTTTGATATGATTTCATACTCTTCTAGTCTTTTTACCTATGTATTTACATGTCATATACATTCCAAATGTGGCAGCTTACTGCATATAGAGTGTTTAGAAATCTTTTTTATTTTTTTTAATTATTATTTTTAAATTTTTAGAAATATTTTTATTTATTTTTTTAATGTTTTTTTATTTATTTCTGAGAGATAGAGAGACAGCATGAGCAGGGGAGGGTCAGAGAGAGAGGGAGACACAGAATCCGAAACAAGCTCCAGGCTCTGAGCTAGCTGTCAGCACAGAGCCTGACGCGGGGCTTGAACCCACGAACCGTGAGATCATAACCTAAGCGAAAGTGGGACGCTTAACCGACTAAGCCACCCAGGCGCCCTTATTTTTAAATTTTTATTTCTTTGTTTTGAGAGATAGAATGAGCAGAGGAGGGGCGGGGGGGGGGGGGGCAGAGGACCCAAAGTAGGCTTTGTATTGACAGCACACAGCCTGATGTGGGGCTTGAACTCACAAAGAGTGAGATCATGACCTAAGGAGAAGTTGGAAGCTTAACCAACTGAGTCACCCAGATGCCCCTAGAAATCTTTTTTTTACACTTAACATTAAATCATGATGATTTCCTCATATTACAAATTTTCTCGAGCAACATGATTTCCCCCTCAATACTTATAATTGAATAGTTTTTGGTGAACTTTCCAGACATGAAAAAACACTTTAAAGTGAGTTTTTGCAAAGTGATTGCCACTATGCCCTTAAAAAAGGTCTTCTAGGGGCACCTGGATGGCTCAGTCGGTTAAGCGTCTGACTTCGGTTCAGGTCATGATCTCACGGTTCATGGGTTTAAGCCCCACATCGGGCTCTGTGCTGACTGCCAGCTCAGAGCCTGGAGCCTGTTTAAGATTCTGTGTCTCCCTCTCTCTCTGACCCTCCCCTGCTCATGCTGTCTCTCTCTCTCAGAAATAAATAAAAACATTTAAAAAAAAGTCTTCTAGCCATTGCTCCCCTAAGATACTGAAAGATTTATCATTTTTCTCCTGGCTGATATCTTAGCCAGACAAGGAATGCAGAGACCAGAAATAGTTCAAAACCCGAGTCATATTTTTACATTGTCAAGTTCATTATCAAATGCCACTAAAAGGGCACTTTCTTCACCAATAAAGAGCTAAGTTCAAGATCTTCTTTGACTATAGACCCAGCAGGACATTCCACATGTTGTCTGGTCCTGTCAGCCCTATATCTGAAATGCATGCACTTAATAGCACGACAGCTTGGGTAAGGATGGATGACCTTGTCTCTTACTCAACAACACAATTCTTAGAAACTGTATCTGGGAGGATGTGTAACAGTATATGTGATCACCCTTTACTGTTAGAGATACATTATTTATAGTCTTTTATCATGTGAAATAACGCTGAGATGGTACATTTATCTTTATTCCCTTAGATTGTTTCTGGAGGATGAGTTCCTTGAATGTAGCAACCGAGTCTCGGCATGAAGTTTTAAAAATGTTTTTAAAGATTTTTTTATAAGGTTTATATTTATTTATTTGGGGGGGGGGCAGAGAGAGAGGGAGAGAGAGAGAGAACCCCAAGCATGGGGCTCAAACTCACAAATCGTTGAGATCACGACCTGAGCTGAAATCAAGAGTCAGGCGCATAACTGATGGAGCCACCAGGTGCCGCACAGCATGCATTATTTTAAGGCTCTCAGCACACAGTGTCAAGTTGGTTGGCATAAAGGCTGCAGCGGTTTGCCCTCCTCTGACCTGGGAGAATAGGCACATGCGGAGTGTGGGCTGGCTCTGTAACTGTGTCACAGGGAAAGCTGGGGGCGTAGCCCAGTGCCATCCTGCCTTGCTAAGGGTAACTGCTCAGCTACAGCAGAAGGTGGGTCCATCGTGATACCTGGCCACTTGGTAACACCACCACTTTCTTGGCATTCATACTCCAGCGGAAGAGCAACCCCCATGGAGAAGAGGGATGAACTAAACAGGTTTCCACCTGTGACTGAGCTGTGGCAGGAGCAGGGCTGGCTGCAGGGATCATGTCCTCCAGAAACAATCCAAGCACTTTCTGGACTTGGTACTTCTTGAGGCAGATGACTCGTGGATCAATGTCCCCAGTTCCAGCTGCTCGTTTTGGCCCCCATCCTAAACAGCACGTGCCTGTAGAATCTCTTTGCTTGGCCATTTTACCATCACCTTGAACACACAATATCCCCAACCAAGCTTTCAAACTTTGTGCCACGTTCCCTCCCATCGGCTTTATCCAGGTGTTGGGTTCGCTCTCTCGAGATGGAAGCCTTATGTGACTTACCTGTCCTATGACCATTGTGTGCCCTGAGCTCACCCCTCTTCCCAGTTGAGACCCTGTCACCTTGAGGTCATTGCCTTGACATCTTTCAAGTCTCCACCATAGTCCCACGCCTCTATTAAGCTTCTCTGAAGACTCCCTCTCTCATCTTTCCTAGAGATCTTTCCCATCCCTGACTATTCTTTAAAAAGTTTTCTTATTGTGGTAGATATATGTGACACACTATTTACTTTTTTGTCCTTTTTTTTAATGTTTTATTTATATTTGAGAGAGACAGAGCACAAGCAGGGAAGGGGCAGAGAGAAATGGAGACAGAATCTGAAGCGGGCTCTGAACTGTCAGCACAGAGCCTGATGTGGGGCTCGAACTCACAAACTGTTAGATTATGACCTGAGCCAAAGTTGGATGCTTAACCGACTGAGCCACCCAGGTGCCCCACTTTTTTGACCATTTTATGTGTGTCATTCAGTGGTATTAAGTAGATCTACAGTGTTATGCAATCATCACCACCATCCATTTTTAGAATGTTTCCATAATTCTAATCAGAAACTCAGTCTGAATTAAATAATGACTCTCCACTCCCACTCCCTGCAGCCCCTGGTAACCTCTATTCTACTTTGTCTCTATGAATTTGCCCGTTATAAATACCTTATATTTGTCCACAATATTTGTCCTGTTGTGTCTGGTTATTTCACACGGCATGATGTTTTCAAGTTTCATTCATATTAAAGCACGTTAGAGTTTCCTAACTTTTAAGGACTGGATAATATCCCACTGTACGAATAGGCTACAGTCTGTTTATCCGCTCATTTGCTGATGGACACTAAGGCTGTCCATCATTTTTCGGGGAACATGGCCATATATATATATATCTGTTCGAATCCCTGCTCTCAATGTTCCTCTATTCTCACTCTCTCATTGCACCATCCGCCTGAGATAAAGTGCTGTCTTCTGTTTTATTACTTGCCTTTTCTTGTCTTACTAATTCAAAAAAATGTCCTCAGCTATATGGGCAGTGTTCTCACAAGGAGACAATAGCATATATCCTATGTATTTCTCCTGCTTATACTTCTAGCTCATCTCCAAAAGGGATTTGAGGTGTCTTAGGATTTGATACATCTGATGGACCCCATGTTTGTGTCCCTCCCCTACCACAAATTCACAGATTTAAATCCTAATTTCCAATATGTTGATATTAGGAGGTGGGTCCATTGGGAGGCAATTAAGTCATGAGGGTAAACTCTCTCGTATGGGATTAGTGTGTGTGTGTGTGTGTGTGTGTGTGTGTGTGTGTGTATGTATTTTTAAAGTAATCTCTATGCCCAACATGGGGCTCAAACTCATGACCCTCAGATCGAGTCACATGCCCTACTGACTAAGCCAGCCGGGCATTGTGGAGTAGTGCCCTTATAAAAGGGACCCCAGAGAGCTTCCTGGCCCTTACACCGCATAGGAACACAAGAAGATAGCAGTCTGCAACCCGGAAGAGAGCCCTCCCTAGAACCTGACCATGTCGGCACCCTGATCTTAGCCTTCCAGCCTCCAGAACTGTAAGAAATACATTCTTGCTGCTCAGAAGCCACCCAGATGACAGAACTTTGATGCAGCAGCCTGAATACACTGAGATAGTACCGAACAGGTGTTAAGTCAATAATTATTATCGAGCTATGTAAAATGTGCCTCAATAAAATGCCCGCGTCTATAAAACAAACCTGGCCCAGTCACAGGTGTCCCATTAGTACTGATCGGCTATAACACATAAGGCCCAAGTTGCTTTCCGAACCACTGAAATACTCCCTGCCCTGGCTCAGAATTAGGTATGTGGGTGGGTCCTGTATGGATTTCCTCTGCTCGGTTTCAAGATGCCCTGTCGCCTGAACCTTGGCACTTCCCGCTTGGCTTTTTTACTTTACTGTGTGTTGTGATTCTTTCATTCCACCTGTGGGCCATTCAAATCACTCTCGGAAGAGAATGCCATACATGCCAATCAATGTGTATTATCTAAACAAGAACTAAGAAATTGCATCTTCGTGTGGTAGGCGCTTCCTCTCTGTTAGTTAAACCCCAAACTGTCCTCCTTAGATTCAATTCCAGTCAATGGTTGCTAAGCAACCTGGGGAAAGCACGTATTAAGAAAAGTCAGGATGGATGACCTTTGTGCACTGTCCTGGTCCTAAGGCTCAGGGCCCAGATCTGAGTTTACTCCACTCCTCTGCTACAGAAGCTGACTACCTTCTGGGCACTGGGTCCTGGGCAGGGCAATGCCTGGGCTGCTTGGCCCTGGTGTTTAATTTCATTCCCCTTTGCTCTTGCACAAGTCCCTTTCCCAAGCCTGACAGAGACTAGGGTGCTTTGAGGGGTGGCTGGGTGGCTCTGTCAGTGAAGCATATGACTCTTGATCTCGGCTCAGGTCGTGATCTCACAGTTTGTGAGTTCAATCCCTGCATCAGGCTCTGCACTGATGGCACAGGGCCTCCTTGGGATTCTGTCTCTCCTTCTTGCTGCCCCTCCCCAACTAGTGTGCTCGGGCTGTCTCTCTCTCAAAATAAACAGATAAACATTAAAAACCTTCCCCAAGCCTGATATAGACTAGGGTGCTTTGGGCCAGCGGCCCCCAGCCACACTGACCTTGGAAGTGGAGGTCGGCGCAGTTGGCATCAGCATGGCATTGCCCGTTGTCCTGCAAACAGCGGTCCACGGGCAGCTGCTCCGGCTCGCAGTCCATCCCGTCTCCCACGTAATGACTTTTACATTCACACTTGTGCTTGCCCTGGGGTGGGGCGGGGGGGGGGGGACAGCAGGAAAGATGAAAAGTCCCTTTTCTAGGACCCCAGGACCCCCACACACTCTGCGGGCCACCGTCCAGCACAGGAGACGCCCAGAAGCACCAGGAAAATGCCTCTCCCATCCAGCGGGAATGAAGTAACTGCATGTGTCATGTTTTCACCCTGGCTCACGGGGAAATGTCTTCTCAGCTGAAATGTCGCCTCCTCCGAGAGAACGTCCCTGGCGCATCACATGAAGCAGATCTCCCAGACCTTTCTACCACACTGGCCCAGTTTATGTGCTTCCCGACTCTGTGCTTCCCGACTCGGTGCTTCCTGAAGGCATCTCGTACATTTGTTTCTGCACTGGGCATCGCCTCCTCCCTGCACCCAGTATAAGCCTTTTATTGCTACATCCCTGGCACCTGCGACAGCATATAGTAAGTGCCTGGTGACCACTCGCTGAATCAATGATGATCTCATTTAATCCCCACAACAATTCTATGAGGCTGTACTATTATTAGGCTCACATAGCAGATGAGGAAACTGACACTCAGAGAAGTTAAGTAGCAAGCGCCAGGCCACAGAATGTAAGTCTGGGCACTAAGGCTCAGAGAGTGTGACTCTAAGTCACACTTACAACCATGACAGACATTATTGTCCACCACCTTCTTTTGACAGCGGATAAACAGGGCACCAGGGCACAGATTCCACTCTCTCTATACGTTTAAATTTATTTAGTTATTGTGTGTGTGTGAGAAAGAGATAGATAGAGAGAGAGTGAGAGAGTATGCATGGGAAAGGACAAAGAGTGGGAGAGAATTCCAAGCAGGTTCTGCGCTGAACCCTATGCGGGGCTCGAACTCATGAACTGTGGGATGGTGACCTGAACTCAAATCAAGAGTCAGATGCCCAACTGGCTGAGCCACCCAGGTGCCCCCGATCCCACTCTAAAAAGACTTGATTGAGGGCTCAAACCTGTACTTCCCCCTCCACTTCTTGCCAACAGTTTTTGTTTCAATGAACTTTTAATTTTGGATAGTTTTTTTTTTTTTTTTTTACAAATAGTTTATTGTCAAATTAGTTTCCACATAACACTCAGTGCCCATCCCCAAAGTGCCCTCCTCCATGCTAATTTTGGATAGTTTTAAATTTACAGAAAAGTTGCAAAGACAGCAGAACGAGTGACCATATACTCTTCACCGGGATCCCCTACGTTGCCTTCTTAGATAATAACAGCACATTCGTCCAAAGTAAGAAATTAACGGCAGCACATTACTATTAGCTAAACAGGCCGTATGTGGATTTCAGCAGCTTCTCCCCTCATGTCCTCTCTCTGCTAAGAACGCCCCTTTGCATTCAGCCTGCAGACTTAACAACACACGCACGGAGGTGGGAGGAAGTTGAGGAAGAAGCTGAACAGTGAGTGAAGTGAAGCCAGGCTGAGCAAGGGGCAGAAGGGCTCCCCATCCCCGGGGGCGGCGGGGATGGGACACTCACCGGGCCAGTCATCTTGCACGTGGCATGCTCATGACACCCGCCATTGAGGCCATCGGCACAGGGGTCGATCTCTGTGCAGCTGCGGCCGTCGCCCTTGTAGCCCTTCTGACAGCTGCAGGAGACCTTCGTGCCCTTCTGGGAACACCTGGCGACCCTGGCGCAGCCCCCGTTGTTCTGCTTGCAGAAATTCACAGCTATAGGAGCAGAGGGCAGACGGCTCACTTAACCACTGTCTGTGCAAGGCGGGCCTCGGATGGGGGCGTGGGCCGCCCTGGGATCCGTAGTGCTGGGGCATATATGGGCCCCGACATACCGGGGCCTTCTCTCCCCGTGCCCAGTGGCCTCTGTGCTAGCTTTTGCAAACACTGGTATCTTCATAGATACCCTCACAGAGCAGGCCCAATGACATGTGTCTACCTCTGGGCCCTTTGTCATATACCTCCAGCCTCCACTTTGGTAGTAGTTTTAATGTTAGGGCAGTTGTGTGTGTGTGTGTATCTGTGTGTTTGCACGTGCGCACACCTAGAATAAGTACACTCCTGAGTTCTTCGTGAGATGTGCACCATTACCCCCATTCTACAGATGAACAAACTGAAACGCAGAGAGTTTAACTGATCTGACAAAGGCTCAACAGTGATAACACGGTAGGACTGGGATTTAAACCCCGACTGGTCTGGTCCCAAAGCCCATGCATTCCCCACTGTGTTGTGCTACCCGTTGGGACCTTCGTTTTCACCACCTCCCAAATTTCAACCCAAAACTAGATTTAGGTCTAGCCTCAGGAATATCTGGAAAGCCATCTGGTTTCTCTTGCCTGGCTTTTCGCCTGGAGGCATGGCAACCAATTGAGACTTTGAAAGAATAAACATGAGGGCAAAAGGCCTCTCCTAAGGATGGCAGAGTAGAAAGACCGAAAGAACCTGGTCTTTGGTGCCCTTGTTGATCAGCGACCCACTTCTGGGCTGCCTTGCAGCAGGTGACAGAACAGCAGGTATAGCAGGGTCTCACTTCTGTAAAGCAAGCATCTGTTTGAATCTTTACACATGACAGAAGCTAGACAGTGCATGGGGCTGACACTGGTAGGTTTCTCCCAATATGTGTTGTCTCCTTTTTTCTATAGTGATGGATTTTTAGCTGGGCTCATGGTTGCCTAACCGAAGACTACATTTCCCAGGCTCCTTTGCAACTAGGTATGACAGATGACAAGGTTCCAGCCAATGCTATGGGAACAGACAAAATGTTTAGCAACTTCTAGGTGCATCCTTAAAGGGAAAGGGTTTGCCTCCTTCCTCTCCTTCTCCGTCCTGCTGCCTGGGATGTGCTGATGGTACTGACTCTCTCAGACCAGGTGAGTGAATGATGGCAGAGCAAGAAGATAGAAGGAGTCTGGGCTCCCATATGTCTTTTCAGATCTATGTTAGCTCTGGATGCCTCCATTCAAAGTATTACATGAGATAAAAATAAGCATCTAAACCTGCCTTGTTTATACCACTGTTCCTTTGGGTCTCCGTGTGGCTGAAGCTATATCTTAACTACTAAGTACAGACATTGCAAAGTTCAGAGTGGTACTCTCCAAGTGATGAGTGTAACTATTTTTTAAAAACAATTTTTAAATGTTTATTTTATTTTTGAGAGAGGGAGAGTTTGTGTGGGTGGGTGGGGGAGGGGCAGAGAGAAAGGGAGACACAGAATCGGAAGCAGGTTCCAGGCTCTGAGCTGTCAGCACAGTGCCCGACTCAGGGCATAAATCCACGAATCATAAGATCATAACCTGAACCAAGGTTAGAAGCTTAACTGCCTGAGCCATGCAGGCGCCCCAGTAAATGTTGCTTTTGTTTTTTTATTTTAGTACTATAATGTAATTTCTGAATTTTTAAAAATATATTGTCAAGTTGGTTTCCATATAACACCCAGTGTTCATCTCAACAAGTGCCCTCCTCCATGCAATTTCTGAAATTTTTAAAAGTTAGTCCAGATTATTTGTGGAGTTACAAAAACATTATAAAATAAAGTGCCTCAGTTTGAGTCTGCACAGCGATTTCAAAACAGTGACCTGGGAGGTCGGCGGGTCAGGTATGAGCAAACCCACTAAGGAAACTGAGTCCCAGAGAGGGTAGGTATGGGCGAAATGGCGCAGGCCGGAGTGGAAGGGGCAGGAAGAAGTCCGGGCGCTCTGACCACATCCCGCTCCGCTCCCACATGGCCCTGGTGTTTTGCACACTCGCGGACAGGACTCACCTGTGCATGTGATTCCGTCCCCCTCGTAGCTCAGGTTACACTCGCATGTGTTGTTCTCCTTACAGGTGGCATGCGCAGAACAAGGAGGTGTGCACACTGGGGGCAAAACTGTAAACAAAGAGGTCCCTGTTCGTGCCGTGCCTGTGGTGGGAAGACACGGGACCCTCCGGGACTCACTCTCCAGCCTGTCTCTGAGTTGCAAAAGTGCCCCCTGACAGTGGGAGCACAGGGTGATTTGTGAAGGTTCCTCCCAGCCTGAAGATTCCAAGAGTCCAGAATTGCTCCTTAATATTAAGACATTAACTCTGTAATGTTATTCAGACTAAAATGTAGTATGTCGCCTTTATGGGCAACCAGTTAAAACTTTATACCTCAACAAGGATGAATTTGGCAGATTAGCTCTTTGGCCCTAAGGGTATGGGGTTCCAGAAGGAGATGGTTAAATCAGAGGAGAACTTCCATGGCCTTCTGAGGCACTGCTAGGCTTGGGAGCAGTCTGGCGCTTTGGTGTGTGAGTAGGGCTGCAGTGTCAACAGGAAGCAGGAAGCCACGGGGTGATCAGGGGAGATGGGGAAGGCAGAGGAAGCTAAGCTAGGGGATTCTGGAAAGTCAGGTTGCTTAAGCCCATAGGAAGAACTCAGTTATGCCCTTCTGCACCCTATGATTCACAGTGGATGATTCACCCTTCACATCTCGGACCTTCCACCAGAACATGGGGCTCAGGGAGAACGGGAGGCCTCAGAACACTGGCTGCTCAGTAAGGATCTAGATTGTGATGATGATGATCATGATCGACAATGATAATGCCAGCTCCTGTTAGTGCCCACACACACCCGGCACTTCACAACCACCATCTCTGACCCTCACAGCTCCTTCTCCTGAAAAGTGTGCAGGGTGCACTTCTTTTTGTGGATGTGTGCATCCAGGCCCAGAGAAGGTGGGTTACGTAAGGCTATTTGTCTAGTAACTAGCAGAATCAGGGGTCAGATCCTGGACTCCAAAGAACTGTGGTTTTCTAGGAAAGCACTTCAGCTCTGTGTCACACACATCTGGACCACAATCCTGAGAGACCACGATCCTGAGGGACCACGATCCCGAGGGGCCACCATCCTAAGGGACCATGATCCTGAGGGAGCACGATCCTGAGGGACCCAGAACCTGAGGGACCATGATCCTGAGAGACCACGATCCTGAGGGACTCAGATCCCGAGGGACCATGATCCTGAGAGACCATGATCCAAAAGACCACGATCCCAAGGGGCCACGTTCCTGAGGGGCCACTCCTGCCCAGTCCTGTATCGTTTGCTCGAGGTGGGTCCTTCTGTGGTTGCACAAGATTGTATGCTAGTCTTATGGGTTTGAGTTAAATCTCTTCACCCAGTTTTCCTGCAAGTCCCCAAACCCCCCGAGGCCCAGGGCCACATATCCAAATCATATTTTCCTTGTGGAAAAGGAAAAACCTGCTTTGTTGTTTTTTCTCAGTGTCACTCAGACCCCTGACCCCAGCTGGACGCTCTCAGCGGGTCTGCCGCAGCATGGTGCTGCCGTCGGCCGGCCACTCCCATGACAGACCTGCCTGGGTGTCGCAGAAGCGGCCCGTCCACCCCGTCTCGCAGAGGCACTGCCCCGAGCCCGTGATGCCATCATCACACTGTCCGTGGTCTGAGCAGCCACAGGCTGTAAAGCAAATTGAAACGTGATCAGTAATCAGCGATCAGGGATTGAAATCCAATCAGCCAGCTCTCTGACCACCTGGTGGCTGTGTTATGGGTGTGCGGACACCATTCCTTGAAACCTTCCACACATCATGAATTCGGTGGTTATCATGAGGCAGACACGACTAGGCAATGAGGTGACAGTGAAAAACAGAAGACGTAAGGCTCCTGTTCTCATGGGCTTACAGTCTTGGAGTAAGTGGCTTTGAACATGTAATTATACACACATGGTGAGTTTTATAAACACCGAAGTGGAGGGTGTCATGGGGTTTGTAACTGGAATACAGGGGGGAGAGAACTCATCTGGGGCCTCCTAACAGAGAAGTCTATTTAGTGAAATCTTCAAGATATGTATCAATTCTTCCACCTGTTGCCACCTTGACGGAGCACTGTCAGCCGAGCCCAAGGCACCACCAGCCGTCACCTAGGTTGTTGCATTCGGTTCCCTGTGTCAGCCCTGTTCCTGTTCTCCTACAGTATATTCTCCTCAGGGCAACTGGAGCTGGAGCTGGGGCAATCCTTTCTAATCTGCTCATGACCACACCCCCCCCCCCCCCCCCCCCCCCCCCCCCCCCCCCCCCCCCCCCCCCCCGCCCCCACTGCATTCCCAGTGCTCCGCTTAGAACAGATGCTATCTATTCTAAGGACTGTCTCCTGGCCAAGAAGCTCTTATGTTACCTGGCCCCTGGCAACCTTCAGATTTCATTTCCTTCCTCTCTTCCTCTTCTTTGTCCACCTTGCTCAGCCACCCTGGCCTCTTTGCTGTTCCTTTCATGCCACGCCCACTTCTGCCTCAGGACCTTTGCATTTGCTCATTTCTCTTCCAGGAAAGCCATTCCTCTAGTCTGTACCGTATCATATAGTAGCCCTTGCTACAAGTGGCTATTTAAATTTAAACTAATTAAAACTTTAAAAATCAGTTCCTTAGTCACAGGTTTTGAGTGCTTAGTTAAGGGCCACATGTGGCTACTGGCTTCCATTCCTGATGGTAGTTACGGAACGTTTCCAACACGATGGAAAATTCCTTTGGATCGAGCTGCTGTTGGATGTCTCCATGCCTGCCCCTCTCCTCTTTAAGGTTTCTCCTCGAATATTCTCTGTGTGAGATGTCTTTTAAAACAGTGCCTTCCCTTCCTTCTCCATCACTGCTTCTTTTTTTTCTTTCTATCTTTATAACTATCTTTGTTTTTGCAGTTCTCATCTGTTTCCTCCCTTTGAGTGTACATTCCTTGAGAGCTAGAATTTGGTCCCCTTCCAACACCACTGCATTCCTACAACTTAGAACAATTCTTGGCTTTTGAGGAAGTCACTTGGCCTCTTTGTGCCTCAGTTTCTTCATCTGGTAAGTAGGGATAATAATAGTACCTACTGCAAAGGGTTGTTGTGAGGATTAAACAGTAAAACATATCCATCTTCCACGTAGGAGGCGCCTATAAACATTAGCTATCAATATTAAAAAGGACTCTAAATACATGTTGGTTGAATGAACGAATGAATGAATGAGTGTTGTTCAGCCACAGCTTGTGTTGATGGCCGCAGAGATGTGGATTTCACTTCTAGAGGTGAGGCTCTTTCCACGGATGGAAACTGGGATACGTCCAGGGAGGGAAAAGCATGTGAAGGCAGGCAGGTGGGAGGTGGGTGGGTGGGAGAGAGGGGAGAAGGGATGGTTCCGGGTCAGGCAGGGGGTATGGATGAGGACAGGGAGCACCCAGCTGACCAGCAGGCAGGGGGAGGGGGAGCCACATACGTACACTGACAGTCAGGCCCGAATCTCCCTGGCAGGCACAGCTCGCACGCCGTCCCGTTGAAGCCGGTTTGGCATTTACACTCTCCTGTGCCTGAGTACCGATCGAGGCAGACCCCCCGGTTATTACAAGGGGTATCTGCTCCGCCAGGGCAGGCTGGAAGAGATGAAACAGTAGTCACCCACCGGTCTCCCCAGGCCCAGAGCAGCTCAGCACCTTTGTAATCTTCATAATCGTGCAGCTGATGTGCCCTAGTGCTAGGCTGATCTCCATTGGCCCAGGGAGACCGTGGCCCCAGGACACACCTGCAGAGCATCACGGGTATTTAGCGCAAGCCAGTGGCCTCTGGGACACGAATTTAAGTGTATCTGATAGGATTCTACCGAGGCAGAGCAATAAGCTGAACCAGCACTGTATTTGGGGGTTAGGAGCCCTGGATCTGAGTAGACCTGGGCTGAATTTGTCTGAGCTTCAGTTCTCTTAGCTCTAGATGATGAAGATGATGATGACGGTGACGACACAGTGCCAACCTGGCCTATACCACACTGTGACTGAAGATCAAATAAGTTACTGCAACTGAGAGTACTTTAAAAAGATAAGGCACCAAACAAACGTAAGGGATGGTGCCGATTTTTGCGAAAAGCACACACTTAAGTGATGGAGTGTGGACGGACACTGGGTGATCATGTGCACTCCCAGCCCAGAATTTTCTCAACGGGACAATGAATGGAGTGTTCATGGTGGTTAAAACCATGGCTTCAGGAGACACTCTGTGGGACCCTAGGCTTGCTGCTTAGCCTCTTTCTGCCTCTATTTTCTCCCCTGTAAAATAGAGGTAATGATGGAATCTACTTCTTAGAGGTCATTGCCAGGTTTAAATATATTTTTTAATGTTTATTTATTTTGAGAGAGAGAGCGTGAGCAGTGGAGGGGCACAGAGAGAAGAGAGAGAGAGAATCCTAAGCAGAATTCTGATAGCTGATAGCACAGAGCCTGATGCGGGGCTTGATCTCATGTTTCAAGAGATCCTAAGCTGAAATCAAGCACTGAACGCTGAACTGACTGGGCCACCCAGGCGCCTCTTGTTACCAGTTGTAAGTATATTGTTAATAGATGGGAAGTAACACTCAATAAATGTGTTTAATTAAAACAACGTGTGGCAGGGGGCACCTGGGTGGCTCAGTTGGTTGGGCATCCAACTTTGACTCAGGTCATGATCCCACTGTTAGTGGGTTTGAGCCCCGCATTGGGCTCTGTGCTGACAGCTCTGAGCCTGGAGCCTGCTTCAGTTTCTGTGTCTCCTTCTCTCTCTGCCCCTCCTCTGCTCACGCTCTCACTCTCTCAAAAATAAACATCAAAAGAAAAAAAAAAAAACAACAGCGTGTGGCAGATGGGAAGGACCTTTTGTTATTCAGCTATTGTTGATGTATAACTGACTAGAAGTTCTGTCTATACACACAGATTTCAGGATGGGCCAAAGTGTTCTTTGGCAAGGAGCCCTATCCTGGTGAAAGAAGAGAGGGACGTGATGTTATACGTCCCATAACAGGGGATAGTAGCCCCCGCACATCATATTAGCACAGCACTCTGCCAAGGTAGAATTCTCCTAGAAGCATTTAAACTCGTGTGCTAATCGGTATCATGGACTAGCTTCAGAAGTGAAATGTGGTGTTTCTAGCACCAGGGAAAATGTCTTCTGCGAGAATGCTGAGCAAAAAAGCGCAACACAATGACAATCTATGCACAGTAGAATCTCAACTCTGTAAGAAACAGAATAGGACAAAAGGAAAAAGGATGAGGAAAGCTACACAGCTCTTTACAATGATTGCTTTTGGATCTTTTCTTGGAAGAGTCATGAAGGGAGGAGATGCATTCGACCCCGCCCCTGCAGTGTCTGTGCGTTCCTCGATGCTGCAGTGACTGGACAATCAGAATCCCGAGGCGGTAAGAGGCGCCCTCACCCTGACAGTCTCGCCCGAAGTAGCCCTTGCAGCACTTGGGCAGCCGAATCACCATGATGCACTGCTCCTGGCAGCCTTCCAGGTACCCTCTGGAGGCCAGGTTGTAACGACACTTTTGCTTCTCGCCCTAGAGGAAGAAAAGTGGTCCAACCTTCAGCCTTCCACTGCACAGCCTTCCACTCTGGTTCTAGTCCGCCCCCACTGGAGGATCCTGGGTACTGCCCAAATTGAAAATGGGGCTCAATGGCCCTGAGCCCTTTACAAAGGAATTCTTTTCTTAGGGGGGTAGTCAGATGGGGGAGGGGACAGAGCTAGAGTCCACAGAAAGGTCTCTCCCCAGTTTTAAGAGGAAGGACTTGCTGACTCCCAGAGCTGCAAAAGTTTGAGGTTTTATGGAGAGAGGGTGGGGCAGAGGTATTTCCATCATGCGTGGGGAAAGGCAAGGCCCCCAAATCATCAGTAGGGAAGGAAGGGATAGGTTACATTTTGTTTTGCATGGGTGTTTTGTTAGAGGTTTTGCAGTAGAGGAGAGAGAAACTGGCTTTGGAATAAGTAAAAAATGTAATATTTACGGAGTGCTTACTATGTGCTGGGCTCTGTACCCACACTTAAAATTTTACTTTTCCTAATAGCCACACACAGAATTGTGATTAACTTCATTTTATGGAGGCAAACCCACAGATTACGTAACTTGCCAAAGACTGCCCACTGGAATTGTATCCCATAGGCGTGGATTCCACATTTCATTGGCTTAACCATTGCTCTTACATTGCTTTCCGAACCCTCATCCTAGCTTCGCTCCTTACTAGCTGTGTGGCCTTGGTCTAATTGCTTACCCTCTCTGAGATTCATTTTTTTTTTTTTCGTATGTGTAACACTCCTATGAGTGTTACAAGGAGGAACAGGGGTAATGTATAAATAAAGGGAATGGCACACAGCCAGGGACAGGAATAGCACCCAAAATGCAGTTATTATTTTTATAATTATCATTATCTTGGAAAGTCCCTTTGAAGCCTACAGTCCCATGATTTTTCTAGAAGGTGGGTACTGGGTTGAAAGTTGCCTGGGGTAAGAATGTTCATCTCAGCTAGGCTAAGAATGCCTGGTTGTGAAAAGAATGATGTAAATTACAGTTGTACAACATACCCGCAGATGCACACACATGCACACTTACAACTCCCAGAAGACTGGGGTCTGATCATGGAACAAACATACTGCTCTCCAAACGTTAATCACCGCATTCGTAGTTACCTTTGGTTTACTCCACCTTGGGCAGCTGGGGGTATTGGCACAGCTCCAACAATCTCCCTAGTATGCAAGAAAAAGAAAGGCTTAAACATCACGAATGTTGGCAAACACAAGGATATGCCCCCGGTTAACATTTCGATTCTGGCCACGGTCAAGAATGCCAAAGCAAACGCACTGCCTGTTTGCCATGGGGAATGCCGAAGGTCTGTCTTGGCCCTCAGCTCCTTGGTTTAGTTCTTTGAGGTGAAAGGTTCTCTGCTCTACAGAGCTGACCCAGGGCGTCTGGTGTCATACAGGCGTCTGGGACAGTGGCCCCAGGAAGTGTGCTCACAAGTATCGCTTCCACTACCAACAACGGGTGATGCTTTTGGCCAGTCACGCTCTTGGATCCTTAGCTTTTGATCTCCAAAACAGAGAATGATTCTTGCTATTTGATCTTCAGGGGATTGGGGATGGAAAATACTGACTGCAAACACGTGTGCGAGTATACTTTGGGAAATTAGGAAGACCACAACCTCTACAGCAGAAAGGACAGCTGGGTTTTTGTCGCCTACTTTGGTACTGCACTGGTGTCTAAATAATTCAGAATATTTACCGAATCCCTTTAAGTTGCCAGGGACCAAAGCCAACTGGTCACAGACTTGCCATGTAGGCTACTTCATCTCTTTGAGACTCAATTTTGAAATCTATATCATAGAGTTGCTACTAACAACTCCTATTAGTGGATTATTTTAGAGGTAACATGAGTATTGAGCCCAGTGGCCAGCTCAGACCTAGTACTCCATAAATGATACTGGATGGATGAATGAGTGTAAAATCTTGAAGTGCCTCCCACAACCAGGGCCCAGGATGGAGACTGAATCGCCACTGTTAAAAGGATGAATGAGTAAAATAAACAGAGGTGTGGATGGCGTATAATACTCGGTTAAACCATATGAAGTTGCCATTTTTGTAGTCAGACCCTACAAACAGGGCAATTTTATATGGTCTCATCTGGCAGAATTGCAGAAGAATGTTGAATGAATGCGTGAATGACTGAATAGATGGGTGAGCCTGAAAATTAACCGCCTGTTGCAGAATAACTGGCACCCAGTGGTACCCAACAACTATTTCCTTACTGGCGAGGGAATGAACGGATGGGTAGGTTGGTGGATAATGGGAGTGTGTAACGCCTGGATAGGGCCAACTAGATGCCTGTTGATTCTGAGTCTCAAGAGCACCATCGTTTGGCCCTCGGATCTCACGGGTCCTGGGCTCCCTTGAGGCCCAGCCCTCAGCAGTTTTACGGCAGGGTCCCTGATAGATCAGAAGGGCTGAACCCCACGTGTCTCCTACTTTAGCAGTGTTTTTAGGACTGACCGAAAAATCGTAGGTGGCAAAAGTGTCACAGTGGCCCCCCAGGGTGGGATCAATCAGGAGGCAGTCAATGCCGTAGGCCACGCCCAGGTCAAACAAGAGTTCTCGCTGCACAATTCTGCATGTTTGGCCATTGAGGAAGAGCTCGCCCTGCGAGGGAGGGAGAGAGGGGAAAGAGAGAGCAGTCAACACCCCTTCTCAGACTTCTCTTCTGCCTAGGCTGTATCAAGTGGTCAGTACCTGCAAGGCTCAGAAAGAACTAAATACATATATATATGTATATACACGTGTATCATATATGTGTGTATATGATAAATACAGCAAACACTCAGCATGTATTATGTGCCAAGTAACGTTCTGTGTGCTTTATCTGTGCAAATTCTTTTAATCCTCTCAACAACCCTGGAGTAGCCCTGTTTACAGATGAGAAAAGCGAGGCAGCCAGGGGTTCAATAACTTGCCCAAGGTCAGGCGGGCGGTAAGTGGCGGTGTGGGCGTGCCTACCGGGGCAGAGGCCTCTGAGCCTACGCTCTTGGCTACTCTGCGACGCTGCCTCCACCAAAGGAGAAACAGGGGCAGCCAGGGTGATGGGATGGAACAGGCATGACCTGCCTGTGGTTCAGGATAAACTCTGGTAATGTGGCCGCTTTATGTGTAATAGCGTAGTTTTTTGTTTATTTTTTGTTTTGTTTTTGTTTTTTACTTAGTGCTAGCTCCCAGCAAAGTGCAGGTACAGCCTTTTTTTTCAGGATATACAAGCAATGGACTTTAATTCTCTAATGATGACAATAACTTCTCTTCCCATGTACTGGGCATTGTTTGGCTTTAGATATATTATTGCGCTTTGCTTGCAACAATTCTAGGGCTTTCTTCCTTAAGCTCACCCAGCTAGGAAATTGTTGAATATATCTCCCCCGTCCCTCTGAGGAAGAAAAATGCTTTTAGAAAGTTCTTTGGGAAAAAAAAGAGATAAATCTCAGCATCTACTGATGGGATGCACACAGCATGATTCAGTGGGAAGAAGAGTGGAAAACTGTGGTTAAAGCCCTCCACTTCCACATGTACTGTGTGAGTAAGTTACTGAACCACTATGAGTTTGTTTTCACCGGGTCAGTAGGATTAATGATTGCATTGCACAGGGTTGTTACAAAGATCAAACTAAATGATACCTTGCAAAATGCTCAGAAAGCTTTATTAGCACCCAGAATGAGCAGTGGAGATTGTTATTATACTTCTTTGGTAGGTGTGCAGTTTGATCTACGGAGATAGTATAGCTGATCTCCAGAGTGTAAGCACATTGGGAAAACTTTCCACAGATGGTAACATTTCTCATATTCAGTTTATAAATTCAATGCAATTACAATGCAAACACCAAAAGGATTCTGGCTGGTCATCAGAACTTTATGGCCCTTCTAAGAAGGCTCCTTGAAGGGAATCAACTCAGCTAGGGGCTGCATCCCTTTTGTCCTTCCTCCTTTGTGCTGCCTGGGAAGCGGGTGTGATGGCTGGAGCTCCAGCAGCCATATTGAGCCTTGAGGTAACACTGAGGGCTGGAAAAGTGCCGCAGAGCAGAAAACAGAAGGAACCTCCCCGCCCCGCCCCCGGCAATGAGCCATCATATTAGCTCTGGATTGGCTGCCTCCAGATTTCTCTTAAAAAACATACAAGCCCTTATTTAAGTCACTGTCATGTTGGGTTGCCCATTATATGCAGGATACAGGATGTAGCTGATATTATCCAATCAGATCCATTTCTAATGTGGAATTACAGGGAGGCAAAATCATTCAGAAGCTAGCCAGGGAAGGTGAAAGTTGCAAACTTTCTCTCTGTTGGCTGATCTAGGCAGACAGAGCCCAGAGCTGGGCTCTCTCTGCCAACAAGGGGCTTGGGGTGAGGCCGTAGTGGGGCTGGGAAGGACCGGAAAGGAACGACAGTACATTATCCTTGTCAAAACAAAACAAAACAAAACAAAAAAACAACCCAAAGCCGCTCTCTGCAAGTGTGAGGGGACTCTGTAACATCTGCTACCAGGGCTTATGCTGGCCAGGAGTTACCAGGTTTGTCATATCTAAATACTTACTCCCAGGGTGAGACCCCCAAAGGCAGCCAGAGAAAAGGGCTTGCTGCCAACAGAGGAAAAAACCGAGTATTCCTTGTTGAAGAGGCAGCGGGTGAGGGAAGCTGTCGATACTCACAATGTTCCCGCCGACACCACACTTCACGCCCAGCTCGGAGCCTTGCAGGGTCTTCCAGGCAGCAGAGCGGGGGAGATCCACCGCTAAAATCTGTAGGAGCGATGGCGCCACATTAATACCCCACATCTGGGCAGGAGCACCCAAGGGAGGTTTGCCAACCAACCAACCAACCAAATCCAGACACAGGTTTTTCCAGCTTGCCGACAGAATCAAAAGGAAGAAGAGTCCTGGGCTGTCTGGGGAGTTGGAAGTTCTTTCTGTAGGGCAAGTGTTCCCCCCCCCCCCCCCCCCCCCCCGCTGGGCCAGCTTCAATCCCTCCACCCTCTTCCATGCTTGGGAGTCCAGGGCAGATGCTGGGTTGGTGCATGAAGCCAGTGACAGGATGGGTGGGTCAGGGTAGGCATGGGGTGCTGTTAGCACCCTTCAGAACTGTGACCCTTCAAACGTTTAGCTATGGTCCTGACCCCCATTACCTCAGAATGTGACTTTCCTTGGCAGTAAGGTCATTGCACATAAATTAGTTAAGATGAGGTCACACTGGAGTAGAGGGGGCCTTAATCCAGTGTGACTGGTGTCCTTGTAAGAACAGAGGAGAATGACACGTGGACACAAAGCCACCGGGAGAGGACAGGCCGTGTGACGAGAAGCGCAGAGATTAGAGGGATGCATCATCCACAAGCCAAGGAATGGCCGGGATTTGCAGCAACCCCTACAAACTAGGAGAGAAACATGGAACAGATTCTCCCTAGGCAGCTCCAGAAGGAACAAGCTTGTCAGCAGCCTGGTTTCAGACGTCCAGCCTCCAGAGGGATACATTTCTGTCATTCCAAGTTTGTGCAGTTATTTGCTGCGTGGCCCTAGGACGCTAATATAGGTCCCGGGAATTAACCAAAGTGAGGGCATTTGGCATTCTTGGGTTAGGCAGACTCAGTCCTGGAGAGAGAGACCTGGGTCTTGGTTGAGGACTCAGAGCGACAGGGTTTCCGCGGGAGCTGCTATGCGTTACAAGACCTTGCTTACCTGATCGTGGTATATCTGTTCAGGAGTCACCACATCTGGGGGGATCAGCCCTTTGCCTAGACATTTTGGAACCGGGGGGAGAATGAGTCCACCCGGAGAAACTTGGGAACTCTTTCCAATAGCCATTTTGCACGTGCACTGGGGCAGAGGAAACTGATCTGCAGCACAGGAAGGACGCTCCTGGGTGTTGGTGAAGATTGGAAAAGAGAAGAATGGTAGGTGGGAGAAACAGACCAGGCCTGGCACGCTGGGGGGTGGGGGGGCAGTGGAGGACACCGGGGGTAAGGAGGGGATGCTCAGGCATCCTTCACACTGCCGGGCTGGAGACACACTGACCATTCCTGGCTTTGACCACCACCCCTTGGGCACCCCTGCACTCACGTCTGCATGGAAACAAAATACCTTGGCTTCTCGGATCACATGGAACTTCAAATACTCCTTCAGCCTGTCCTTGTTGTCTTGATTGAACAGGAAATCCTGTTGTTCACGGGGGAGGGCTTGCAGGGCTTGGTCGCTGGGCCAGAAGAGAGTGACCGGAGTGTGGATGGGGTCAGTGATGGCGCCCAACAAGCCCACATCCTGAAACACAGGGAGTCGGGCGCATGCACAGCAAACCCAGCCACGAGGCCCAGGGTCCTTCTGAGGACCAAAGCCAGCCAGGGGGTGGGGGAGGGGAGCCCCCTTCTTGCCGACCCCAGGGCTTCCTGGGGCTCCGGCTGGTTTAGGGGTGACAGCCTGACACCCCAACCATTCTGACCCTCATTTTCTTAGAGAGCAAAACAGAAAGTTGATTCCAGGCTTTTGTGAATAGAAAAAGAACCTGTAACAAAAAAATTTATTTTTCTTTGCTGCTGCTGTGCAAATATTTTAATTTCTGGAAGGTCCACTTAGCATTTCCCCCATATTTCATTTTAAAAAGTGAAACTTATACAGTATTGAGATACTGAGATCACATGGACTCAAAAGAGAAATTGCCAGACAAAGGGAGGGGAATGTTTTCAAGAACCTTCTATAACCCAGGTGCATTATATATATTGATCCTTGTAGTTTTTCCAATAACCCTATGAAGTAGGTTTTATTATTCCCTCCTACTGAGCTCCCCCCCGGCCAGAGGCATTTTCTAACTTTCTCTAAAAGCCTGTGTTCAACCAGATGTGATGCCCAGGTGTGAGGGGGACTATGTGGTTTTGTGGCTCGGGGAGCAGGCAGATACTTGCCTGTAACATCCTAGAGAGTCTCATTTTGAACACCTTGAAATCTCCATTTCTGAAAAGCTCCCCAGAGGGTGAGCCCCAGGCTAGTTTGGAAATAGCTGGTCTATGCAGAAGTTTGTAGGCTGTGCTACAGGGGTGGGTTGTGGGGTGAGGGTGGGGGGGCTGAGTTCTAAGAGTCCTCCTGGGGCTTCTCAGGGTAGGCGGAGGAGAGGGGACCTTGGAAGACCCTCTCCCTCCCTGATTCTCCTCTGAAATCTTTGAACAAGAAGTTTCTCTGCTCAATTTGTGGGAAAAGTGAAGTCAGAAAGATATATGGTAAAGCCTTGGATTGCGGATAACTTGTTCTGTGGGTGTTCTGCAGAAACACTTAAAATTTGTAATGAATTTTAACTTGATAATCAAGTGACGTCTTGCATTGTACGTGACTCCAAACATCATGTGATCACAGCTGAGTCAATGGTTCTCTCTCTCTGCAGGATTGTGGGTGATCCTCTCCCATGCTCAGATGCTCGGTCTCAGGCCATAGTGTTTGGCAGAAATCAGTGATTTTTCAGAACGATGAATGGTGCCCACAACTGGCACTAGTGCATTTTTTGTCACTTCAAAGCACCTGTGGACAGTCCTTTGCTTTTCCAAATAAGGGGAAGCTTAGGAACGCTTTGCTTCATTCTATCAGGCTGCCTGCAGATAGGGACCCTTTCCTCTACTGCCTTATTGCCAGTTACATTAAACTCAGTGCATCACAAGAGTTTATTAACACCGTACTGTATACGTGTGAGCATATACAGTGGCCACCATGCAGAAAGAGATTCCATTGGGCCAACAGAGACCAATGATTCCATTAGTGGTAGTGAAGGTTGTCCTACACAATAACCTTCCTCTCCCACGTCTCCCTCGCACCAGCCATGAAGGTTTTCAAAGGTAAGTGCAGGTTAATGTGTTTCGTTTTCTTTATATTTTGTATTTATTACGTTGTATGATATTATAGTATTATAATCATTTCTATATGAATATTTTTGGGATGTGGAACGAATCATCTGAGCCTTCAAGATTTCTTACGGGGAAATCGCTTTGACATACAAGCTTTGGATTATAAGCGTGGAACGAACTATGCTTGTAAGCCAAGGTTTCACTGTAGTTTAAAATGCAATTTCTACCTATGCCTCAGGCACAGAGTTCCCGCATCGGCATGCCATTGCTTGTCCCTATAATGGAGGTCAGATTTCCACGTGTGAAGCCCCTGGCTCAGGCACTGTGCTTCTGACCTTTCCCTTGCCCCAGCCTCACATACTTCAATTTCAAATTCAGCCGAAGTACATTATAGAGCCGAATGAACCGAAGGCTGTTTTGGCAACAGAGCGACAGAGAATGACTTTGTTCTGTTGGAACTCAGGACCTCCCTACACAGACCCCACGATGGCTGGTTCGCTCCCCAAACAAAACACCAGATGACAAAACAAAACAGAAAAACAACAACAAAAAACCCCCAAAGAAAACAAACAAGCAAACAAACAAACCCCTTCAAGAAAGAAGGGATTAGTAATCCCCTGGGTTACCTGTAGCAGGTTGCTAAATTTGGTGTAGCCGTGGTTTATTGCCACTGTTGTAAGATTTTGCTGCAAAGGCAATAAGAATAGGAATGATACCTTCCTTCATACAGTTCACAAAGCATGTTAATCAAAGCTCAACTGAATGAAATCAGGGTAAGGTAACGAGACAGGTACTGCGGATTTGCTCACCAGGACCCACTCCAGCTCTGAGATACCTGCGCCTTTCTGCAGCACAGCGGACAGGAGGCTATGCCTGACATTTTCCCAGGCTGCCTTGCAGCCCCAGCCCAACATGTGACATAGGATCAGCCAAACAGAAGAGTCGTCACAAGGACTATTGGTGGAAGGAAATGACATGAGGTGGAAGGGACTGCTAGCAGGAGATTCTGACCAGCAGGGTGGTGGGGGCAACTGGTGTTCAGACTGGGTGTCACAGGGGGTGAGGCGGGGGCAGGTCAGAACAGCCCCGCGGTAAAGGCAGGGGTTTGCTTTGAGTGACGTATATCTGTCATCCATCCATCCATCCATCCATCCACCTACCTACCTACCTACCTATCTATCTATCTATCTACCTATCTACCTACCTACCTATCATCTATCTATCTATCTATCAGCTATCTATCTATCTATCAGCTATCTATCTATCTATCTACCTATCTACCTACCGACCTATCTACCTACCTACCTACCTATCATCTATCTATCTACCTACCTACCTACCTATCTACCTACCTACCTATCATCTATCTATCTATCTATCAGCTATCTATCTATCTATCTATCTACCTACCTACCTATCTACCTACCTATCTACCTACCTACCTATCTATCTACCTACCTACCTACCTATCATCTATCTATCTACCTACCTACCTACCTATCTACCTACNTTCAGACTGGGTGTCACAGGGGGTGAGGCGGGGGCAGGTCAGAACAGCCCCGCGGTAAAGGCAGGGGTTTGCTTTGAGTGACGTATATCTGTCATTCATCCATCCATCCATCCATCCATCCACCTACCTACCTACCTATCATCTATCTATCTATCTATCAAAAAACTATCAAAAATCTATCTATCTATCTATCTATCTATCTATCTATCTAATCTATCATCTATCTCATCCATCGATGTAATTTCTCCATCTTCCAAATCTATGCAAAACCATCTGTCCTTGTGGAAACTAAGGAAAAACTTATAAAATCCATTTATCTCTTTAAATTAGGCTTTTATCCATTTGCTTCTAACTAGAATAATATTCACTAGGCTTTTAATAGTAGCTTGAGACTGAAGCGGCACAATTAAGATGGCTCAAAATCAGAACTGTGAAAGTACATCTTGATATTATGAGCCACTCTGTGATGAGAGCATGATAATGAGCTCACCCACCAGGATCCGTCCAGAGGCATCTTTGGGGGTGACAAGCAGGTTTTGGGGAGACAGCAATTTGTCTATGATGTGGATGATGCCATTGGTATTGATGAGATCACTGGATATGATCTTAGCCTTATTATTTATATATACTGTGTCCTGAAATTAACCAAGAAGAGAGAGGAAAAAAAAAAAAAAGAAATGAGCACAAAGAGAAATGGCCAAAGTCACTTCTCCCAGAATGCTTTACCAACATGCTAAATCATCATGAATGTGGACATTTAAGTAGGGCTGTGGGCAAAATCTGAAGATCTAAGTTGCACAAGCACGTTTCTTTATTTTGATTATAAAAAGAAAACTGAGACAAGACTGTAATTTTCACCCGAAGGAGTTCATAGCAAAGAATGAACCACAGTGGTCATTTCACTGTGATTGTCAAATATGAAGTAACAAGCACCTCACACGTGTTCTCTGCACCACCTTCTGCCTTCACCACAGCTTCCTTCCCTTTGCAGTGGATTCTACAGTGGCCACTTGTTCCTCTATTGTAGGGGGGGAGGGACCAGCATGGCCAAGTGGCTTCGGTCAAACGTGTTCACCCCTCTCCAGCTTCTGACCAAAAGCAGCTCTGATGGCCGCTTGAGCTGTTCCAGCTGTAATATTTACTTGCTGTGTGACCTTGGACACGTCACTTATCTCCTCTGAGCTCAGTTTCCTAATTCATAAACTGGGGAAAAGAACAGTATCTACATCATGGGATTCTTCTGAGGATTAATAAAGTTACTACACCTCAAATAACTTAGAATACTACGCGGCATATAGCAATCACTCAACATGTATCAGTTGCTATGATTACTATCATTACTGGTATTACTCTAAAGAAGAGAAGAGAGAGGGCCTAAGAAAGATGGTCATCTTCCCAAGGTGCCTCGCTCACCTGAGAGACGGAGATGACGAGTGACTCCCCTTGGAGAGAGGTAGCGTTTGGGGTCAGCTTCAGGTTTTCTAGAAGCAGCTGGTGGCAGGCGATCACATGGTAACGAAGAACTTGGGGCATGAGACCCTGTCTGTCCCAGTCTCTAACCTGCGACAGAAGATGGGAAGTTCTAGATGGGGCCAGAAGCCTTTGTGGACCTCTCCTGCACGCCCTCCCGGCGGCCTCTCACCCAACCCCGACTGGGAAGGAGGCAGTCAGGGGTGGCTTGTGGTCAGGTTTAGAGTACAGGCTGTTCAGGCAAGAGGGAGAAAGCAGCCCTCGCTTCTTCCCTGCTTCCGACTCTCTGAGTGAGTGGAAGGGAGCTTGGGGTTCCTCTGGTCCAGCATTTCACAACACCTGTGGCAAGGAGCCGACGTCCTGTGAGATGCTACTTGAAAAATGACTTTTCTTGTGAAAAATGCTGGGAGGCACCGCATTGCACCTGCGCCTCTCGGAGGGGTACCTGGGCCAGATTTCCCGTAGTGTGGAAAGATCACAATATTTTCCCGTTGTAAATCAAAGCACAAACAATAACCATTAAGTCAGTGAAATAAAAAGCCACAAGGTTCTCATAGCTTCAATTGCTTCGTGGAACCTCTTTTGATGCTTTTAAGAGAGAAACGATCAAACGTCAAACTGTTTCAAGAAGTTTTTATGTGCCTCTGTTTTTGTGTGTAGAGAAGACTGCACGGTTTGGAGTCACGTTTCAATCCTTGCTCCAACACTTGCTAGTCATGTGGCTTTGGGAAATTTACTTCTGTCAGTGTCCTGGACCGCAAAAATGGGAACAAGAGCACCCCATGACAGGGTTGTCATGAACACTAAATGAATTAATCTAGGTCACATACTAGAAACAGTGTCTGGCACACTCCATTAATGTTTGCTACAGTATTATATGTTAATGGGTAATCCTGCATGAAGAGTCCTAGTGAATGTTAGAACAGTAAAAGTTCTGATAAGGTCTGCAAGGGGAAAAAAAGGCTTATTTTAAAGCCTTTACCCAGCATTCTTTTTTCTTTTTTTGTCTATGGAAGGTTTGGATCACTTAAGAATTGTTGATCTTCTCTAGTTTCCCAGTCTCTCAGAGGGCCTCTGGTCATTGGTTACCCCAAGTCCACTTAAATGCTTTCTTTTGACAGGGGGTCTCTAAGCTGAGAGGCAGCCTCCTCCATTGCTGATTAGCTCTAGTGGATCCTAAATCTCCTGCCCAGAAGTGTCTCCCTCACTGGTTCCAGGGTGACACCCCAAGATGGGGTTCCAGTCCCAAACCTCTCCGGCTTGCTGAGAGCTTCATGCTTACCCGAGGCTCCTCATCAAAAGCTGCTGATAAAGGAGCAAAGACCGTGAAAGGGCCCGGGCCACTCAGATCCCGCACAGAATGCTCCTGCGGGAAGGAAGGTGGGGCCACGTGTCACGTACTTAACATACAGATAGTATGAAACAAGTAGCAGAGAGTCAGTGGTGACAGAGGGGAGTGAAAACTGAGTCTGGAATCTCTGTTTTCTTTAGTCTCAGATTCAAATTCATTCCTGTTGTCATTGACATAATGTTTATTTTTATCTGGTTATAAAACAGCATATGTCAGGGCGCCTGGGTGGCTCAGTTGGTTGAGTGTCCGACTCTTGATTTCGGCTCAGGTCATTATCCCAGGGTTGTGGGATTGAGCCCCTGGTTGGGCTCTGTGTCGCATGTGGAGCCTGCTTGAGATTCTCTCTCTCTCTCTCTCTCTCTCTCTCTCTCTCCCCTGCCCCTCTCCCCACTTGTGCTCACTCTCTCTCTTGAAAAAAATGCTTACTGTGTTAAAGATTTGAAAATAAAGCATAAAGAAGGAAATAACTACCCATAGTCCCACCGCCTAGAAGCAACTCCATTGTTCTTAGGTATTTTTTCCCCAATGTCTGTTTTACATACAAATATTTTACATAATTGGGATAATTGATTGATTAAAAGATGACTGATTTAGCTGTTCTTTTATTTATTTATTTTTTAAAGTTTCATTTTATTTTATTATTTTTTTTAATGTTTTATTTATTTCTAGGAGAGAGAGAGAGACAGCGTGAGCAGGGGAGGGTCAGAGAGAGAGGGAGTCACAGACTGAAACAGGCTCCAGGCTCTGAGCTGGCAGTCAGCACAGAGCCCGACGCGGGGCTTGAACCCACGAACCGCGAGATCATGACCTAAGCGAAAGTCAGACGCTTAACCGACTAAGCCACCCAGGCGCCCCTGATTTAGCTGTTCTAATTGTCTTCTTGCCAACGTTAAGATCCTATGGTTACTTATATTTTCTTCTAGGTTTTATGATTTTATTCATTTATATATATATTTTTAAAGTTTATTTATTTTTGAGAGAGCAGGGGAGGGGCAGAGAGAGAGGGAGAGAGAATCCCAAGCAGGCTCCACACTGCCAGTGTGGAGCCCAACGTAGGGCTTGAACCCACCAACCGTGAGATCATGACCTGAGCTGAAATCAAGAGTTGGACACTTAAATGGGGCGCCTGGGTGGCTTAGTTGGTTAAGCGTCCCACTTTCGCTTAGGTCATGATCTCGCGGTTCGTGGGTTCGAGCCCCGCGTCGGGCTCTGTGCTGACTGCCAGCTCAGAGCCTGGAGCCTGTTTCAGTCTGTGACTCCTCCTCTCTCTGACCCTCCCCTGCTCGCACTGTCTCTCTCTCCTAGAAATAAAGAAAAAAAAAAAAAAGAGTTGGACACTTAACTGACTGAGCCACCCAGGCGCCCCTTATTTGTTTGTATTTTTATCTTTTATTTTTCAAGATATTTGGAACTTATTCCAACATATGATGTGTATAAAGCCCTAACTTAATATTTTCACCCGGAGTTAACCAACTGCCCCAGGAATGCCTCTTTCTTCTGGTGTGTTGGTGGTTTTTGCACGCGGTGTGCTCTTTGTTATAGAACAGGCCAGACACCCACGTTCCCAGACTTTTTCTCCCTTTGCTGACTCCAGAAGCTACAGTTTCTCTGTGTCTGGCTGGAGACCCGGCTCCTACAGCTACAGAGAGACACACACGTTCTTACCAGCAGCTGAAAGAAGTACTGAGACGTTTTGGGGTTCTTGGGAAGCTCCTGGAAACAAAGACAGGGGAGGGCCACTTCATGTCTGGGATTGTACGCAAGATCAGTTCAAGGCTGTCGCACAACAATTTCTGTAAGTTGGAGAGTCTTTACCCCACTTTCAGCTGCTAATCTGCCCCCAGGGGTCTTCTTTTTCCAGCCCCATCTACAGGCCTCCCGTTGATGTTCAGAACGACTATGGGGACATGCTGTGAATCCCACCTGATTTATCAAAGAAAGGTCTAGCCATTTCCAAAAGCAGCTAAGCTTTAGAAGCATTTTTTAAAGTCCAAATATTTAAAAGAATCAGTTATGGGTTTATGGCAGATTTAATTTCCATTAACAAGAATATTTGATTAGCCAGACTGCTCTAGTCCCTCTTTAAACCCAAGAACAGAATATTCACTTTATAAAGGGGTGGAAATCTACAAGTATCACTCTGCCTCATCTGCTGTGACCAGTAGAGATGCTTGTGGGTTGTACAAGCACACACACGATCCCACAGCACCCCACATCAAGGCTTTTCAGTTACTGTGTGCTCTATGCTTGTTATATATATTATATCTGCTAACAACCTGATGGGGTTGGTACCATTAGATTTTTTTTTTTCTTACAAATTAGAAAGCAATGCATAGGGAAGTCATGTAATTGCCCAATGTCTCATTACTAACTGAGAGTTGAATTCAAACCCAGGTGCTTCTGACTCCAGAACTCACTGATGTGAGGATTCTCATGGGCACATACCATCTCTTCCCATTGGCGATTTATATAAAAGCAGACTTTCACCTTTTGTAAAGCTTTACAAGTTACAAAACTCTTGCCCAGTCCTCAGGTATCTGGATTCTTAGCACAGCAAGGGAAGGAAGGTTCGCTTGATGGAAACACGCCTTTCGTTACCTGATAGATGTTGCCACGGCAGGTAAACCCATCCCCAATGTAGTTTGGCTTGCAAGTGCACGTCCTATCTCCTTCTCCAGTGTAATTGCAGATGGCAAATTCACTACAGCCGCCATTTTTCTGGGAAAGTTTCGGGGGGTGGGGGGAAAGAGTTAGCCCAGTTCGCTTGCTGGCTCTGCCAATATTCACAAAGTAAATCTGTACTGAAATGTATTTTTGTACTCACTCTCTAACTGACTGGTTTGCATTACTGCCCTTCTCCTGACCCTGCCTATCAACTCCCCATAGCGGTAAGGGCCATGTATTCACCCAGCCACGTCTCCCAAGATGGCGGGTCCAACCAAACAGATCTCTGGCTGTAAACAGACAAGCTCAGAGGCGCCAAATGGAATCTTTTTCAGCACAGGGGGGTTGACTAGAAAGGCACCAATCTTGTCTGACAATTTCCAGCTTTAGGCTGAAATTCTGATCTCGTAATGGCTAGGTAGCAGTCATCCGCTAGGAGGCAGTTGGTGTAAAACAGATAGAATACACTGCCCTTGTCGACAAAGAGCTAAAAAACTGTGGAAGACAGGACAGAGACCTAAAAATAGAAAAAAAGTGAAGTACGGTTCAAAGCCAACACCTGTAGGAATGCCAAGAAGGAGTCTGCTGCCTGAGCAGTTTCCAAGTGGGGAAAGGATGTGAGCTTAGGAAAAAGAACCACGATGGGGTTGAGCAAAGGAGGAGGTCAGCAGACTTGAAGGTCGGCTATGAAATCTTCATTTCCTCTAATCCTTGTTCCCAAAGCCTTAGTGGAGCATGCTGTTTGGGCCCAGGAGGGACTTACTGTCTGTCCCAGGTTCCTGCCTCAAACTGACACAGCTCAGTGAGCTCTTCAAGAAAGCTGCCTTCATCATCCTTGGCGGCATCAACATCTTGGTCAGTGGCCTCCACGGCACCTGGCTGCACCCTGCCTCTGCCGCCAGCCCCTGACCGCCCTTGACTTTGTCTCCACAGTCAAGTGGACCCCTCCTGAAGGCTCTGCTTCAAGCATCCTGCTCTCTCCGACCACCAGCTTTCATCAGCTCAACTCACCTCTTCTAATGTTGCAGCTCCAGCCCTGACCCATAGGGGGCTCCCTTCCTTGAAGCTACTTCTCTCTCACCTGCATGGCCGCCCACCCACTCGGTCCAGTTGGGCCCCACTCCTACCTGTGCCCTGGCACAATGGCTTGGCAAGCTGCTGCTTCTGGGCTGGCCCTGACTTGCGGTGCGCTGCTGGGGCCAGGCCCTCGTGGGTGCTGCCTGGATGCCCTTCAGAGCTATCACTTCTGTGCTCACCCAGAGAGTAACTGCTCTCTTCCTGGGAAAGACACTTCACACCTTCAGTCCTACCTCCAGCCCTCAGCCACTGCCCCTCACTCTCAGCTGACGGGCTCACCTCATACCCCACGGAGACAACAGCCACCCTACCTTCCCGCCCTGACGTTCACTGACCACGTGCGCCTGATACCAACACTACTTTCCTCAGTTAACAAGTGAACTTACAACAGATGGACGGACTAGTCGTTTACACACTAGGTGTCCGTCTCTGCCCCCTCAGTGTAAAGTCATTAAGGGAAGAAGCCTTGCTGCTTGGTCACTGATGAATTCCCAGTGCCTAAAATGGTGCCTGGGAGCTAGGGAGTGGCTGTGAGAGGTGTCCCGCTGGATATGTAGAAATGCGAGTGGCCTCTGTCCTCACGGGACTAAGAATGTCTTTAGAATGATCAGACACATTTTCAAGCTAGTTCACAGTAAGGGCCCCGTGAAGCATGTGCCCATGAGAGACTCAGTGACTGACTGGTGGCTAACGAACTGACTGACTGGTTATCTACCTGACTGACAGCCAGACGGACTAACTACCTGCCTACCTACCGCTGCACCTGCTCCTACCTGAGGCTCACCTGTGGGCTCTGGGTCCCCGTCCCCTCAGCCACTCCTGTACCCTCCGCCTTCTCTCCTTCAGTAACAGTTTCCTTCTCTCTGTTGGGGACCGTACTCATCAGCATAAAAGCACTCCTTCAGATTACTCATCTTGCAAGAAAACACACTTCTGTTCTTCTTGAAAGAATCCAGTGGCGGGTGGCAGTCATGGGTGCAGTGGCCATGAGTTAATGACTTGCACCTGACTGTCAGGTGCGCGTGGATTCATTGCATTACTTGCCAAGACAAGGCGGCCATTAAAAAAACCAGATGGAAACGGCCATTGAGGAACTGCTGTGCAAATAAAGCTGCGTGGGTCTGGTTATTACAGCTCCACATCCCAGCACCTGTTTTCTGTAGCGGTTTCACGTGGGGACATGTTCTCCTGAGGCACTTGCCAGATTGACACAGAGGGACAGTATGGACGTGGCTCAGAGAGGATGGGCTTTAACTATGGGACATCTATGCTGTTTTCACGCCCACAGCGGGAGGCTCCCACATGGGCAGTGACGTGAATAAGGGAAGTAAGATGCTTGGACAGTGCCTCCTCCGGGGCTGACGGCCTCGTGGGAGGAACAAGCACCCCCAGAGTGGTCAAGGGTGCAGCCTTGGAGTAAGACAGACATGGGTTCAAGTTCTGGCTGTGCCGTTTGCTCGCTCTGTACCCAAAAGGTACGCTCGTGTCCTAAGCCCTCGCATCTGTGAACGTGACCTTGTTTAGAGAAAGAATCTTTGCGGATGTAATTAAGGACTTTGAGACGAGAGCATCCTAGATGAGGCAGGTGGGCCTTAAGTCCATGGTCGTTTTTAGTAGAAAAGACGACACTGACACCGAGGTGAAGACAGAGGCACAGAACGGCGTTTCTCTAGCTACAATTGGAACAGGAGGGCAAAATACGCCCCAGGGCTCAGAAGCAGACTCCGAAGGCGGCCTCCTTGATGCACCAACCCCTGGAGGGCAGGTCAGAAGCAGCCCAGGCCGGACCTCAGGGCACCGGCCCCAGCGCCCTACTCACCGTTAAGCAGGCGTTGATGAGCGTGCAGACCTTCCCGTTGCCAGTGTACTTGGGCAGACAGTTACAGACCGCCTGTCCGGGAGGGGAGGGAAGCGGGTTATTTCACGGAGAGATTCTGCTGGCTCCCACGCTCCCACTCTGCGGTGATCACGGCAGCGTTACAAGGGTCTGTATCTGATATCGGCAAGATCTATCCTACGATATCCTGCATTTAGTGCACTTGGCAAGCTTCACTCTAGCACAGGGATCTCCTACGGAGCCTAACTGCGCTGCCAAGAGATTTTATTTTTTAACACATTCTTACCTTATTTGGTCCCTTGCCTTCTTGGCATTGGCACTCACCTCCTTTGTCCCTTTGGTTGGTAAGGCTCAGGTGTGGGACGCTAGGCTATGGCCCAGCCCCATTCACACAGAGACCTTGTGCGGCTCTGCCCCAGGCTCAGCCCCAAGGTGCCGCGCTGGGAGGTGCTGGCGGAGGGCTGTGGCCTCACTCAGGCGGTACACATGAAAACGGTCAGCTAGACCCACTATTTGGCCAAGGATGTCAGTGGAGGCTTCAAGTTGAGGGAGGGGACACTGCGGGAAGCTGGGGGCTGCTTAGTTCGGCCTCATTTCCCCCGTGCTCTGCTCAGGAGGAGCGGCACAGGAGCGAGCGGGGCTGAAACCCCGCTATGTTACTATAGTTACTGAGTTGTGTGCCCAGAAGAAAGGGCACTTGCTCCTAGTGTGTCCACCAGAGGGGAGGCTTTTCTTTCCCAATCCACCCAAGCCACACAGGAGAGCTGGCTCTGGTCTGAGAGCTTGTTAGCGCCTGGGCTCACTGACAGGACCAGCCAGGCCAAATGGCAGATTTTCACTCCTCTGCCTCTTCCTTCCTTATGGGCTCTGACCTTGGCCTGCACCGTCACCAACACACCCACCGGCTGTCCCTCCTGGGCTAAGGTCCTGTCCCAGAGATCAACTCTGTGTCCTTCTCACTGCCTTCTAGGTCTGGAGAAGGATTTGTAGATGCCCTGAGCACCAAAACGCTTCTAGGTTTTCCTTACTCCATATGTGGTTTGAAATAAGAGCTCTGATGAACCCCAAAATATGTCTAAGGTAGCCCAATATTGCTTGTTCTGGTTTTCCCCAAGACTATGTGTGTAAACACACACACACACACACACACACACACACACACCAATTCTTTCAAAATAAGGGTGTTTTTTTCCTCCTTATTTTTGGGTGCTTTAGGCACCCGCTTGTTCTGATCATTGGGAGACCAGGCTAAGCAAGGTTCATAGAACATTCACTGGGAATTTCACTTCATCATCCAGTTTCAGATGTATATAATTTCCCGAGTATTGGGCTTGTTCGGGCTGCAAAGTTCACTGTGTTAGGGAAATATGTGATTAGCAGAAGGCCTAAAAACACTATCTTTTTAAAAAATTAATTATTTTAAGTTTACTTATTTGTTTCAAGAGAGACAGCGCAAGATAGGAGGAGCAGAGAGAGAGGGAGAGAGAGAATCCCAAGCAGGCTCTGTGCTGCTAGTGCAGAGCCCGGAGTGGGGCTTGAACTCATGAAACCACAAGATCTTGACCTGAGCTGAAACCAAGAGTCGGATGCTTAACCAGCTGAGCCACCCAGGTGCCCCTAAAAATGCCATCTTATGCTGTGGCACATGCATTTCAGGGCTTCAAGCCAAAGAAAATGTGTGTGACTCTAGGCATCAGGAAGCTGAAAGGAGAGCATTGTTGGGAACTTTCTAGGTGCTTCTGGAACCATGTGGTGTCTGCAGATGTCTCCCGCTTCCCACTCAGGAAGCCCCTTCTCCCAAGGGCCCCCTGTTCCCCTCACACCCCAAAGAATGGCCTCTTAGGAGATTTTTCAGAAATTCCCCCTAAAATATTGGTTTCATGATGCTGGTGCCCACAGGTCTGTTCTCAGCCCCCTTCCTTCAGGCCTGGGTCTGAAGGCTCAGGAATTGTGCCTAGGAAAACTTAGGGCCCTGGGTGGGGGTGTGGCTGGGCTCACCTGGTTGGGTCCCGTCTGAGTGCACTCTGCGTTCTTGTGGCAGCCACCATGGTTCTCCAAACACGGGTTGATCTCTTTAAAACAAAAAGCCAGAGCCCAGCATGAGAGTCAAGCCTTCTTTTCCAGTAAAGATGTCTTGAGGAGCCAGGCAGGATGGCTAACTGGACCAGGGCGGCAGGTGTCAAAGTGTGATTAGTTTTCTGACAACCCTGCGGCAGAAGTAACCCAGCAGGGAAGGCACCAGATACGGCATCTCCATATCTGCTCCTCTGGGCTGGGGCTGTGCCAGCCGCGGCCTAGGGTGTGGGCTTGCTTCTGTCCCGCTAGGGAATGAATACGGGCATTTGCAGCCAAGGACTTGAAGTAATAGGATCTTGGATCCAACCCAACATGCTAGCAAGGAGGAAAGTCAGGAATTTTAAAAGGCGCTTGTAACTCTCATGATACAAGTAGGGAAGAATCCTCAATAGAGTCAAAATTTAGGACACTGTGATGAGGCACAGGGTATGTACTTGGTGATAAAGTATGTCCCTATTGGTGACTAATTAGGAGCAATGGGGAAAAAGTAACTGTACAGCGAGAAATCAGAGAGCACCTTGACTGAGTCGTCAAAATTAACATCACACACGAGAGGCGGCTGGAAATCATGAGCCTCCAGCATGACGGCCTGAGAAGGATGCAAACTCGCTCCTGTGATAAGGAGACTAGAATGTATAATCTCAGTGTAATCATGAAAAACCATCAGACAAGCCCCAAAGGAAGGATATGCTATGAAAAACTGTTGGGTGGCTTATATTCTTCCAAAATGTCAATGTCATAAATGACAAAGCAAGGCTGGGGAACCATCCCCGATTCCAGGAGACTAAAGGGACGTAATAGCTAAATACAATGCCCGTCCCTATACTACTTCCTGCACTTGAGGGAAAAAAAGCCAGAACAGGATGTTATTGGTAACAAAATTAGAATATAAATGGTAATTAAACAAAAGTATAATATCAATGGTAAACTTGAGGCATCTGCATGGCTCAGTCAGTTAAATGTCCGACCCTTGATTTCTGCTCAGGTCATGATCTCATGGTTGTGAGACCGAGCCCTGCATCAGGCTCTGCGCTGAGCATGGAGCCTTCTTGGGATTCTCTCTCCCCTCCCCTGCTTGTGAGGGCACATACTTTCTCTCTCTCTCTCAAAATAAATAAACATTTAAGACAATAATAGCTTGACTGAAGTTGGTAACTGCTGTGGTTATGTAAGAATTTATCCTTATTCTCAAAAATACCCAAGTATTAAGGATAATGGGAATATGATACAGTCTAGTCTCGAATGGTTTAGGAAACAGAGGTACATTTATAAAGAGAACACGTGATACAGCAAATGAAGCAAGAAGTTAGCGATAGTAAATCCAGGTAAAGAGCAAGTGGGTCTTCCTGTCTTCTTTTGTTCTATTCTTGCCACACTTTGGTGTGAATGTATTTTTTTACAACTAAAATGTTAAAAGTCAGACAGCATACGACGGCATACCTTTACAGTAGAACAGTGTGTAGCCATTAAGATAATGATTTGGAGGTACACTTATCTTCAGGGAGAGGTGTTCTTTGGTGTTGCTAACCACAGTAAATATTACGTATCATAAGACAGAACTTTTGTTTAAAGAAGTAGGTGTATCTGTAGCAAATGAAGTAATGCAACTATAGGAAGAGTGGTTATTTCTACAATTCCCCCCATTCTCCAATTTTTCTACAGTGAGAAGTGCTATTGTATAAAAAAGGAACTAATAAATGTTACAAAATTCAGTCACCACCCTAATGCTTAATTGGAAAATGTGCCTCCCCATTTTTCCTTGCACGTGATTTTTGGACATCACACACCTTCACGCCCCTGTGGTCACCTTTACACACCTCATACCTTCCCGCGCAGATGATTCCAACAGAGGCACGCCCTCAAAATAGGATCACTTACCGGGGCTCTGGCTGTAAAGCCACCAGGCAGGTGCGGGATGGGACCTACCTAGACATACGATGCCATCGCCCGTGTAGCCTGCCTTGCACACACACACCCGGCTTCCTGGAGTGGTTCTTTTACAGTCAGCCTTGGCAGAGCAACCTCCGTTGCTGGTCTCACAGGCGTTGATGGCTGTAGAATGGAGACACGACACAGAGCCAAACAGGGGAGGGGGGTGGGAAACACTGAGGCATTTTTTTACTAGAGTGAGAAATGGAAGCTACTTCAAAATGTCAGGTGCTGGATTGAGTATGAATAATTCAAAAGAATGCAGAGCATTGGATGTCTTCACTGGTGAATTCTACCAAACATTTAAAAAAGAATAAATACCAATTCTCACAAACTCTCCCAAGAACTAGAAGAGGGGAGAAGACTTCCCGATTCATTTTATGAGGCCTGATACCAAAACCAGACAGACTCAGTTCAAGAAAACTCTATAGGCCAATGTCCCTTACAGATATAAACACAAAGAACCTCAAGAAAATACTTGTCCATCAAATTTGGCAAAAAGAATAATACACTATACCCAAATGGGATTTATGCAGGAATGCAAGGTGGTTTACCATCTAAAAATCAATTAATGTACTACAGCCTATCAACAGAATTAAAGACAATTCCACTATCAAATGCTTTATTTCTCAACAGAAGGAATAAAGCATTTGATAAAATTCAATACATTTAATAATAAAAGCTCAACAGGTGAGGGATATGAGGAAACTTCCTTAACCTGAGAAGGAGTCCAGTAATAAATCCATACATGTAAGGTCAGCTGATTTTCCACAAAGGTGCCAAGACATTTCAACAGGGGAGAGAACTGTCTTTTCAATGGATGATACCAAGACAACTGGATATTCACACACAGAAGAAGAATCTGGACTTCGACCTCACAACATGTACACAAATTAATTCAAAGTGAGTCAAAGACCTAGATCCACGTGGAGTCCCACGGTGTGACACTGGACAAGCCACTTAGTCAATCTGAACCTTGGGGTGCACCTAGCAAGGTTTGTTTACAAGTTCAGAGACTTCCATCTAATAACACATATGAAAGTGCTAGAGTAATGTTGGTTGTTCTCCTACTAACTCTGCTTTTGCTACTTTTCCTAAAAACAGGGGGCAAGGAAAACCTTCCAGTCACTTGCCCTTGCCAGCTGTTTTCACCGGCATACTGTGCACATCCTACCACAGGGAACGTCTGGGACCAGGGTCAGGGTGCCTGCACGCTGGGAGAATCCCCCAGGGTAAGACAGTCTAGAAGGCGGGTTGGTATGTTCACTGTCCGCTACAATCTGGACGGAAAGCCTGCCTGAACAAGGTGCTCAAGAGAAATACGATGCTAAGCGTTTCCCTAGTACCAAATATGTGGTGGGCACCGTAAGAGTAATAGATCACATTTACTGGGTGCTCTGTGCCAGGGCTCTTCAAAGCACCTCACCGGTATTGATCCCGGTTCTCACCAATCAGTCCAGGGAGGGAGATTCTCTTATGGTCTACAACTTACAGATGTCAAAATGATGCAAAGAGCATCGAGCAACTTTCCCAGGTAACACAAGTTATAAGAACTTAGACTCAAACCCAGGAGAGTCTGATGCGGGGGCTGTTTTAAATTCTGCGTCATCCTGCCAGTTGCACAGAGAGGTCGTTTCCTCCCCAAACCTCTCTGCAAGGGACACAGTTTTATGCTCACTTTATAAGTGCGCTGAGGGGGCTCAGAGCAAGGAAGAGACCCATCCAGAGCCGGGTGGGAAGCAGGAGGAAGAACCAAGACCCAGGCCCATGTGTCCTACTCCAGAGTACCTGCACCCGGGTCACACGCTAGGTCGATCATACCAGTGTTTTCAAAGTTCCCCGGGCGACTTCAAATGCAGCCAAGGCTGTGAACCGCCGTTTGGAGAAGAAAACACGTACACTTGTCCCACGCATTCCTAACCCAACACACACCCCAACCGCTAACAGTAGCTTTCTCGCCCGGGGTTACGTGGGTTCACCATCAGCGGTTGGCAGCGGCTGCCCGTGCACTCTGCAGGGACACAGGTCTCTCAAGGGCACGTGCCAGCCTCGTTTCCCCCCAGCGATCCCGTCCTCGCTTGCCTGTGCAGACTGTCCCGTTGCCTTGGAATCCTGCTGCACATCTGCATAAGGCTGTGCCGTTCGGACTGAGGAGGCAGCTGCAATGAGAAACGGCAAGTGCTGTGTGTGGGGGGACAGATATAGAACATCCATCCCCTGTGTCCCCAGTGTCCCAGTTCCCGCCCCCCTGCGGCCCTCGGAGGTCTTGCCTGAGGCTCAGGAGGAAAGTGCATGCCCAGCACGGCCCTGCACAGGCAGCTGTAACTGCAGAGAGGACCTAGGTAGGCATCGGCCCGGGATGAGGAGGAGAGTTACCAATCCTTAGAGGGCCACTTATGGACGAGGAGCTGTGTTTCCCACATTACTTTGCATAAACGACATGATATCCGATAGCCCTCACCAGTAGACACTCTTCTTCCCATTTATAGTTGGAGAAACTGGGGCTTAGAAGCGTAAAGTGACTCAAGGTTATGTGGACAATGAAGATGACAAAGGCAGGTTGGAATTCAGGTCTAAGTCCAGTTACTGGGCTAGATAACGAACCCATTACGCCCCTCTGGGAGTTCGGAGTATGAAGGTGAAGTATGAGCACGCAAGGCTTGGCTGGGAGTGGGGAGCAAGGCCTGATGGAGGTCAGGTGCACTGGGCTCCCTCGGCCTCTAACAAAGAGTCCCTGTGGCGTGAAGCGGGGGAAACAGCTGGCATTTTCGCCCAGGTGCCAGGTGACTCGGGTGGCGGCTCATGTAAAAGGCTAAACATGGCAGACTGATGGTGGCCTTTTCAGAGATTTTTTGTTTCATATTTAAATTCATCATACGTCTTCAGAAAAGGTCCCAGGAAGCTATTAGCCTGAGGACAGGCCTGACGTGGGCACCACTAGGAAAGAAGCCCCTTTGCATCACCCCCGGAGAAAGCTCGGCGGTACGTACTTGGCGCTGGTGTGGCAGAGGCCCTTGCAGTTGTCTTTTGTGATCTCTGCAAAAGAGAACCAATTGCTGGGTCAGCCCTTTCTTACTAAACCTAACTGAAGAACTTGCTTTGAGTACTTGGTGCCAAGAAAAGACTCAATTCCTCAGAAGTAATGATATGCGTCATGGCAACTATGTAAAACTATATGACCTTGTCAATCCTTGTTTTGAATTGGCTGCCAGGAAGCTCAGGGCCAAATCTGAAGGCCGAATATACTGAAGGAGTGTCTACTGTGTGCCAGGCTGCAAGGAGAGTGAAACACAGTATCCCCACTCCGGGTCTGGATGTTGATGCATGTTCCTCCCTGGGGCCTGATTTCCTACTTTTATTTCTATTTCCTATGTTCCTTATTCTTTCTAGCTTTTCATCATTTTATTATGGAGTGAAATAAACAAGCAAAGCCTAATTATAACTAATATTAAAAGGCTTTTTTTCTTTAGATTATATTTTGGGGGCACCTGGGTGGCTCAGTCAGTTAACTGCCTGTCCTACTTTGGCTCAGGTCATGATCTCGTGGTTTGTAGATTTGAGCCCTGTGTTGGGCTCTGTGCTCACAGTTCAATGTTTTATTTATTTCTGAGAGAGAGAGAGAGAGAGAGAGAGAGAGAGAGAGAGAGAGAGACAGTGTGAGCAGGGGAGGGTCAGAGAGAAAGGGAGACACAGAATCTGAAACAGGCTCCAGGCTGTCAGCTCAGAGCCCGATGCAGGGCTCGAACCCACGAACCACGAGATCATGACCTGAGCCAAAGTTGGAGGCTTAACTGGCTGAGCCACCCAGGCGCCCCTGTGCTGACAGTTCAGAGCCTGGAGCTGCTTGGGAGTCTGTGTCTCCCTCTCTCTGCCCCTCCCCCACATACACTCTGTGTCTGTCTCTCTCTCACTCAAAAATGAACATTAAAATTTTTTTAAAAGGTTTTATTTTTAAGCAATCTCTACACCCAACATGTGGCTTAAACTCACAACCCTGAGATCAAGAGTTGCATGCTCTACACAATGAACTAGCCAGGCACTCCCCACCCACCCTTTTTCTTTTTGCATATGCAAAAATAGCGCAGGGCCAGGCATATAGCAAGGTATCTATTATCCATTAGCTGAATTAATTCCTAAATTTCCTGGAATAGCACAAGACTTTTGCTCTTGGATGCTCAGCTACCAGATATTTCTCAGCAGGGGAAGATCCAGAAAGAAATCATTAGAGATGAAGAAAGAGTACCCTTTGGGGAGGATGTCCATATTAAGAGCCATTGGGATAGAATCTCATTAGAGCTGCCCAAGTCACACAGGAGGGCCTGTAACAGGACCTGAGAGGTCTGTTTTGTGTCCAAGGGAACATTTACAGGCTCCGAGGGGCTGGGATGCAATTTTGTGCTGTTATGTACGCTCTTCTTGAGCCTGGAAATCCCTTCTCTCCATTCTCTATCTATTGAAACCCCAGTCATCTTTGAGGTCCTTCTCTCTGTAACATGCTCTAGACCTCTGAGCCAACTTCAGTCAACAGGGGTGACTACCCGGAGTGCCTTGTGAGAAGGATGTGGCAAGACATGGGGCCTCAGTGATGTCTGCCAGGACTTTGGGCACAAGCAAAGGAGTTACCTTCCTCATTCTAGTCTAGAGGCTCTTTCCTCTGTGCTCTCATACCATGATTTTTTGAGCACTACTGAACATTTATTTCCATTTTAGGCAGGATGCTGTTTGTGCAAGGTGTGCACTGAGAGCCGGCTGGAAACCTGGGGGAGTAGCAGTTGGTGGGTAGCCTGTCTCCACCCCTGCTAAGGTGTTTCTCTTGCAGGCAATAAACTTTCTCCTGGAGGCAAGGAAGGGCCACAGCAGGGTGTCAAGTCCTGGGGACTTGATCTTACCTATTGCTATGGGAGAAGGGGGAATTTTTGTGTCCCCCCACCCCTCAAATCCATATGAGGAAACCTAATCTCCAGGGTGACGGTATTGGGGCTTGGGGCTGTGGAGAAGGTTAGGTCAGAAGCGTGCTCACGAGTGGGATTAGTCCTTACGCAAGAGACCCCTGAAACACCCCTGTCTTTTCCGCCACGTGAGACATGAGACATCAGCAGTCAGCAACCCAGAAGAAGGTTCTCACCAGAGCCTCATGCTACTTGGTCTCAGACTTCCAGCCTCTAGAACTGTGAGAGAGACATCTCTGTGGCTTACAAGCCACCTCGTCTATAGCATTTGTTATAGTAGCCTGAACTAAGACACCTGTGTTCTGGAAAGTTCTCTCTGGCAGCCACGTGGAGAAAGCTGGGACAGGAGGCACAGGGCCAGACCCCAAGCCTCTCATGGAGAGGATGAACTGCAGAAGGAAATGTGGGCGTCAGAATAATGCAGACATGCCGGCCAGGGAGGCGGGAAGGGGCAGGTGGGGGTGGGCTGGACTTTCTTCCCAGGAGGGAAAGCGGGAAGAGGAGGGAGTCTGGAGGGCCGTCCTTGGGGCACATTAAGAAACATGAACACAGTGTGGTGCAGTTGGGGGAGATGGGCCTGTTCAGACCCTGCTGTGGGAAAATAAATGCATATAATCTCTGAAGGGCAACTTGGCAAGAAGTAGCGAACCCTCCCCCCAAAAGTGCAACTTCTTTTTTTTTTAATGTTCATTTTTGGGGGGGGGTAGGGGGCAGACAGAGAGGGGGACTGAAAATCCAAGTGGCTCCATGCTGACAATAGTAAGCTCCATGCGGGGCTCAGACTCACCTACCGTGAGATCATGAACTGAGCTGAAGTCAGATGCTTAACCAACTGAGCCACCCAGGCACCCCCAAAGTGCCAACTTCTAACTCAGATATCCCATCTCTAGAAATATCAGTGAATGAATTAGACAAATGCAAAATGATGTATGTTCACCGCAGCGCTATGATGACAACAGAAAATGGGTTTTAGAAAGCATGGTATAGTCATATCCTGAGGTATTACATGAAAATTAAAAAACAATATTTATATATATTTATCCACATGGAAAGCTATCCGTTTGTACTGTGAAATGAAAAAGTAGGCCATTGGGACGCCTGGGTGGCTCTCAGTTGGTTAAGTGTCTGACTTGTGCTGACAGCAGGGAGCCTGCTTGGTATTCTCTCTCTCTTCTCTCTCTGCTCCTCCCCAACTTGCGCACACATGCACGATCTCTCCTTTCTCTCTCTCTCTCTCAAAACTAAATAAAACTTAAAAAAAAAAAAAGTAGGCCATAAAACTATGTGGAGCGTGGTGCCACACGCAGATGTTTACACACCTAGAAAAAGGGTGGAAAGTCTATGTAAGATATTAACGATAGCTCTTTCCTGCTGCGGGAATGTAATTTTGCTTTTCTTCTTTCTGCTTTTCTTTATTTTACACACTTTCTGCAGCAAGTAGGAATTACCTGGGTTGCCAAAGGAAGAAACAGAGGTGTCATTTCTATTTTAGGAAGAAAGAGATGTAGCTGCTAAGACACGAGGCAAAGAGCAGATCATAAGGACTGAGGGGTTCATCCTTACCACTGTCACATCTCACTCCTCGCCAGCCAACCTCACAGTCACAGGAGCCGTCGCCCGAGGGTCCCTGGTTGCATCTCCCGTGGACACAAGAACACGCTAAGTGGAAAAGTGCCCACAAACTGTTAGATCTCTGATCCGTGCTCAGAAGCTCATTTACCATTTACTATAAAGTGTCACGTCACATGAAAGGCATTTAATTCTCCAACCTGGTTCCAGAGAATCATTGTCGTTAACGGAGGGCTGGATTCACCGGGGGGGGCAGGAGCACAGGAGACAGAATCGAATCAGGTCATGACAGACCGAGGTTGTGGGACTATGTAGCACTGTGGGTTGGTGACCCAAGCAGGTGAGTGTCCTCAGCTAAGGTTATGTGAAGATTCAGGGTTGTGTGGGATGGCCTGGGATGGGACCATGTGTGTTCCCTAAGGTTTGCCCAGTAGGTATATACCCCTGGTGTGGCACTGCCCTCTTTAACAACATAGAGAAGCCGATTCCTTTGTTACGCAGCAGTGTCATCAGCCTCTGAGAACTGGCTAGAAGCTTTGGATGCCCTTCCCTGAGAAAAGGTTTTATTTAGCTTTGGGGCTTTGCTAGACCCCATGACCCCATGAAGGTCACTTACGGATCACAGGGAAGGAAGTCCTGCACAAATGGAAGTAGAAAATGCTTCCAAATGACAGAAAGAATCAGCACTATAACTCCAACTATATAGTATATGGTCCAATTATAATGATTCAATTATATGCTGGTTTTATCTGGCTGGGACAAGCTGCTGACACACCAGTGACAGCCAGGCCCGATCTAGTGCAGGGCAGACCAATTCCTTGCTTTCCCGATGTGGATTAGGGAACTTCTCCCAAGTGTGTGTGGGTCCCTGGGCACAAGGAAGTCAGGGTCAGAGAATGCAAACAGGTGACGGTTTTGTGAAAACAGGTTAAAGCATGTGGCTTGCTGAAGGTGAATTAATAGAGCAATCTTTAGGCAAAGGACAGCAGAATTCAAGAGCAAGGCTTTGGAGCCAAGCAAAGTATGCCATTCAAATCTCGGGTCTGCCTCTCATCAAGTGTGACCCTGGGGGAAGACATTCAACTCTGCCTTAATAGACTCATCTGTAAAACGGGTACAAGAACACCCCAGTAGGTAAGATTCCTGCGTGAATTAAATGAGATACTGTGCACGAACTATCAAGCAATGTTCAAACCTCGGAAGGTAACCATGAGGATCAGTGCGCACACGCAAATACAGAAACATGTGGTTGGTTGGAGAACGTCCTCGAACAGACTGGGGGTGGTTTGGTAGGTCCAGTTAGGGGCTGAAATTGTTTGGAAACACTGCTCTATGCATCTCACACAATACAGTCGCTCTTACAATTCACAAGATAATCGGGGTGGGATTCTGGCCCGCCTGCCCAGGCAGGAGCGCGAGGATCCAGATCGCTCTGCTGTCGCAGGGCCTTGGTAGGTTTTGCACGGAGCCCGCCTGGGTGGGGAGGAGGGTGCGCACCTTGGTCGCAGTGGGGGCCGTACTTGCCGTCGGTGCAGGTCTCGCAGGCCGTGCCCCGGAAGCCCTCTCCACACTGGCACACGCCGGTGCCGTTCAGTCCGTCCAAGCAGATCCCGTTTCCAAAGCAGACGTTCTCGGCTTTCCCCGGGCAGGGCTGGCACTGGGGGCCAAAGAAGCCGGCACAGCACTCCCGCGTCTGCAACCGGGGGACAAGGCCAGGGTCGCAGGCGGCACACCTCCGCCCCCGGGTTTTGCCGCGTGGAGGCCTGGTGCTGGGGAGGCCGTGCGCGCCCCCGAGCTTGGCCGTGCGCGCCCCCGAGCTTGGCCGTGCGCGCGCCCGAGATTCGGCCGCACCAAATCAGTACCCGGAGCAGGAAGGAGCCGAGGCAGGAGGGAGGAAAGGCGGAGAGGCCAGGGAGAGACGACGGTGAGGGCCAGCGGGCAAGGAGGGCAGCAGGCACACGGGAAGGAATAATGCGGGTGATGCGGGGGGAGGGGCGCGGTCAGCTGCGGGGAACCCCGGGGCCCCTTCCAGGGGTGCGTTATTTCATCCCCCCCGGTTCTGAGGCTGAGACGTCTATGCAGGGGAAGCCTTCGCCGTTTTAGAAATGAATCTCTTGGAGTTAAGGGAAGCCCTCCTGGCTGTGTGCTTTTTTAAATTTTTTTCTCAATTAAGTTTTTCATTTTAATTCCACTATAGCTACCATACAATGATATATTAATTTCAGGTGTACAATATAGTGATCGGACAATTCTATATGTTACTCAGTGCTCGTCATGATAAGCGTCGTCTTTGATCCCCATCACCTCTGGCTTCGTTCTTGAGTTCGCCCAAACACAAATGTCTACGTTACTCAGTGGTGGCCACCGTAAGCGCCGTCACCGTGTGTCACCATGCAGCGTTACTACACTGTTACTGACTGCAGCCCCTGTGCTGTACTGCTCATCTGTGTCTTATTGCACAACTGGGAGTTTGAACCTCATAATCCCCTTCGCCTATTTCACTCCCCCCTCCCCTCCCCCCCCCCCTCCCCGGGGCAACAGTGTTCTTTCTGTTTTAAGGGTCTGCGTTTTTGGTTTGTTTCTTGGTTCCTTTGTTTTGTTTTTAGATTCCACCTACAGAATTATTGAATCGCCGTGTTGTACAGGTGAAACGAATCTAACATTGTATGTTAATTCTACTTCAGTAAAAAAAATAAATGAATGAGCATGGCTGTGTTCCATTACAAAATTTTTGATCCTGGAAAACAGAAACCAAAAAAAACCAAAACAAAGCAAAACAAAACAACCCTCCCCCCCACCCCCCCCCAACTCTTTTGCAGCCCCAAGCTCTGCAGCCTAAGGGCCAGACCACCTTGCTTTCTGTAGGACAGGCAGAGGCTCTGCCTAGTCTTCTGGGAGAGAAGCAGGGCAGGACCTTATAAAGGATTTTCCTGCAGATTCCAAAGAAACAGGGTCCTGTTTTCTAAAGCAGCCGGTGCACCTTCTCTTTCCTTAGGGACTGGGCGTCTCCTCTATGCCTTTGCACGCAAGCATACTCACAGGGCACTTCACCCTGTCGCCACAATGAGACGTCCTAGCTTTTCAGTTCTTAAGTTTCTTTTTTTTTTTTTTAAATATATATATTTTAATTTATTTCTAGGAGAGAGAGAGAGACCGCGTGAGCAGGGGAGGGTCAGAGAGAGAGGGAGTCACAGACTGAAACAGGCTCCAGGCTCTGAGCTGGCAGTCAGCACAGAGCCCGACGCGGGGCTCGAACCCACGAACCGCGAGATCATGACCTAAGCGAAAGTCAGACGCTTAACCGACTAAGCCACCCAGGCGCCCCTCAGTTCTTAAGTTTCTTAACTATGCAATTGAATATTGCAGCTTTGACCTGTTTCCTGACTTACAGGGCTGGCCTGAGTTTTACTGTTACCACCACTGCCTCAAAGGACAATGACAATGGGAGTGGGGATAATGAGGAGGGAGAGGAGAGGCAGAAGGAATACACGTGACGGCATCTGAAAACTGTGACATAGGATTACACTTCGCCATCTGCTGCAGGAATGGGAAGGACGATTCAGTCCTCATACTCACAATGATGGTTTTCACACAATTTGGCTGGCACCCAATAAGCAGGGATCGCTTGCCCATGAAATAAAAGGTGTAGATACATCTCCTCGTCTCTTCACCCTGTGCGATAGAAACGGCCATGCCAATGCTTTGGAGAAGAAAAAGTTCCAGTCTCTAAGAGCAAGTAGGTGGGTGACGTATTGCTGTTTCTCTGACTGAAATGTTCTGGAAAGGGAGGGAATGGGTTTCTTGGAGCTGCTTTGTAAGAAAGGAGACACAAAAAAACACAATGTTGGCTGCCAGAAGTGAACAGGAGGCAAAATCCAAATGATGATGCCTTAAGGTGGTAGGTATTCTGTAAGAAGAACTTTTGTCCAGAAACTAACTCAAGTTAGGAAAAGTGGTAAACTAGATAAAAATGTCCTGTAATGAACCTGATTGAAAGTCTAGTGAGAGAATCAGCATTGTTACCACTATAAATTCCCCTTCCTCCCTCCCTTCCTCTTTCTTTCTTTCTTTCTTTCTTTCTTCCCTTTCTTTCTTTCTTTCTTTCTTTCTTTCTTTCTTTCTTTCTTTCTTTCTTTCTTTCTTTCTTCCCTTCCTTCCTTCCTTCCTTCCTTCCTTCCTTCCTTCCTTCCTTCCTTCCTTCCTTCCTCCCTCTCTCTCTTTCAACGTGAGGGAGACGTAAAGATAGAATCCCAAGCAGGCTCCAGGCCCAGTGTGGAAGGGCTTGATCTCACGACCCTAAGATCATGACCCGAGCCAAAAACAAGAGTTGGACCCTTGACCGAGACATTCAGGCACCCCATCATTAAAAAGTTTTATTCTCATGCTATGAAAGGTGCATAAGCAACTATTAAAAAAAATTTCTTTTATGTTTAATTTTGTGGGGGGAGGGGCAGAGAGAGAGGGAGACACAGAATCCGAAGCAGGCTCCAGGCCCTGAGCTGTCAGCACAGAGCCCGACGCGGGGCTCAAACCCACAAACCGTGAGATCATGACCTGAGCCGAAGTCGGATGCCTAACGAACTGAGCCACCCAGGCACCCCTCATCTATTTTTTTAGGTAATGTTTGGAGCATTATCAGGAACAGCTCTTATAATGAATAGCTACAAGAAACATAGATTACTAATTAATTCAAAGACATGTTTACTTCTCCCAAGTTTGCCATCTGTTTCTTAGAGAAAGTTGTAATTTCAACTGAAAGGAAAGCAGGCAGGTGGAACTCATCCAGATAGGATGTTGTTTGGATACAGAGCCTGCCCTCTCTGATAAGCTTTCTTGCTCTTCTCTCAACCGGCTTCTGGGATGTGAAAGATGTAGAAAGTGAACAGTCCCTTCCTGCATTGTGCATCGAGTGATGTGAAGCCCAGCTTCTATTTATGTACTAATTAAATTTTCCTTCAGTCCCCCCAAAAATGGATTCAAGACTTTAGAAAGATGCATATAAGAAGGTAAAATTAAATTAAAGCCCGGGACAGGGATGAGGGTGAGAAAATGAGGTATGCTTGCGGTTCATTTCCTAATTCCGACCTTCTAGGATCTGGAAACTATTTTACCAAAGAAGACAAAATACTTACTAGTGGTTTAGTTCCAACCGGGCAGATCAGCTGCTGGGAACACCTCCCACATTTTCCCTTGGTAAAACACAGAGGCAAAATGAACATTTCACGGTTATTGCTTTTAGAGCAAAGTGTTTCCCAGACCTTGGAGCTGAAGGTCTTAGGGCATAGAATTGAAACTCAGAAAGGTAGTGGAGAAGCTCATGGGAGTCAGCCTCTTTTCAGTTCATTTAGGGAATCTGCACTGCAACTGCTTGAGGTCTCGGTCGACTTCTGATGCTAATTACCCTCTTTTCTCATTGACATCCCAATTCCTTTAACAACAGCCCTCCGCCTGCCTGGAAAACCCAGCATTTAGTGAATTGGTCAAGATTCCCAGACAGGATGTGTCCCACGTGGTGCCCGGCGCCCAGCCGTGCGAGCACCCGGGAGCTGAGGGGTCAGTGTGGGGCTAATAGACGCTGTTATAACAAAGAGCACAAGTTAAGGATGACAGAAAATTTTAAATGCAGCCCGTTCCTAGAACAGGAGGAGGTCAGCGTGACGAGTTCCTAACTTGGCTCGCACCAGACAGGCGAGGATGGTTGTTCATGGTTCTGGCTCTGGGGCCAGACTGCCTGGATTTTAACTCCTTGTCCGCCACTTGCTAGCTCTGTGAAGCTGCTGCATTACTTAACCTCTCTGTAGCTCGTTTTCCCCATCTGTAAAATGGGGAGAGTAATAGTACCTATTCGGTAGGGTGTTGTGAGCATGATCCATGTAACATGTGTATTAACCTGTATAAAACCATATAGAATATGTGCTGTGCCTGACACATAAGAGCACCCCCCCAAATGCCAGCAGCTGTTACTGTTACGGAAAGATCCTGCACTGTCTCAAGGACTGAAGTGAAAAGTCTCCATTGCTGCATCTTATGTTAGACTGAAATAATCGATCGCTATATTTTCTCTCCTAGTGGACCGGGTTTGGCCAATATCTGCCCAGGTGTGCCCTGGCCCCCTCTCTGAGCCTGTGCTAGGCATCACATGGTTCCCCTTTGACCAAGACCATGGCTTGAGAATTCTCAATACGACCCCCCAGGCAGGTTCCCAGGTACTCAGGGTACAGTTTATCACACCAGATTGTGAGTCTGTTGAGGGTAGGGGTCTTGCCTTATTTACCTTTGTAGAGCCTAGCGGATTCTGCTTTTCTGTACATCAAAGATGCTCACTCAGTGTCTTTCAGCTGAATTGAGATGCCCTGATAGATGAACCTTATGCTTAAAAAGTGTATAAAAAACTAAACCAACAGTTGCATCATCGGCCTTGGATATAACTTACTCGTACAATAGTAGTGTCGTTATTGTCACATCTGTTCTTCTGAATTTCCAGAACTTTCCCCAAACCGTGGATCACTCCCTTGTCAGTGGCTGCATTGGTGTAGTTTATGGGAGCCTCATTTACGTAGAGCTGTAAACAAGAGAGTTAAACGTGAGTTTTGTTGTAGTGATTTCAAGGAAAAAAGGGAAGATAGGGATCGGAGGCTACCAAGATCACAGCACCCTACGAGGTGTTCCAGTGTTCCCCCGGAAGGTAGCACAGCGTGGTGGGAAGGGCTCTCCTAAGTCTAAGTAACAGTCTCGCGTCTGGCACCATCTTGTTGTGTGCCCATGGGCCAATGGCTTTTCTTCTCTGAGTCTCAATCTCTCTTATTAAAGGAAAAGGATGTTCTAGATAATCCCTAAGGTGTGTCTCCACCCCTCAGAGTAGTGGGTTTATGACGACTTGAGGCATTCTGAATCATGATTGTTATGTGAGTCCCACTGGCAAAATGGCACTGTGGAGTGCTCAGCCGTGCTGTGGACTGGCGGTCCTGGAGCTGGGGAGGCCTTCCAAAACCAACATGTGGAGAATGAGGCTCACTGGCCCTGCAGCCCATCTCTGTGGTTAATTTGCAAGCCACCCTCAGAAAGGCCAAGTGACAGGCATTTAAGAAAAACTAATAAATACCTGGCATTTTTTGAGTGTTTTTGTTTGTGAAAAGTGTTCTACCAGATAGTATCATTTCCCAGTGTGTGGTGAATGCTCAGAAGTTCTTCGTTATATGCTGCTAACGCCAACTCGACTTTGAGCTGTAGCTTGTTTTATTTTGATTTTTTTAGGAGAAGATAGCTTAATGCTTGAGTAATGCAAAACAAGGGAATCTGTTAACTCATTCATTAATATAACTAATAAAACTGGAAACAAATGGTTATTTTTTTTAACAATTTTTTTTAACATTTATTTATTATTGAGGGACAGAACATGAACACGGGAGGATCAGGGGTGGGGGGCACAGAATGCAAAGCAGGCTCCAGGTTCTGTGCCTGACGCGGGGCTCGAACTCACAAACTGTGAGATCATGACCTGAGCTGAAGTCGGATGCCCAACTGACTGAGCCACCCAGGTGCCCCCAAATGGGTCTTTAAAAAATTGGTGTGTGTGTGTGTGTATGTGTGTGTGTGTGTGCGTGCGCTCGCGCGTGAGTTGGGAGAAGGGGAAATCTTTATTGTACTAAGAAAATGTTAAGTTTGTATCCAGTAAGGGTTTTAAATGATTAATAACACCCCCAGACTCCCCACAGCAGCAGTATTAAAATGATTCTTCTAAGTGCTAAAATTTGAACTCCCACGAATGTCCATTATGATTTACTTGGAATCAGGTAAGTTTTTGCTGGGTGTTGAGGTGAATCTCAGCTGAGCTCCACAGAGCTGTTCTAGCATCTGTGTGGATTTTGAAAATGAGGCAGGGGACCTTACTGGAGGTGTCAAATGGTGGTTGCAGCACAAACTTCCAGAATTCCGAGATACTGAACAATTTAAAACATATCAAAATGGCAGAACTTCTGAGGCTGTAACACTGTTAATTTGGCATGAAAAAGGTCTGAATCATCTTCATGCTGAGATGTACTCAGGGAATTACGGGCTGCATTAAAATTCTTATTTGAGCACAAGTTTACTCGATTAGAGAGCTTTTTCTTTTTCTTTTTCTTTTTTTTTTTAATTTTTTTTTTTTATTTCTAGGAGAGAGAGACAGCATGAGCAGGGGAGGGTCAGAGAGAGAGGGAGTCACAGACTGAAACAGCCTCCAGGCTCTGAGCTGGCAGTCAGCACAGAGCCCGACGCGGGGCTCGAACCCACGAACCGCGAGATCATGACCTAAGCGAAAGTCGGACGCTCAACCGACTAAGCCACCCAGGCGCCCCTTAGAGAGCTTTTTCTTACAACTCCATTGTCCTAAGAGAAAGTAAATGAGTTATCAATAAAAGCAAAGGTTTGTAAGAGAACTATTTGTTTATTGTAAGATAAAGCCTCTGTTGTAAGATTGCTCTAGATCAAAGAATTTCCAAGCAAATGGGAAATAAACATGGCAGAGTTGAAATTGATTCAACTAAATGCAACAGAAACTTCATCTCTCTGTGATGAAATAAGAAATGATACAGATAGGTGTGTCTGGGTGGCTCAGCGGGTTAAGCGTCCAACTTCAGCTTAGATTATGATCTCACAGTTAATGGTTCGAATCCCGTGTCGGGCTCTCTGTTGTCAGCACAGAGCCCACTTCAGATCCTCTGTCCCTCTCTCTTTTCCCCTCCTCCACTTGCACATGCTCACATACTTTCTCTCTCAAAAATAAATAAACATTTTTTAAAAAGTGATATGGATAAAAACAAAAAAAAAAGTTCTTTACCAATCAAAAGTTGTTTTACTAGAAAAAATAAGAAAATGTATTTAAAAGGATCCCCTCAAAGTTATTATACAATAGGTGGGATTACTTGCAGGAGTCAGAGGAGAATATTTGGAGTTAGATTACTCTGTAAGACCTAGAGTCTTCTTTTTCTTTTTCTTTTTTTTAAACCCAAGCAAGTTAAAACAAAATGCACAGAAAAATTAACTTGTGGTTCAAAGCCAATACCTTTGAGAACATTGCTTTTGAGACTGCACTTTGTATTTTTTTAAAGTTTATTTATTTATTTTTGAGAGAAAGAGAGGAAGAGAGAGAGGTGGTGGTGGTGGGGGCAGGGAGAGAGGGAGACACAGAATCCCAAGCAGGCTCCAGGGTTTGAGCCGTCAGCACACAGCCCTACGTGGAGCTCAAACTCACAAACCATGAGATCATGACGTGAGCCAAAGGTGGATGTTTAACCAAGCCACCGCGGTGCCCCAGGATTGCACTTTTTAAAAGGACCGAATAATACTACTGTTCAAAAATGTCTGTGATTAAACTTTCTTTTCATAGCACACTTAGTTTATCTTAAACAATAATTTGTTTTAATTAGTTTTTCTTAGGAGAATTTATACTAGAATCACCCTGTGACCTTCTTGCTGAATTTTAGTAAACTCTTCCTTGGAGTTTGAAATATGTCAATAGAATTACACTTGAAATACTTTAAGTATTTTGGGGCGCCTGGGTGGCTTAGTCGGTTGAGCGTCCGACTTTCGCTTAGGTCATGATCTCGCGGTGCGTGGGTTCGAGCCCCGCGTTGGGCTCTGTGCTGACTGCCAGCTCAGGGCCTGGAGCCTGTTTCAGTTTGTGACTCGCTCTCTCTCTGACCCTCCCCTGCTCACGCTGTCTCTCTCTCTCTCTCTCTCTCTCTCTCTCCTAGAAATAAATAAAACATTAAAAAAAAAAAAAGAATTACTTTAAGTATTTAGTCTCATCAATTCTTTTTCATGCATCCTGAACACTTTGGAACGTTTAGGGGTCGCGAGAGGTAGCTACTGGAGCACCCGTGTGGGGGTCAGTCGGTCCCAGGACCGCAGTCGGTATGATCAGGCAGTCATGACGCTATTCACTTGACTGCTGGATCGCACATGTCACTTGGCCCCCTCAGCCAGTGCCATGTCCTGGGTGTTGGAGTTTGCTGCCATGTCCCCTGTTATCTTAGAGACTGCTTGGGGACTGTTTGTTGGGTTTGTCAGGAATCACCGTCAAAGGGCACCTGTGACTGCTATAAGTAAAGCCACTCCGATGGCACGTGGGAGCTTGACAGTCTGTTTTTTCTTTATGATGAAACACAAGCAACTGTGTTCTGTGGATAAGGCAGGGGAAGCACCGGTGGGATTTTTTTCAACATGGAAGCAATGATGGTGGATGGGAGCTAAGACACTCATTCCTGGTTTTGTTTGTTTGTTTGTTTTTTGGTTTATATATTTATTGTGGGGGGGGGAGGGGCAGAGAGAAAGGGAGACAGAATCCCAAGCAGATTCCATGCTGCCACGGCAGAGCCAGATGTGGGGCTCCAACCCACCGAACCCATGAGATCATGACCTGAGCTGAAAGCAAGAGTTGGACGCTTAATCGGCTGAGCCCCCGGGCGCCCCTGCTTCCTGGGTGTTAAATGAAAGGGTCGCACCTGGCCGTCGCGGAGGAAGAAGCCTACGAGGTAGGAGAAGCCCAGCATGGTCTCCCGGTGCATGCCGTCGTGCAAGTCATTCTTCAGGAGTTTCTCCTCCAAGACCACGTGATACCTGAGCACGTCCTCCTCCTGGGTAACACACACAACTCAAAGTCAACGCATAGGTCAGCCTGTCCCCAGTCTCGTACTGGGCTACGCCCAGTGCCAGGCCCCGTGGGGGTCACAAGAGCAACAGCTTGTTGAATTGCGAGGTTTTGCCAAGGCGCCGTGTCGCAGTAGATGTTAGATACTAAAGCTGAGACGCAGTGCCTCGGACTGGGCCAGCCTTCCATGTGGGGCGGTCGGGAGCTCCTGAGGTGACCTTAAATCCCAGACTGAGGGCACAAAGGTTGAGGGAGGACTTTAGAGAGGATTTCTTTGAAGAGACGTGCTGTGAAGAGAGGGGCCCCACACCCCAGCCTGCCCTTCGCCTCAGGGGTCACAAGAGGAGATTCGATGGGATGTTTTGAAGAACGTGACCTGTGTCCCCTGCGGAGAGGGTGACCTGTGGGACCGGGTTATACTCAGACCTGAGCAATCTCGTGCCAGGGGTGGCTGGTGGGCTGACTCACTGAGGAGGGAGGAGGGTGGACAGGCTAGCACTCCCAGCGCTGGCGTGGGACAGGAAAGGACGTGTGTCCTGTGGACCAGATGTGTGATAGGGTCTGAGCAAACTGGGGCCATAGGTCCCAGATGGGCTCCCCGCTGCCACCCGGGGGAAAGCAGGAGGTGGGTTCTGGATGCTTGGGGTCCGAGGAAGAGATAAATGACTACAGCAATAGGATGCATGCACACAGGTCAAGGGGACAGCAGTCAGAGACCACTGGTGATGGGTGGGGTCTCCAAAGGACCCACCTGAGTGGGGCTGGGGGAGGTGGGGAGAGGGCGAGAGAGCGTGCTTTGAAACCCTGGCTTGGCCCAGAGAGAGCAATGGTATCTCAAGACAGTACCAGTTAGGCAAGCCCCTTCCTATGCTTTTCCCTTCTCTTCCTGAGAACTCCAAACCCACCCTCCACGCTCTGCTTTTGTGATGCCGGCGCCTCGACAGCAGTCCACAGTTTTCCATTGCCCAGGCTCCAGTTAAGTTCTGCCAGAGGAAAGTGCTAGAAGGAGACTGTGAGGCCTATTAGGGCAGAAGGAGGGAGAAAGGATTTCCCCGTCCTGCTTGCCTCCTGTGCTTATGGGCGTCCCCCAAGCCCGGCACCGCACCCCGGAGTGGCAGCGGGGTCTGGAGCGCGGTTTCCCAGGCGTCAGCACCTGCCACGCAACACCGTCTGCTAGAGCCTGGGTCTGGGACCCCCAAGGACCCTCCTCCGGGGTCAGAGACGCCAGATGAGCAGCGCCCCCTCCGCAGAGGTCTGAGTGACATCTCTGAGAGGCTCTTCCTCCGCATGTCTCTAAATTTTAGTAATTCTAACATCTTCCCTTTGTTCTTCCCGCCTTTTGGGCCTAGATGCTTCCTGCAGCTGCTACCTCTGTGACTTCCTCTCCTTCCTTTTAACCTTTCAGTTATATTTACACAGCTTTGTCCCTACTCAACAATTCGTGATAGTAAACTCTCTCCCATACGGCTTCTGTCTCCTGATGGACCCTGGTAGATTCAAGAACAAGCCCCATCGTCTAGTTTCCTGCCTGGACAAAGCCCCCGCAGGGAACAGCGAGAGAAGATGTGATTTTAAATCCAATTCGACCTGTTGATTATTACTGGAATTTTTTTTTAAACTTAATTGGGACTGTGTTTGTGACTTCACATGGTCCTAGAACTTTTGGGGAAAACAGAAAGATTGTGGGATTGCCTGAAGTTTCATCCCAGGGCAGAGAAAGAATATTTTCCACTGGACACATTCAAAGAGACGGGCAGGGCAGGGAGATCGCAGGATCCTCATCCCATCGCAGGAGTCCTGTTTTCTCCACATGCCAGTCCCAAATCTAGGACAGTGTCTCTGACTTCATGGAGTTTATAATGTACTTGGAGAGCTAAGGGTCGCTCACTTGAAAGGACAATTCACACCATATAGATACCGAGGGGGGGTGCAAATGGTCTGAATTCAAAGGCGGGAGAGATTTTCTGAAGGCTCGGGTGGCCAGGGCCAGCTTTCCTGAGGAGGTCAGAGTGGACTCGAATAATAGGTAGGGAGATTCAGGAGGTAGTGAAGGCAGAAGGGCAGTGTGTGTGTGTGTGTGTGTGTGTGTATGTGTGTGTGTGTGCGCGCGTGCATGTGCACATGTGTGTCTGTGTGTGTGGGTAGATATGAATAAGGGCACCAAATACATCTTTGGCTTGTTTAGGGCCTCTGAGACCATCTCTCTGGTTAGACCATACGATTTCTGCAGAGTATGGGTGGGTCCAAGGATGTCATTGAGGGGCTTCAAGCGTCAGTTGGGGCTTAGTCACCCTACTTGAAGATGTAAGGGAAAGCTGTGTGCTTGCTGTGCTAATACAGCTTCAAACATGTCCTCTCATCATGGGGCAGGGGGCTGGGGACAGGGCACCCCCCCGGCTCCTAAGGGAAAATTCTGGAGCCACCACCAAATAGAGGAGGGATGGCAGCCAGTCGATGGAGGCCTTAGACATCTGGGGAGGTAGTCTGAACTGAAGTTGAGGCTGCGTCCAAGGGTTTTGAGGCAGACCGTGTCATGTTGGAGCTCTGTATTCTTTGACAAAATCCTTTGACAAATTTGGGCTGTGTAGCACCAGATGTTAGGAATCAGGGAGGACATAGGTGACAGAAGAGGATGAAGACAGAGACCACCGACCTTCTCTTCATCCCTGCCGCGGACACTCAGTGGCCGGGGACCAGAGAGGCAGGGTGGGGAAGGAGGGTGACCATGAGGATCCTTCCTGGTCCCTGAGACACCTGCGTCCTCACGTATCAGGGCCCACATGTGAGCTGCAGTGGCTATGAATGAAACACGCGAGCAGAGACGTCTCAGTGCAGGTTTACATGAAGTATCTGCACATGGACATGGAAGTTCTGATGAAAGAATGAGGTTGTATGTGATTGACGGATTGAAAAACCTTGAGTGTGAAAGTTCAGAAAATAATTGTCCTGGTTATGGTTCCCAATACCTACTAGAGTTGCAACCTTCTTCTCCCGGATGTAATTCTCAATGGCGTTGTTGTTTGGAGCAAACACTGTATAAGCATCAGCTGTCTCGATCGCACTCGCCAGATTATATTGCTGTGATGGAGGGAGACAAGAATGCATGAGGGATTCCCATTCCCAGGTCACCTGGGCCAGTGGGTCACGCAGAGAACCGTGGCACCTACAATGATGTAGCCCCGGAAGATGGAATAGTCGGGCATCTGGTCCAACCGCATGAGCAGGTTTGGTAGGGAGCCAGTTAGACTTCTTCGGGGAACCAGCACCTGGGGAGGGGAGGGAAACCACAAAGTCTGTTACATGTGTCAGTAGGGCTTGCTGCCCTCCGGTACGTAGGGTCATGTCATGTGACAATATGCAATTACAGGTGCCTCTGTGCATTTTAAAAAGGGCACCATTTCCTCTTACAGCTGGTGATACCAACAGGGGTGCCCAGCCTGGGGAGTGAAGTGGGCTGGGTTTTAGCCACGCGCCTTTATGCACGGCACAACTTGTACAAATGTTCATGGTGGCCCTGACGAAGGTGACCACGATGTCCAAGGGCAGGTATAGGGGGTCCTTAGGGAGCCAGTGCAACCCAGAGTCTAAGCAGAGACCTTGAACCAGTTGACAGGCATCCAGGAATCTTCTGTGGTCACATAACTTCTTCCTCAAGCCAGTTACTTAACTATGAGGAGGCTTAGTTGTCTCATTAAAAAAAATGTTTATTTATTTGTTTATTTTGAGAGAAAGCAAGCACGAGGGAGAGGGAGAGGCAGAGAGAGAGAGAGAGAGAGGCTGGGGAGAGAGAGACCCCCAAGCAGGCTCTGCACAGTCAGTGCAGAGCCCGACACAGGGCTGAAACTCACTATCTGTGAAATCACGACCTGAGCTGAAATGAAGAGTCGATGCTTAACCGACTGAGCCACCCGGGTGCCCTTTATTTGTCCTATTTGTGAACTGAGGATAGTCACGTCTATTTTCTCAAGGCTGTTGTAAAAATCAGATGAGAGAATGTGACATAATATTCTGTACAGTGCCTTGCACCTACTGGGCTGTCAATCATCCCAGTTATTACCGTGTACGAGGCTGGGTGCTTATGCTGCCGAGGGACACAGAGATGTAGCCCAGCCCCTGGGAGCTGCCATCGTGTGGGGAGCCCGGGCTATACCACAAGGAAGAGCCATCAGTACAAGAGGGCATAGCGTGCTGAGTGGGTTCTACACCAAAATATCCTGTGGGGTGACAGGGGAAGAAGAAAGGAATAAAACGAACAGCTGCGGAGGGAGGGCCTGCTGGGCATCGAGAGAGAGGGTGTTATTTAATTCTTACTGGAGAAGAACATGAGGCTCAGACTGGTTATGTAGCTTGCCCAAGGTCACATAGCTAGCTCTATGCTGGTACCCAGATACCGTATGGCATCATTGATGATATGGGCCGCAGGGATCAAGGAAGGCTTCAAAGAGGAGGTGAGACCTGAATTGGCCCCATGATAATAACACTCAGTTCAGGAGATAGGCTGAGGTGTCACTATCAACACTCTCACCATAGGACTCACAGGTGTGGCCATCAGAAATGTAAACTAGATGAGGTAATTTTATGTTTCCTAAAAACGTTTCTAGTCCTTTGGAAGGCCAGGATTGGAGAATAAAAATATCCTTGCTAAGTAATGTTCTTGTCATAAACCCAGGGTGTCTGCATGGCTCAGTCGGTTAAGCGTCTAACTCTTGATTTCAGCTCAGGTGGTGATCTCACGGTTCATGTGTTCAAGCCCCACGTCGGGCTCTGTGCTGACAGTGAGGAGCTTGCTTGGGATTCTCTCTCTCTCCTCTCTCTCTCTGCTCCTCCCCCCTCCCCTCAGAGTAAATAAAAATGAAAAAAAAAAAGTCATAAACTCAGCATATTTCCGTGCAAGTGATGAATCCCTTGCTAAAAAATGTTTTTCTTAATGCCTCTTGGTAATACAAGGCAATTGCAAGTTTTCTGCAAATAATGCATCAGGAGTCTTAAAATTGCCTCATTTTTCTGAACAGAAATAGTTGACCTTTTCTGTAAATTAAAATCAAAAGTGGGTATATAAGTACCAAGTGGGGATAATTTTAGTCAAAATGCTATTAGTTAACTGTCTTTTCCAATCTCCCACCTTTCAAAAGTCCCCAGTGTGCCCTAATTTCCCACCTTAATTTTTAATGAAAATCCTAATATAGTAACTGCAAATTATAGGATAGCTTCAAATCCCATTTCCCACTATGTTTTTTTTTTTTCCCATGGCATACCTTTGAGTACTGTTGAATTGTGTCTTAGAAGAAAATGAAATTTTCAAAATATCTTTTCTACCCTTTTCCATTTTTTTCTAGGCCTTCCTTACCCCCATCTTTTTAGGGTGCAATAATGCAGAGGAAAAATATACATAACCCCCTTGCATCTCTTCCAGTTCTTGAGTAAGATAATCCCATAGGTAAGAAATATAGTCTGGGTGGCTCCCCTTGATGTAGGGCTGTGGCAGAAGACAGCCCGAATAAACAGGCTGAGTCTGACCGAAGGAACAGAGCCTCTGAACAGTTTCAACATTAATGTCATGGAGCATGACCCAGGTTACTTTTATGTTAAAGGTAGGCCCCCTCCCCTGCAAAAGATACTATACAGGAGGAGAAATGAATGGCATAAGAAGAGCTGCTGGGCATGTGGGACCTTGCAAGTTTGTACCTTGTTGATGATGTGTATCACACCATTTGTGGCTGCGTTGTCACCGTCAATGACAGATGCTCCTTCGATTGTGATATTCTGTAAATGCAAGCCCAGTGGGAAGGTGAGTCACCACAGAGTCATACATCCAGGGATTGAAAGTATTCCTGGGCTTTATACTTCTTGAGCAGTAGCGACGCTCACACTTTGGATTATGACCCCAAACCAGAAATGTCCTTAAAATATGACACATTAGACATCACACACACACACACACACACACACACACACACACACACACACAATCAAAATGAAGTGATACTTTCCTCTACTGTTTGGGAGGCCCCAGAATACCAATTCTTTTCTTCTTTATTTCATTCAAAGAGTGCCGGTTGAGACTCACCAAAATGATCCTGCAGTTTGAAAAGCACTGTAGACAGTGTTGTGGGTTGAATTGTGTCCTCAAATTCATATGTTGGAGTCCTAACCCCTCGTACCTCAGAATGGGACCTTATTTGGAAACAGGGTCTTTATAGGGGCAATCACATTAAAATGAGATCATTACGGTAAGTCTTACTTCAAGATGGCTGGTGTCCTTGTAAGAAGAGGAAATTTGGACGTAGAAAGCTGTGCAGGGAGAACACTGTGTGAGTGTGAAGAAGGCCATGTTCAAGACTAGGAGACAGCCTGGAACAGCTCCTTCCACAGCCCTTGGGAACAAATCTTGCTCACACCTCGATCTTGGACTTCTGGCCTCCAGAATCATGAAACAAAATTCTCTGTTGTTTGAGCTACTCACTTTGTGGCCCGTGGTTATAGGAGCCCTAACAAACTAATACAGATAGTAACCAACTTTTCTGATCAGCACCCAGCTACTTCTCTAGAATATTAATTACCCAACATACCCACTCACCCAGTCACCAACCAACTGTGACATGACTGGGCTCCATTCTCTACTTTTCTTTCTTCTTCTCTCCACCATTACCCTTTATTTAAAACCTCTGCTGGGACCCTAGGTGCAGAAGGGGACTTGTCTCTCTCTGAGCAGCTCCCAAGTTATATCACCAGTGTCCCTGAAGAAAACATTCCTGGCCACCTTGCGCATCCTTTTTGGTTAAAGGGAGACATTTATATCAGACATAGGAACTCAATAAAAATGTGTCTTTGGTGGTTAGTTCCTCCAGGTTAATGGTCCCAATTGATTTGTCTGTGAATTTATAGAACCTGTGATAAGCCTGCCTAGGATGGATGTTCAGTAAATGATTGCTAAGAGAATCAACTAAAACATTGATGGAAGGGACGCCACGGTGGCTCAGGTGGTTAAGCGTCTGACTTGGGCTTGGGTCATGAGCTCACAATTCATGGGTTCAAGCCCCACATCAGGCTCTGTGCTGACAGCTCGGTGCCTGGAGCCTGCTTCAGATTCTGTGTCTCGCTCTCTCTCCCCCTCCCTGCTCACACTCTGTCTCTGTCTGTCTCAAAAATAAATGTAAAAAAAAAATAAGCACTGATGGAAAATAACTACATTGTCTGATATATGTATGTAATGCACGGGAATTATAATAATATGTAAAGAATCCATGGACTGTATGCAACTCTTTTTCTGCTTTCTCAAAAGAATGATCTGATGAAGTACATACATTCTGGTAATTCTAGGCATAGACCCTTTTCACAGTGCTCATGTTGATGAGTAGGAAGCTAAAAATGTTTTAAAGCAGTAATTCTAAACCAATTTTGACTGTGGCCCATGGTCCACTGATGTGGCAGTTCCCACTTTCTAGTAGAATCCTCATTTTCATCTTGTGCCATTCACAGAAAGAGCTTTAAGCTACTGCCCTATGCAGCAGGGCATCCAAACTTCCTAATGGAAGATGGAATCCAAGTCCTGACACACTGCAGTAAGTGCCAGAAGGTGAGCTCTAAGGCTTTGGCACTGCCTTCACTCCACATAGCAGGTGCTCAGTAAGTATTTGTTGACCCACCCCAACCCAATATAAAATTTTAGTAATCTATAATGACTCATTAGTAGGTTACCAGTAACCAGCTTTTAGTTAACCATATACAAATAACCAAAGTTGTGAAATTGTACTAACATTTACCCAGGACAATGGAAATGTTTGCCTTTCTGGATCAGTTTGTGGTCTCTTGGGAAAAGCTGTGTAGCCAACCAGTGGGTGGAGGGCCACATTTTATAGGATCACTACTACAGCGTCTGTGTGTGTGTGTGTGTGTGTGTGTATCAATAGATGCCGACAGTTGTTGAAGCTGGGTGATGCCTACATGGAAGTTCTATTCTTGGTCTATTTTTGCTCATGTTTGGAAATTTCCACAACACAGAAATTGTTAAGAGTACAGCATGATCAGAAATGACACATCTCCACTAAACAGACAAGTTACTGCACTCTCTTACCCCATCTGCCTTCGCCAGGTGAAGGAAGTTGCCCTGCAAAGACGTTGCCAGCATGTCAGAAGGTGACAGAGCCTGCAGATCTGCCACTCCATATGTGCCTAGTAGCATGTGGTATCTAAAACAACAGTCCATAATGGCTACAATGAAATATCAGTGCATGAGGCAGTATCATTGAGTCATTAAGAAAATAGGTTCTGGAACCAGACTGTCAGGTTCAAACTCTTCCCCTGCATTTATCAGCCATGAAACCTTGGGTTAGTTACTTAATCACCCTTGCCTCAGTTTATACATCTATAAAATAGGTCTAATTTTTTAATGAATGGATCAAGATGTGGTTTATCTATACAATGGAATACTACATGGCAATGAGAAAGAATGAAATCTGGCCATGTGTAGCAACATGGATGGACCTTGAGGGTGTTATGCTGANTTAACAATAGAACTCCCCTATGACCGAGCAATTGCACTGCTAGGAATTTACCCAAGGGATATAGAAATGCTGAGGCATAGGAGCACATGTACCCCAATGTTCATAGCAGCACTCTCAACAATAGCCAACACATGGAAAGAACCTAAGTGTCCATCAGTGGATGAATGGATCAAGAAGATGTGGTTTATCTAGACGATGGAATACTACATGGCAATGAGAAAGAATGAAATCTGGCCATGTGTAGCAACATGGATGGACCTTGAGGGTGTTATGCTGAGCAAAATAAGTCAGGCAGAGGACAGCTACCATATGTTTGCATGTATAGGAGGATTAGGAGGAACTTAACGGAGGACCGTGGGGGAGAAGATGGGGAGAAAATAGTGGGGGAGAGGGAGGGAGGCAAACCATGAGAGACTCTTGAATGCTGAGAACAAACTGAGGACTGATGGGTGTGGGGGGGTGGGGAAGGGGAGTGATGGGCATGGAGGAGGGCACTTGTGGGGATGAGCACTGGGTGTTATATGGAAACCAACTTGACAATAAACTATTAAAAATATAAAATAAAATAGGTCTAATTTTAATGCCTCTCTCATAGGGTTGCTAGGAGGATGAACTGAGTTATACCTAAAGCAGTTAGCACAGAGTTGTTGTCAATAATGTTAACTATTATCATCCTAGGGTAAGAGAGTTCTAGACCATGTTGCATTCCACAGATCTCAAGGACCATGTGACTTCCCTCCATTGAACTTTGTTCACACTGATGCTAATAAGATATTGTGAAGAATTGAATACATGATACCTACTTTATTAGGGCTGGAATATTGCTCTTGGACAACCAAAAGTCTTTTTCATCTTGGTCCATGTTCTCAATAGCTTGTGGGGAGGGCACGAGAACCGTGAGGTTTGAGGTGGCTGACAGCATGGCTTGTAGAGAAGCATTCTGAATCACAGGAGGGAAGGACAATAGGCTTGATTCACATTCGAGAACAAACAGGGCTGAATGCTTGGCAGAGATGACAATTCCCATGTGTCAGGGATACTGGAAATGTCCTACAGACCCCTTTCCCAAATCCATCCCACCCTCTGTCTGGTGCCCCCTATTCTCTTATGAGATGCATTCTTCTTATTTAAATGTGTGAGCTTTGTCAAAAGGCACATTTTCCTGATCCTCCAGTCAGACTTTGAGCCATGATCAGTCATTTACCCTTTAGTCTAAACAAAGAATCAGAGCATCATCTTGATGATCGTGTGTGGGGGTGTGTGTGTGCACATGTATGTACAGAGAACCATGGGAACCCTTGGGATAAGGATGCTGGGAAGGTTATGGAAAGCGTTTCAGCATGGGAGACACACTGGAGGCCTGAAATCAAACTTAACCTACTTTTCGTTCTTCCTTAGAGCCAGTTCTGGGTAGAAGAGGTGTGTTTAGGTTTAACAGCTGCTCCCAGGAAAAACAAAAAGCCTTCATTTGTAGTGTTCCCTGATTTCTGTGGTGTATATCCTCCCACCATGGCTGATTTCAAGCATTGAAAGTGGAGTTGAGGATGATGTGCTCTTATGTATTGGGATGAGCTGGGCTCACAGCGCCACCGGGCAAGCTTACACATGTGGGGCTAGTCTATATGGAAATCAGCATGTACAATGGGACTCTCAGTCCCTGCTCTTCCATGTGGTGGGGCAGAGAGGCCCCACCCAGTAAGGAGCTGTCCACGAGTGGTGCTGACCAGCTATTACCTACCTTGACACGTGTCTACTCAAAGGGGATAAACCATTGGTCATGATGGGACCTTGGTCCACTCATGCAAAGATGACAAAGATTCAGACAACTGGTACAGTGGGGATTGGATTCTTCATTATAGAACTTCCCAGGAGAGAAGAAGCAGCACCTCTAGGCATGTTGGGCTGAGAACTAAGCGCACGTGGATTGCCCCAGATTGCAACTATGAATACCAAATCCAACTCCGTGAATTGCAATAACAATATGTTGCCATTCCAAAGAGACCTCTTGATGCCTGAAGCTATATGTATATATCTGAATTGGTTGAAAACTTGACCCCTCCAGCTTAACCTAGACCGGAAGTTCTTAGCCCTGGTTGCATGTTAGAATCAGCCGGGAAGCCTTTACAATGCATCGATGCCCAGGGTAAACCTCTGACCAATCAAATCAGAATGTGTGCAAGTGGGAGCCTCAGCATGGCTACTGAAACATCTTATTCCATGGGATTCTAAAGTGCAGTCAGGGCAGAGAGCCACTGCTCTAGACAATTGCCTTCCCTCCTTCTTACCAGCTTCCCTTCTTTCAGTTTTCTGTTATATGCATTCCAAATTTCTAAAATTATATACATTTCTTACATTCCAACAAAGGTACTCACATTTATCCACTGGTTAAATATAGCTGCCGCAGAGAGAAATGACAATTCCTTATTCATGTCGTGCAGGGGAGGGAGGGAGAGATGAGAGAGAACACGAGAGAAGGAACAATGAATGAGAAGCATAATCACAGTGCATGTCTGAGTAGCACGCACTTAACCTCCCTATGGCTGGGCTCATTTTTGTTGCCAGCAGGAATGGGGGCCCCAGCTGGTTGAATTTCCACATTGCCAAAATGGCACATTTCTTTCATGCTTAGTGGCTCCATTATCCTCTGTAAAGAAGTAATTCCAGAAACTTCAGATGGAACAACCACCTGACGTTCTTCCAGATCAGAGTTTAGTTGTTAAGAACATGGCACCCAACCTTATGGACAGTCACAGAGCTCAATGGCAGCTCCCTTTCAGAGCCAACTTTGAGTAGTGGTTTGGGAGGCAGGCCCCAACCACCCCAGTTTTCACTCTGTTTGGACATTTCCTAATTCCTTAGGCGAGTTACTTAATCTCTCTGGGCCTCAATTTTCTTGTCTGTAAGATGGGGATAATAAAAGCTCCAACTGATAGGTTGATGTGAAATTTGGAGGACTTAATGTTTTAAAGTGCTTAGAATAGATGCTTGGTAAGTCTTAGCCACTTCTAGTTTTCATTTCTCTACCGTGGAATGTATTATGAACATACATATTGAACCACTACAATGGGCACCAGGTTGGAGTGAAGGAAGGGTAGAAGATATGAAAAGGAAAAGATAACTTCTGCTTTCCCACAACTTACACTTGTTTGGGGGAAGTTGAAAGACAGCGCCATTAAGTCAGTGATGTGTGCAGGTGTGGTAGATCTGGCTCTTGAGTTGAAAAAGACTGGGTTCATTTCCTGAGTCTGCCCTTTACTAGCTGTGTGATCTTGGGCGAATGACTTAACCTCTCTGAGAACTCGAGTGTCTTGTCTGAAAAATGAATATGATGATGCCGCGCTGCTGGGGTTATGAATGTCACATGCACTCATATAGGGGAAAGCATTTTAAAACTATTAAATGCCATGAAAATGGCAACAGCAGTTATCATACGCAAATGTGCACAGGAGCAATATAAATCTTAGAGTTGTCCCAATTCCTGTTGGAAAGTAGTTGAGGTTAGTAAATGAGTTAGTAAATACCTATCAGATAGTGAATCAGTAAACTGACAAGGTCAGGAGCTGAGACGCATGAGTAATCCCCTGAGGGGGCAGCTCCAAGGGAAAGTGGGGTGCAGGTGGGATGTGAGCTGATGGCAGAAAGATGGGAGGGGAGGCTGGGTCCGTGCGAGAGAGGAGCGGAGTCGGTAACCCGATGGCTGGGCTGCGTGAGTGGAGCCTGTGTAGAGACGGCCGGAGCGCCAGGCTAAGGATTTGGGCCTCATCTTGCTTTCTGCTGAGGAGAGGGGCATTGTGAAAGCAGAGTTTGGAGGCTTAGGCTTTAGGACACGTGGCTCAGGGGCAGTGAGAAAATGTTGGGTCTACACTGCATGATCTGGGTATCAGGAGCTCCTGGCCTGACAGGGTGAGTAGAAGGAACAGTGTAAAGTGAAGGGTGGGCAGGACCTTGAAGAGGCAGAGCGGCCAAGGGCGGGATGGGCGGTTGGCTAAGGGGAACACGGGCTGGGGCGAGGCTTGGTTTGGGAAAGGTGCAGCCCTGGGGATTGCTGGGCAAGTGGCTTCCGCAGACGGGAGGAGCAGGAAGCAAAGTGCAGCGAGTTGAACAAAACTAACTGAGGACCCTTGTCAATTTATTTCTCCTTCAACAACTCTCTGTAAACACTGGGAGCGAAGTAGGAAACAAGACAAAGATCTACCCTCCAGAGTTTATATTCCTGAGGTTGGGGAGTCGGACCACATCTGAGCAACGACAGTTCGGTGTGAGGTGCGCAGTCCTCTCCCGGAGTATTCTGTCCTAGAGGCTAAGTGCATGAGCTCTTTGCCTGGACAGCCTCAGGCTAGATCCCTCTGAGGGCCCGGGGTGTGTGTGTGTGTGTGTGTGTGTGTGTGTGTGTGGCAAGTTTGCTTAGATTCTCACCTAAAGAGTACATCAGGGGCCAGTTAGCCCTTCATGAGGGAAGTTTGTGAACGGAAAGAGGTAGATCGGCGCGGAAAGGAAGTCCCCCTACTTGGTACATAGGAGGAACCCAATGAAAGTGAGCCGTCAGCAGCCTGTAGATTTGTGGCCCAAGGAACACGGCCTCTGTGCAAAGCAGCTTGCTTCCTAGGTAATTGCCTGGAGCAGATGATTGGTAGAGCACTTTAAAGGCACCCTGGTAAAAAGTTCTGTGTGTTTTCTAAAAGAGTTTTGTCTTTATTATTCTGCACAAGAGTTCTCTTAGCTCACTTACCACGGCTGCATTTCCATAGCACAGAAGGCCGTCTCCTTCATAGCCCTCTTGGCAAACACAACTCCAGAGGCCAGAAGAAGTAAACTGACAGGTTGCCTGATAAAACAAAGAGAAAAGAAAGAATTCGCTTTCCTCACGAAAGATTTGCCTCCAGTTACATCCATGAGCCCTCTGGTTCCATCTAAGGTGAGGACCTGCCGCGTTGGGTTTGGAGGATGATGGGAGTGACCCGCAGACCCTTTGACCTGGAGTGGTGAAAGGCTCCTGTCTACGTACACGTTTGGTGCCTCGCTGCTGGGGCTATGAAGGTCCCATGCACCCACGGAGGGGAAAGCATTTTAAAACTATTAGACACCATGAAAATGGCAACAATGATTATCATATGAAAATGTGCACAGAGGCAATAAACCTTAATCACAATTACAGTCTGTCTTTTCATCCCTCTCAGATGGGGCCTATGAGAGCACGGGATACCCAGGGAATTTGAACTTCAGATCAACAAATACGTTTTAGTGTAAGTAGGTCCCATGTAATGTTTGGGGCGTGCTGGTGCTGAAGAAGGATTCACTGGAGATCTGAAATCCACACTTCACTGGCTGTCCTGTACCGATTTTATCTGCCAACTCTATATTGCTGCTTCAGTGCTGTGGAGTGAAGTGAAAGTAGCAGTAACTTCCCATGTTTGGAATGTCAGGGCTTGGTTGGGCTTAAATGAAGCAAGAATGTTGGATCTCCTTCTGATTTATGAAGGGCTCACTTTTAGGAAATAGATACTGTGGGGTATCTTCCCTATTTTTATTCTATAAAAACTACCCCGCCCCTACCCTGGTAACCATGTTCCTGATATGTCATCACCCTCCCTGGCCATCAGTGACTGGCTCATATGTGGACACCTGGACCCCGCTGGGCTGGTCAGATCCTTTCTTCTATGGTGGTGAGGGTGACATTGATCTAAGAAAAGGGAGCTGTGTACCCCAGGATGCAAAGAGAAGCATTACAAGTTGGGAGAGAGAGAGTGCAGATGTATAGAGAAAAGCAACATGAGAGATCACATAGTCTCTGAGGATTAGAGGAAGAGGCTGCTTAGATCTTGGTGTCTTCAGGTTTTGATTCTGGGTCTTTGGGAAGTCTGCTTATATTTCCTGCCATGGACCTACCCTAGGGTACTCCCTGCAATTTCTTTTTTTGCTTAAGTTGATTTGTGTGGATTCTGTTCCTGGCATTCAAAAGCACTGTGACTAAGGTGCTGTCTTCATTGGTTCGGATGTCAGGTGCCTCTTTTGAAAGCCTGCCCTTCCATAATTTAGACACAAGGCACAATCTACCCTTGAATGGGTATTGTCACCAATAATTTGTGGTAAACTCTGTTTTGACATTCAACCTGGGAGTCCAGTTATCTTGATTCAGAATCGCCAGATTTAGCAGATAAAAAATACCAAGTTAAAGATAAACTTTAGAGAGGGTATGAATATTTTTTAGTATAAATTTGTCCTACATAATCTTTGGAACATACTTGTGCTGCAGGATTGTTAGTTGTTTGAAATTGCGATTTCACTGGGAACCCTGTGTTATATGTCAGTTCTTCGAAGACTTGGATTGGAGCGAAATTTGTAAGAACCACTCACATTTTGCTTGGGGACTCTCTTCAGGGGGAGAAAAGATTTTGTTCACTAGTAGGTCCAGATAAGAAACAATCTAGCCTTTCTTTCTCAAGTAACTTTCTTTTCTTTTTAAAGTAAGGCTAAAGAAAATGAAATAACTCACCAGTGGATGACATTTCCCTGTTTGTTCCAAGCACGAAGGCACAGCTTCGCAGTCAATCCCATTGCCTCGAAATCCTTCCTTGCATTCACACTCATTCTGTAATTCCAAGAACAAAGGGGATAATTGAAAACAATGGCCTTTCATGCCTTGCCATCACATGGCCTGAAAAATGAACCCCCGAAATCGTAGCTGTTTGGCCCTCTGAGAAAACAGAATGAATGTCTTCCATTTGTTATACTTCAGATTCCAGAGCTTTTGGTCTGCACATTCTGTGTTACATTACCCAGTCTGATTGTTCCTTGCTACTTCCTTTTTAGATTCAGCATCCCAGAAGGGTCATACATGATATAAGACAACCCATCAAGTTGTGGGAAGAAATGAATACAATTTCTACTTACAAATTTTTATCTTTAACAATATAACTATTATTTGCTATGTGTGCATTATAAGGTAAATATGTGTATCTTAGATGCAAGTATATGTGCACAAAAGCACCTAAATACATCTTTACGTGGTATGGCAAGACTTTGTAAATGTGGGTGTTTAATCTCCTCTACTTAGTACTGGGGTAGCGCCTCCCTGCACCTCTACCCTGACATACTAAGCCAAACATGGTTTGTCTATTTATTTATTTGTTTGTTTATTTATTTTAAAGTTTATTTACTTATTTTGAGAGAGAGAGAGAACCAATGAGGAAGGGGAAGAAAGAGGAGGGTACAGAGGATCTGAAGCAGGCTCTGTGCTGACAGGAGAAAGCCCGATGCAAAGCTCAAACTCACAAACTATGAGATGATGACCTGCGCTGAAATCAACAGTTGGATGCTTAACTAACTGAGCCACCCAGGTGCCCCATGGTTTATCTTTTTAAATAAATATTCATGGTAATTAGGATTTGTGCCTACTTGGAATATCTAAAAGTTTTCAAGCCAACTAGTAACTACTGTGGACCATCCTAAATATGGTCTATTTTATTTCTTACATGGCATTATAAAAAGACCTTTGTCTTCCTCCATCTCCCTCATGAGGATGCCTTTAAAATTTGTCCACAGAGGGATGCCTGAGTGGCTCAGTCGGTTAAGTGTCCAACTTCGGCTCAGGTCATGATCTCATGGTTCGTGGGTTCGAGCCCTGCCTTGGGCTCTGTGCTGCCAGCTAGCTCAGAGCCTGGAGCCTGTTTCAGATTCGGTATCTCCCTCTTTCTCTGACCCTCTCCTGCTCACACTGTCTATTTCTCTCTCTCTCTCAGAAATAAATAAAACATTAAAAAATTAAAATTTGTCCACAGAAAGAAAAAGTAGAGAGAGGACAGATACTAACATGGGTTGAACTCTGTATTCCTCACCACCCCCAATTTATATGTTGAAATCTTGACCCCAGTACCCCAGAATGTAACCTTACTTGGAAATAGGAATGTTATTATATAGTTAGTTAAGATGAGGTCACACTGGATGTGGGTAGGTCCCTAATCCAATAAGACTGGTGTCCTCATAAAAAGAGGGGATTTGGACACAGACAGGCACCAGGGAGAATGCGTGTGAAGATGAAGACAGAGGTCAGGACGATGCATATATAAGGTGAGGAATGCAAAGACGGCCAGCAAGCTACCCGGAGCCAGAAGAGAGGCACGGAATAGATTCTTCTTCATAGCCCTTGGAAGGAACTGAACCTGCCTGCTCACACCTTGATCTTGGACCTCTGGTCTCCAGAACCGTGAGAGTCCATTTTGTTGTTCTGTGCCACCCAGCTAGAGACGCTTTGTGACAGCAGCCTTAGCAAACGAATACAGATACCAAGACATTTTTTCTTTCTTTCCGAAGTGCAATCTGGCAATTCAAGTGAGTTAAAATGAATGCAACTGCTTGCCAAATGCTCGGTGAGACATAAGACAGTAGTGAGCTCTTCTGAGGAATGGGACTTTTCCATGGCTCTAGTCACAGGACAGTCATCCTCACCTCCTCAGAGCTGACTTGCTCCTATGCAGTAGCATTCTCTGCCTCAGTCTCCCTTACCCGAGGTTAGGTGAGAGTGATCAACGGACTGTCGAGTTCTACAGAAATGCAAAGTATGGTCAGGTGGTGACTAAGAGCGGGGCTCTGGAGTCAGACTGGGTGTCAGTCTTGCACCATGATTTATTTTCTATGCCATGGGAACAAATCACTTAGCATCTCTGTGCCTCAGTCTCCTTTTTGGTAAGATGGAATAATGCTGGTACCTATGTGGCAACAAAAGCAAAAATAAGCAAGTGGGACTACATCAAACTAAAAAGCTTCTGCACAGCAAAGGAGCCCATCAACAAAACGAAAAGGCAATCTACCAAATGGGAAAAGATATTTGCAAATCTCATATCTAATAAGTGGTGAATGTTCAAAATATTCAAAGAACTCATACAATGCAATAACAAAACAATAAACAATTCTATTTAAAAATGGCCAGAAGATCTGGATACATATTTTTCCAGAGAAGATACTCAGCAGCCAACAGGTACACAAAAGGATGCCCAATGTCACTAGTCATCAGGGAAAGGCAAATCAAGAGCACACTGTGATGTCACCTCACACCTGTTAGAAGGCCTATTACCAAAAAGACAAGAGATAACAAGTGTTGGCGAGGATGTGGGAGAAAGGGAACTCAGGTGCTATTGGTGGAAATGTAAATTGGTGCCGCCGCTATGGAAAACAGTATTGTGGTTCCTCAAAAAAATGAAGACTAGAACTACTATACCTTCGAGTAATTTCATTTCTGAATGTTTATCCAAATTTGAAAAGCTATATTCAGTGTCATGTTCATTGTAGCATTATTTATAATATAAACCGAGATATGGAAGCAACTCAAGTGTCCATTGATAGATAAATGGAAAAAGAAGATGTGTACACACACACACACACACACACACACACACACACACACTGTGAAATATTACTCAGCCATAAAAAAGAAGGAGATCTTGCCATTTACAACAACATAGATGGACCTCAAGGGCATTATGCTAAGTGAAGTAAGTCAGACAGAGAAAGATAAATACCATATGATCTCACTTGTATAGGGAATTAAAAAAAAGCAAAAACAAAAACCTAAAACCAAAAGCAAGCCCATAGATAAAGAGAACAGATTGGTGGTTTGCCAGAGGCTGGGGTAGGGATGGGTCAAATGGGTGAAGAGTGTCAAAAGGTGGAAAAAAAAATAGTACCTACGTCACAGGTTTGCTGTGACAATGAACCCATTTTCGCTACTACAAATGATTAGAAAGCTGCAGTAAGTTCCAGCCAAAGTACTTCTATGTCTGGAAGGAAAACGTCACTGCAGGAATCCTGCTCTCCTTTGCTCTCTAGCACGTGTGACCTACCTGCCCGGGACCCACATACAAACAGGTGGCATTGATGTGGCAGCCGCCAGTGCCGGGCAGCAGGCAGTTGTTAATCTCTGAGCAGTCTCTGCCATCCCCCGTCCATCCCTCCTGGCACACGCATGCGTGGGTACCTGTGCCAGTTTTGATGCATTCTGCCTGCAGGAAGAAAAGAAGCAAAATCTCTGAAACCTCAGAGCCACATGATTCGAAAAGCAGAGAAAAGGAGGTACATTCTAGAAACACATGTTTGCATGGAGTACACTAGAAATGATTATTTCTATATGCACTGCACCCTATATGCACATTTGCACTGAGACCCACAGAAAAGGTGAGATGATTTAAGGAACAGAGTTGCTTGTGGTTGGCCAGCCAATGACCATCACCTTGAACATCGCTGTTATTTATTGAGCCAGGGACTGTTCTTAGCGCTTTGCTGGTATAAGCCATCATCTTGAGGAAGGTACTGTTACAGTCTCTGTGTTACAGGTAAGGAAAGCAGGCTTAGAGGAGTTAAGTGGCTTGCCTAAGATCACACAGCTACGAAACTTCACGAACCCAGGTCTCTATAATGCTGAAGCCCAAGCTCCTAACCACAGTACCAACTCCAGACCTGTCAGGACGACCACCTTAGGAGGCCCAAGGACAGTGTGAGAGGAGAAAGTGTTGTTGAGTGTGCGGGACTAGCCCAAGGGGCATCTGGTGGGGGTGGGCCAAGGCATTAACTTCCGATTTCAGCCTCAGAGCCAGGATAAGTCACTGGCAGAGACGCGGTCTCATCCACCTCAAGCCACTGTGGCTGTGGGTGAGCAATGAACACACGGTGGGTGGGCCATTCCTGTGAGTAAGGAATGGCGGTCACTCAGCCTGGTGGTGATAATCAAAAGGTATTCTGAAAGCAGCTGTGAGCTTGGGCTATACCCCTGGGCTATACCCAATAACAGAATTTAGGGCAAGTCACTTAATGTCCCCAAGCCTCAGTTTCTTCATCAGTACAATGGGGATAAGATCATCTGTTCCGTTCGGCTGGGGGTGGGGGAAGAGCAAACGAGATCAGGTACATTCACATCACTTGTAAGCTATAATATTTGAATCAGTAGTTTATTACTAATAATCTCCAATATCTGATTCTCAGGCTGTTTTTAAGAGCCCAAAGACCCGTGCTTCTGTGGTCCTGAGACATCTCCTGCACACATGGCTTTGGGAAGTAGAGGCTCACAGAAGGCATCGGCACCGCCTTTAAAGCTTCAGGGATCCAGCAAATAGGCTAAAACGAAAAGCCATCAGACACCGTTTTTTTCGGTAAGGCCTTCCATCAGGATTTCCTAAAACACCAGGCCGCTTGGAAATCAAGACCAACACTCACATTGGGGCTGCAGCCTCCTGGGGTTAATCTTGTGCAAGGGTCCATCTCCGAACAGAGGCTTCCGTCCCCTTCGTAGCCTGCTTTGCAAACACAGCTGCAAAGAAGAGTGAGCGCACAAAATCAGCCCCGGACGTAGAAGCATCCACTGCCCAGGGGTGGGCCGGCCAGCCAGGGGTGAACCGGTCCCCGGCCGGGCGCTTGGCAGTCTGCCCTCATGGGGGGAGCCAGTGTAGCCAGGTGATCACGGGCACTTGGGTGGGGGGGAGGGCTGCAGTGCCACCTCTCAGCAGTCGTGGGCCCCAGGACGAGTCCCTTAACCTCCGGGAGACTTTGTTTCCTCCTCAGGAGCATGAGTCTAAAATCTCGCTCTAGGGCTGTGAAGGTCAAATCAGCACGAGGAGCGTGTAGCAGGGCACCTGTATGAGCTTGTGTCCCCTTAGCCCCGGCGTCCGGCAGCTTTACCGCTTCGATGGGGCTGGAATCCGCCTCGAGCTTAGCATCTGCGGTTCTGCAGAGAACAGCTACCGACTCTTTACATAATGGTTTTCAGCATACTTGAAAATGAGGGTCAGGTGAGACCTCTCCTCTCTCCCTTCTCTGGTCCCTCAGATTTCCCTGTTTTTTTTTGTTGTTGTTGTTGGAGCACGACACTCTCAGGTGCCTGATTCCATGAGCGGACATGGTTTACTGACCCATCACCCTTTCTTTCAGACACACCTTCCAACATGTTCCCCCATGATCCTTTCTCAAATGAGCCGTTCATTCATTCTTTTGTTCCACTAATGTTTATTGAGACCCTTCTGAGAGGTGCTGGGTCACCTGTGACTGCGTCCTATCCCACATCACTGTTGTAAATTCAATCATACAGGCTTCACAAAAATTTAAATAGAATTATTTTTCATGTATCGAGTCTCCCAGAGGAACAAAATACTTAGTCTGGTGCGCAAATGAAAAAAACAGATCGATCCGTTCCAACACTGTTTGATTTAACCTACGTTTATGTAGTATATGCAGACCCATGTTGATAGCCCTTTGTGGGTGATTTCAGAGGTTTTAAGGACAGTTTTGGTAACTTGTGATTTTTGACTTATGTATGGAAGTAGATCCTAACTCTCAAAGCTGATGCCTTTCTATCGTACCACCGTAGAGGGGAAGAGACGTCTCTGGGCCCACGCTACCTACATTCGTGGGGGAGCCAGCTAATAAGCAGGTAAGAGAGGAACTGTGCAATTACAAATAAAGAAAAATGCTTTAAAAATAAGAATACTAGACATTCTCTGCATTTCCCAGGACATTTCCTGGGTTACAGCCTTTGAAGCAGATATTCCTAGAGAAGAAAGTTTCCTCTGACGCTGCCCCTCCCTCATCTCCAAGCCCACTGTGTGATCTAATGACCAAGACCCGATTTCCTATAAGATGCCTTTAACAGGGGAATCATTATTAATGGCTTTAGGAAGTAGAGGCATTTTTAAAAAAATTTTTTAACTTTTAAACTTTACTTATTTATTGAGAGAGAGAAAGAGAGAGAGAGAGAGAGAGCACACAAGTTGGGGAGGGGCAGAGAGAAGGAGAGACAGAATCCCAAGCAGGTTCCACTCAATTGGAGCAGAGCCTGATGCAGAGCTCGAACTCATAGACTGTGAGATCATGACATGAACTGAGCTCAAGAGTTGGATACCTAACCGACTGTGCCACCCAGGAGCCCTAGTAAAGGCATTTTTAAAGGGTTGGAAAGTGGTGGATCAACTTTCATTTCTTTGCCTAAGTGATGATAATAGCCATAGTTTCCATGACTGAACACCTATGATGTGCTAGCCCCGGTGCTGGGTACTTTTACATTCAGTTTTTATAATCTCCACAATTGCCCTGCTATGTAGGCAACATCATCCTTACTGTACTGATGAAGAAAGTGAAGCTCAGAGAGGTTAAGTAACTTGCCCAAGGTCACACAGCTGGTAAGTTTCAAAACAGGGGGTGCTGTAATTTGAACCCAGCTCAATCTGAGGTTTTCTCCACAAAAGCCACACTAGCAGCCAGAGGGAATGGGGCTTTGTCTGCAAAGGGTGTAGTTATGGGTTGGGTCTGTCTACAGGTAGCTGGTGGCTGTGGGCTGTTAAGGGTGGCACCCACAGGCCTACCTTGCTGTCCCATTGCTGTATTCACAGGTGGCGTGGATATGACAGAACTGCACATAGGGCCCACAGGCTGAGGTCTGCTTGTGGCAGAACGTCCCCGTGGAGCCTTCTCGGCACGTGCCGGCCAGGCAGGCCCCGTCGCTGTCGATCCTGTTATCGCACGTTCCGTAAATACACAGACATTCTGGGAGAGAAGGAAAAGGGGCATCCAGGGGTTGGGGGACGAGCATAGCAATGGGGCACATGGGTCATGAAGGAGAGAGACCACCTCCCCTCACCCCCCTCTCATGCCTGTCAGAGCAGAACGTGGGGCTGAGCCCGGGGGGCGGCCCTGGGGGCTATTTCTTAGCTTGTCAAGTGTCTCTCGATGTGCCTGAGACAGTGAGCTTGACTGTCCCATCAAGGAGGGGAAGAATGGAGTCTCAGAAGTGCTTAGCGCGCGCGCGCACGCGTGTGTGTATGTGTGTGTGTGTGTGAAAGAGACCAAAGAACTCCATCTTCATTTACTTCTTGGTCGGAGAGCTTACTTTGGAAATTTCTGACCTTTCTGGAATCAGGAGAAGGGGTTTCTCACGCCGGCACGGCCTCTGATGTGCAGCTGACGTATTTGCTCCTCACTCTCCAGTGCAGCAACCAAGGATAACTGATAGCCAGTACTTGTGCACTGACTGTGTTCTAGGCACCGGGCCAGCCTTGACATGTACCATCTCATTAACAGTCACCAGCCTCAGAAGGGGGGAACTTTCATCACCCTCATTTCCAGATGAGGAAACTGAGGCCCAGGGAGGAGAAGCAAATTGCCTAACTGGCTGCTAAGTTTTCAAACAGGGACTTGAACTTAGGGCTTCAAGTTCCATTTCTGTTCGTGCCCAAGTGCAAACACAGCAGGTCAATGTATTAGCCGTGTTCCGCATGTCTCCTTATCAGTTTCCACGTCAGCTGTTTACTTTGCTTTTGATGATAGCTGTTCAAAACTTGCGACGTGTGCCTCAGACTCAGGCTCCAATGCGTGCGGGAGTGAGAAGAAGGACATGAAGTTTCTCAAACATCAGTGGCAAGGGTTGGGGGGTTTGGGGTCTGATCAGAAATGAAGGCATCTGTGGTTCTGCCCCAGGAGGGCGATGGGAGAGGAAGTCGTGTGAGTGCTTCCAGGATAGGGAAGAGAGTCGGAGTGAACAGGCTGGAAAAGCATGGCTAGATTTAAACAAAAGACTTTTCACAAACTTTAAAGCAAGTCAGGGCTTAATTTGCAAGGGACAGGGACCCAGAAGGAAGAGGGGCTCTCCTGCATGGGGTGACAGGCAGCCATCAAGTGGGACAAGAGACATCGGTTCAGGAAGCGTCCACAGCTTCTCTGACCTCAGCATCCTACCCCATTGGCCTCATAAAACTGCCAACGTTGTCAGGCTTTGGAATAAAACCATTTTTTCCCCTGAGAAACCTTATTTGGCACAAAGAACAGTGACTTAGGATCAGCAGCCATGGCCCTGCTGTGCTCCAGTGTCCTGGCCCCTGTGAAAGGCGGTTGTAAAGATCAGACAAGGTAAGAGAGGAAGGGCTGTGTGCTTTGTAACACATGAGTGAGTTAGTGGGAGTAATAAGCACAGGTCCATCTACGGACTTCTTGCTGGTGCAAGCTCTGTGCTAAAGCCCTAAATTATGATCTGACTTCATCAAAAATCCATCACATGGGTACCGATCTTCATTCTATAGACAGGGAAGTTGAGGCTCAATGAGAGTCTTTTTCCAAGTTCACACAGCCTGTCATTTGCAGAGTGGGGATTTAGCTTTGGTTGGCTTGAGCCCACAGCAGCTCTGATTTTGTTCTTTCAAATTCTAATCTTAGTGTAGACTCATATATCAATATTTATTTTTGTAGATCTGTGTATCTCTCCACTTAAATAGATGCATGATGCAATTTTAAAAAGCATGATGCATGCTTTGAAGGTTATATAATTGCATTTTTGTTTAATGCTTAGTGTTGTGGAGCTTTCTATTTCTTCTGCAAGCTTCTTGGCATTTATGTCACTGAATTATGAATAATGGCAACAGGGACAACAATCACAGATGATAGTAAGAGATGGTGTATCTGTATTGCATTCTAGGTGCTAGGGGTTCCAACCAAGGCAAGCGCTTTCCATTCATAACTTGCACTAACTTACGAGGTAATTACAATTATTAGACCCATTTTATAGATGAGGAAACCGAGGTCTAGAGAGGGAAGTGGAGTAACTTGCCCAAGGTCACACATTTTGCAAAGAGGGGAGCTGATAGAAGGGGATTGCTTGAAAGGTAGAGAGTGATTCTGTGTGTTGCAACAGGACTCACTGTCTCTTCACGTTTTGGGGAGAAACCTTAAGAGACTGTTTTTCAAAGCAAGGTCCTGTGGCCAGCAGTGTTGGCATCCCCAGGGAACGTGTTGGAATTGCAGGTTCTCTGATACCACCCAGGCCTGCTGCCTCAGAAACTCTGCTGTAGGGCCCAGCAATCCAGCACGTGCTACAGCTTGATGACAGAGTGCTTGAAAGGTGGCCCAGACGAAAGCATGCGCCAAGCAAAGGGGCACACAGCGCCGTGACTGTGCTGTTGCTTTGCGGCAGTGCAGCGGGGGCCCTGGCCGAGGGGCAGGAGGAAACCCTGGAAGTGCCACTTACTTTTGTCACACCGGGGTCCGTATTTATTGGGATCGGAGCAGAACTGACACCGGGAGCCTTGGAAGCCATCCTGGCAAATGCACGTCCCGTTGCCGTCGAGGCCGTCTGCGCACTGCGAGCAAAGGAGGCCCCGAGGGTGTTAGGACAATGCTCAGCCACGAAGGAGCCCCAGATGCCATTGTGCCATGAATGCAGAGTCAGTCTCTTTGGGACTCCTTGTGGGAAGTGTAGTCATGCTGGTATCAGGTAGGATGCTATAACAGTGACAGGCTTGGGGTCCTGAGTCAGGATCTTGACCATTAAGGGAAGCCATTCAGGAAGAAACGGTGTCACAGTGGTGAACTAGGAACCTGCAAACACTGCTTGAGGGATGGTATGACCAGCCACCGCCCTTCAGGATGAAGGCTGGCCCCCTCTCTGTTGCTCAGCTTTATGGCGTGAGACTGCAGCATCTCCCCCTACAGCGTAAGACTTTTCATCTTCCACCTGCCCCATTTCAGCCTTTTCCAGGTTGGCTTTGCAGTGCCCACCGCGCATTCCTGTCGGGCATGGGTGCCTCCCGCCATCAGTACCCTGCATCATCCTGCACATCAGCTGCAGTAGCTGATCAGTACCCTCTCTGCCTCCTTTTCCTCACCTCGCCTCAACCCACTCATGATGGTGGTTTTTCCTTCCCATCAAAAGGGGCGTATTTCAGATGTGGGTTTCTTAAATGCACAGGTCTGTAATTTCCCATGGGAACCGTGGGAAAGCTCCTTTTTACCTTTGTTTAGCTCTGGCCTCCAAACTAGGTGAGTTAAGTTTGGGCCGTTACATTTTAGTAGGTTTTGGAGGTGGGTTAAAAAAAGCAATCACCCAGGGGCATCTGGGTGGTGCAGTCGGTTAAGCGTCCGACTCTTGATCTTGGCTCAGGTCATGATCTCATGGTTCATGAGTTTGAGCCCCACATTGAGCTCTGCGCTGATGACCTGGAGCCAGCTTGAGATTCTGTCTCTTCTTCTCTCTCTGCCCCTCTCCCACTATCACTCTCTCTCTCTCTCCCTCTCAAAATAAATAAATAAACTTAAAAAAAAGCAATCACTGGGCAGTGCTTTTTTTTGTCTAAATTATCACAGAATCTTAGTCTTAGAAGGAATCTTGGCAATCAATGTAGGGGGCCCTGCTATCTCCCATAAGAGGAAAGTGGGGTCAGAGGGAACCTCGTTGAGTTATCCAAGGTCAAGTGGTCAGCAGCAGGAAAGCAGACACTGGAACACAGCCAGACTCCCTACTCCTCACCCCTGCTGCCCTCTGTCCCCAAATTCCTTCTGCTGCAGACACCTTCTGTTCTTTTAGCGACTGATCTGTTTCTTGGACTTCCTGGGAGTAGTGGCTGGCACTGTAATGCTTCTTGGTTTAGTGATTTTAACACTTATTTTTCGACTTGACTTAGGACAAGTCAACCTCAGCATTCGTGACAAAATTTTCATCACCTGGCCGTTCCCCGAGCACGGATTCGAGAAGCCTCCTGGACACTGGTTGCAGTCTGGCCCGTAGAAGCCTTTGCAGCACTTCGGTATCTGAGAAACAAAAGGCATGTTGCTTTTTGAAACTGCAAGCAGAGTGCCAATTCCTCAAAGGAAGTACATTTTAATTTCCATTATTATAATAAACAGCATCAGCTCCCCCGTGTGAGCCTGACTTTCTCTATTGCAGATGATGGCACTGCTGGTGCACAGCCAGCCACCTGCTCACCACCTGCGTGCCAAGGCAGCTCCGGCACCATGGGAACAAGACGTGAAGGCTTGTGCTCATGGAGCCCATGTTCTATCGAGTGCAGGAAGAGACAATAAAGTAAAAAAAAATAAGAGTTTCCAAGGTCTGTAGTGGCTGAGAAGACAAAGTACTGTAATGAAGTGGTGGCAGGTGGGGACAAAGGTCAGGAGAGACTGGGGTGGGGGGCACTGTGGATTGGGTGGTGACAGAGGGTGGGAGTTAAACACTTGGAAGATGAGCCAGTTCCAAGAAAATCTGAAGAGCTCTCCGAGGGCGGGGGAGGGGGGTGGCGCGCAAGTGTGCACATTGTGATATGGGCGTGAGGGTAAGAGACAGGCTGGAGCCCTGGCAGAGAGAGGCTGGACTGGACAGGAGTCTCTGTGTTAAGACTGATAGGGAACCACAAGAGGGATGGATGCAGTGAAGGAGGTGACCCAGACGCCATGTAGAGAGTCCGCCCTTCCATTCTCTTGTAGGAAGACATTGCCAAGACCCCACAGGCAACCTGTGAGCCCGTAGACCATGAGGCCCAAGGGTGTCGCCCTGGAGCTGCCCCTTGCATCTGGCCTCACCTGCACGGTGGCGTTACAGTATCTGGCACAGCCACTCTTCAGGCTCCTTATTCTGCCAGTGTAGACACATCTGTGTGTGAAGAGCGTCTAGAAGAAAGCCAATGGGAAAAATGCATTGAGTCTGTGTTTTGAAAGCGCCCCAGAGCACACCAGCCCACACGGCTCTCAGCCAGGGCTCAGTCACCTTCTTTAGGTCTCGGTTACCTTTTTGGTAGAATACAGGCCAGGATTTGCACAAATTAGGGCACATTTATCTTTATATCTCCTCTCGTGCCATCGCAGAGATTGCCAATAGACCAGGTAACACTTTCCTGTTCATCCAGGATGTGGCATAGCCTCCCTTCCAATTAATAGCCATTCCTAAGCTCCTTCTGCATAGAAATTTTGGAGCCAGTAGAAAGTCTCTCTAATTTGTAGAAGGATCTACAGTTAGAAGTGGTGTGTATGTGTAGGGGGAGGATTTAAATGCAACTTTCCACTCTAACTCTTGGTGCCCAATCATAATTATCTAGAGCTGCCATTCATCAAGAACTTTCTAAGAGCAGACACACTGCATATATGAAGACATCAATCTTTAACTCCATGTGGATATTTTCATCCCTCTTTGTAGATGAGAGAACTGAGGCCCAGACAGGTAAACCGGTTTTTCTAAAATGTCCAGAGAATAGGTCTTACCATGTACTAACTTTAGGATAGCAGAGGCAAGTCATGTAATCTCTGTGGACCTTAGCTGCCTCATCTGTGAAATGGGACAATGATGCTGATCTTAGGTTTTATCATAAGCATTTTGTCCCTGGCTCAAAGTTTATGTGAGAGAAATATTGATGTTGAAGCTTAAGAAGGTAACATTGAGAATTTCATGGGCTATAAAATTCTAAAATCTGAGATATATAAAGGAATTCTGAGGTCATTGAGGAAGGCATATTCAGTTCTCTTGTCGGATCTCAGGATAATTAAGCCAGCATGGATCACAGGGGCCTGGGAAGGGCAGTTTTGAGGCTTCTCTGGTTCTAATCCATGGTCTAATTACCCCCTCATTCCTCTCCTTCTCTTCCTTGCTTGGGCTGCGGCAATGTAGAGTCTCGGTTTTGCCACATATTCGCTGTGTGACCTTGTAAAAGATATTTTACGTGTCTTTACCTTCATTCCCAGATTACACGATGGATATAATAATATACCCACCTCATAGGTTTGCTCTATAAAGCTTAGAGCAACGTCTGGCACACAGCAACCGCTGATGCTAGTCACCGTGATTTCCTCTTTTCTTCTCCCTCTCCCTAGTCTCTGGTGACAGCATCCTACCAGACTCAGTGGTGATGGCTACACTGAGCAAAATAAATATCTGAACAGCTATGCCTATTTAATTGTAACGTTTTGCCTTATTAAGTGCTTCGCAGTAGGATTGTGTCAAAGAGCTCATCTCCTTCCTCAGTGATCTATACTAGTGCTGAATGAAACTTCTGGTTGATATGCTCTTTTTTAGGACAAAATTATAGGTAGAAATTTCTCTCATCAAGTGCACCTTGGGGAATTTTGCTTTTCCCAGTAGAGTACTCGACAATGAATTCTGGATTGTTATATAGCATCTGTTTTCCTTGTTAGATTAGAGCTTCTCAACATAGGAGCAAAACCAGAACAAAACTGTATCTCATTTGTCTTTATGGCCCAGGAGCCAGCTCTCAATGGATGTGTTCAGAATTCAGTCAAACTTGAAAAGGGCTTAAGGGTCCTAATGTCGTTTTCTTGATAGTATTTATATTTCTATCTAGAAAAATGCTTGGGAAGGGCAAACAGGAGTATGGCGTGGCAGCATATACGAGCCCCAAATAGGCCATTTGGCATAGGGATTATTTTGACTCCAGGCACTTGAAAAACAGCAGACAGAAAAGGGACACTCTGATTTCTGACCTCCCCTTTTCTTTCTGAAAACAGGAGATCAAACTGTCCTGTGAAAGATGCCCTCCCTGCACCAGGACGTAAGGGACCATCTTGTCACCAGAGACAGGAAGCTGAAGCCGAGAAAAACCTGCACAAACGGATCTTGTTAAAACAGCTCTGAACTTCCTTGAGCCTCCCTCTATGTTTCTGTGACTTTTCCACTCTTGCCTCTCTCTTTAGTTAACCTATTACATAAACATTGGGTTTTGCTATTTCTTTGGGTCTTCATTTTCCTGAGGGCACTCCCATGTACATGTAAAAGCTGTGAATGTTCCTCTTGTTAATCCATCTAATGTTAATTTAATTCTCAGGCCCGGCTGGAGACCTTGAGTTGGTGAAGGTAGGGGTTTGTTTCCCCTGCACAAACTTAGGAGGGTAAAGTAAGGAAGGAAGGAATCTTTACTGAGTAGCCACTTGATTTAGGTATTGTACTTGGGTTTTTATCTATGCTAATCCTATTATTGTTATTATTATTATTTATTTATTTATTACAGATGAAGGAAGTTAGTGTAAAAAGGTTAAGCAACATACCTAGGGTTAATGAACAAGGGTTCAAACACAGCTCTATCTACCCTCTCCCATATAGTAGGCTAAGAGCTAATATGAAATTACCCCAGTTGGAATTGATAGATTTTTTAAAGTTTATTTATTTATTTATTTTGAGAGAGAAAGAAAGTGATCAGGGGAGAGGCAGAGAGAGAGGGAAAGAGAGAGAATCCCAAGCAGGTTCCACACTGCTAGTGCAGAGCCTGATGCGGGGCTTGAACTCATGAATCATGAGATCATGACCTGAGCCAAGATCATGAACTGAGCCGAGACCAAGAGTCAGATGCTTAACCAACTGAGCCACCCAGGCACCCCAGAATTAATATCTTTTAAGAAGAAAGGTAGAAAGGATGAGAAACATCACGAGTTGGGGGTTGTTTGGGTGATGTGTGGTTTCATGAAGCTGTCACACTCACTGTGCGCTCGGAGTTAGCAGGACATTTGCTCCAATACACCAGGGAACAGCTCACACAGGTGCCCTGGAAGGGAAGACAATGAAATCAGTACAGGTGCTTCTGTAAGAGGGAGCAGGGACCTCCCGATCCGGCCTCATGCGTCCTTCCTGCAGAGGGGGTTCCACTAGTGTAACACTCCGGGCCTCTCCTTCCACCCCCCAGAGAGGAGTGAAGTCAGTTCCAGGTGGGTTGGGACCTGGAACTGAGCCTGCTCATAGCAGCCCCCTCCACTCCCCACTTTCAGGGCCAGGTTGTGTGTCCACCAGCCTCAGGCTTCTGGTTGACTCTGTGCCATGTAAAGCACCTGTCCCAAGGAGACACTGCAGCTGTCCACATGTACCAGAGGCAAAGCACTAGTGCTGGATACACACTTATGGCCCTGTTCTCCAATTAGCTTCCCAGCAATGGAGCTGAACATTGATTCTCTGCTCTTCACTCCCCTTGGGCTTCTTGCTTCATTGGTTCTGAATTCAGAAGGAAGGAGAGAGGTGTGTGCCTCTACATCTTTCCAGATCAATTCTCTGACCTTCTCTATTGAGCTCTATGCTCCAGCAGGTAGACCTCAAAGATCGGTCTCTCAGCCTCTCCTGCCAGCTTCTGATTGCTTTTGGCCAGTGTGAGGTGCCAGCAAGGTACTGGTGGGTAAGATCAAGGTATTTATTCCCTCCATCTCTGCTTGGACACCATCCCTATAGCTCCTGATAGATGTCACTTCTTCCGTTCTTCCAGCCCTCAGTGGGTTCAGGTACCACCTGTCCCTTCCCTCCTCCCTCTTTGGTCCTGGGTGGTAATGGTTTCCTGCCATTACTTCTCCTTGGATGCCCCAGCATCACTGGTTTGTCTCCTTAGCCCTGCTCACCTCTCTGTAGTAGTGTTTTCATTAAAGTCTCTTCATTTGAACCATTGGGGTAACTTCTGTTTCCTGCAGGGAACCTAACTTGCCAGAGACTTATTAATTAAACCTCTAAAGTCCAAACATACATACCTAAAGATGGCTATGGGTACAAGCTGGTGAAAATTGAGTCTTCTAGATAGTGCCAACTGCTCCTAGTCTGTGCTAGCCCTAAATATTTTGCAGAGAGTGCATTTGTACTTTTTAATAGACCTAATCAAAACCATCCTAAATCATATAGAGCATATAGATTTGGCCTTAAACCCAGAAAAAATAGTAAAAGAAGACGATCCTAAGGCAGGTGTTGGGAAGCTCCTTCCCCTATTAAACCAAAATCCTTTGGGTTCCCTCTCAAAGCCACATATTGAGTGGCAGTTGCTTGGGGTGGGGAAGCTCTGAAGTCAATAATTAGACTCCTACTGAGTCTTTCTGACAGAGGCCCTATTTCCCTAAATCTTTCGCCTTGGCAATAGGAGATGAGACTATTCTGATCTGGCCTGTTCTGATCTTCAGCCCAGCCCAAGCTGGGTGATGTACCTGCCAAAACTTTTTTCAAAGAATGAAATGAACATAAATCACTGCCAAACTCTGGCTGTGAAGGTCACTGACTTTCTGCCTCTCTTAAAAAGGAGTGCTCAGAATTGAGTCGAGTCCTCCAGATGGTATATGAAGGGCACAGATGACTAGTACCATTACAATATCCTAAAGCATATCTGAAGAACCAGCCACAATCCTGTGCCAGCTGCCCAACTAGCTATTTCCAGCCTTCATGATAAGAAGAGGAATCAGTAAATAAAATCTATGAAATGAGGCCATTATTCCTTGTTTAATGTCCATATTCCAAGGATATTTTGAGAACAATCATTGAAGTATTATTGAATTGTCCTGAAAAGAAAGATCCAGACCTATTATTGCTGCAACTTTTGGGGTATGGTTTCCATGGGAACTGAAAGATCATGTGTACAGCAGTGTTGAAATTTGGGGTGCCTTGAATAAAAGCAGCTGAACAAAGTAAGTTGCTATGGAAACAGGAAAGGCCATTAGAGGGTACACAAGCTCTTAGGCAAAAATAAAGTTTGGTATTTGAAAAAAAGAACAAAAATGGTTGATTGTCGAGTCCGGGGCATCTACTTGAGAAATAATTCTATTTTAAGTTTCTTAGAGTAAAGTAATGGGCTTGGAGCAAGGTGGTCCCAAGTGACAGAGAGAGGGATTGATCCTGCTTCTTCAGGGGTAGTGGATTGAATAGTGTTCCCCACCAAATTCATGTTCCCCTGATTGAGTCTTTGCAAATGTAATTAGTTAAGATGGGGTCATGATAGATTAGGGTCAGTTCTGAATCTAATGACTGGTGCCCTTAAAAGAAGTGAAGGGGACACACAGTGGCCCACACAAGGAAGAAAGCCATATAGAGACAGAGGCAATGCCAAGGATCAGTGGGAGGCATCAGTAGCCAGAAGAGGCAAGGAAGGGTCCCCCTTCCAGAGCCTTCAGAGGGAGCACTGCCCTGCTAATCCCTTGATTTCAGACCATTGGCCTCCAGAACTGTGAGAGAATAAATTTCTGTTACTCTAAGCCTCTTAGTTTGTGGTAATTTGTTATGGCAGCTCTAAAAAGCCAATATAGCAGGGAGGCATTGGTCATTGTGGAAAATTCTCCAGTGAAGACTTCATTCACATTTTATGAGATAGAACCTCTTCCTGGAGGAGAAACCCCTCTGGAATGAGTCTCCTGTGGTGAAGCTCTCCTTGTCAGCTTCCTCAGAACTGTGAGAGGAAAGAATGTTACCTACTCTGTGGGGCTATTTAGGGGCCCCTCTTTGTTTTTCTAGTCTTCTTACCAGTTTCATCTCTCTCTTGGTTTCATCGCATCTGTGGGGCAAGATGGGCACGATGGAGGGAGGAATGAGAACTCCAGTCAGGGTGTAGATTCGGCCATTTTTGGCGGTGACCTCAGTGTCTTCCATTGCCACACCATTTACCAGAATCTGTCCCTGGAAAGAAGGAATGACATCTTCCGTTCTGTCCTGCAGGGCACCACAGTCCCCAGGCAGGGCTGAGTGGTGGCGATCTCTCTAAAGAGCCTTCAACGTCACTTAACTTTTTGTTGAGTGGAAGGTTGCTATGAGAAGGGCGTGGCTGACAGGGAAAGATGGATCTGAAGTGAATTCCTGACTGACACCAGGCAAGGATGTCTCTGCAGAAATGGTCTTTGCGGGTTCAGGGCTGGGAAGAGGTGTAAGTATTCCAGCTCTATAGACTTGGCTTAACTGTTTTACCTCTCTGTTGGCGAAATGGGGATCCATTCATCAGATACATTTATTGACCTTGTATTAAGCTCTGCTTTAGGTCCTGGGGTTACGTCAGTAACAAAACAAAAAAACAGAAAAAAAAAAAACAACAACCCCCAAACAGTGCTAATGTTGCAGGGGAGGGAGCAGAAAATGAATAGATAAGTAAAGAATTCTGACCTTCGCTTTCCCCCCAAATCTGTTCTACCTGCAGTATTAGTGGCAACTCTATTCACTAGGGGATCGGGTCAGAAGCTCAGGAGTCTTCTTCTTCTAATCCATCAGCAAATTCTCTTGAGGCTTCCTTCAAAATACCTTCAGAATGCATCCACTTCTTCCCACACCCCTGCTCCCTGGTCTGAGTCACCATCATTCTCTGGGTTATTACAATCAGCTCCTGACTAGTCTTTCCCGAATGTGCATCTGATCACGTCATTGCCCTGCTCAAAATCCTTTCATGGCCTTTCATCTCATCTAAATTAACAGTGACCTGACCCCACTTCTCCGTCTCCCTCCTACCACCTTGACCTTTACCCCTTCTGTTCCAGTCATGACGACCTTGCAGTTTCTCACTCAGGAATATGCTCCTTTCTTTGTTCCCTGTCTCTGGAATGTTCTTTCCTCCAGATAATCATGCTGCTTGTTCCTTCATTTCCTTCATTCAGGCCTTTGCTCTGATGTTTTCTTCTCCATGAGGATTTCTTGGGCACTATATCTAAAATGCCAGCCCCACCCTCGCTCCATATTCAAATCCTTTGTTTGCTTGTTTGCCTTAGCATTTACTACTTTCTAAAAGATGCTGCGTTTTACTTATTTAATTTGTTTATTGTTTATTATCCTATTTACTAGAATGAAAGTTCCAGGCAGCTAGAGACTTTTCTCTATTTGCTCAGTGGGCTACATTTAGGACCAGAATGATGTCTGCCACATAGTTGGCATTGAGTAGATACAGAAAAGATGAATCATCATCATCATCAACATCAACGGCGAATCAACAGGAACCATAATTTGCATGCTGTCAGACTTTGGCTGATATTAGCCCAGAGAGGTACTGGAATAACACTGCCTCATGGAGTTTCTTGAATAAGTCATGTTCCCTCCCACCTCAGGACCTTTGCACTCATCTCTGCCCAGGTTCACTGTACTCATCCTTTGAAGCTTAGCTAATGCATTGCTCCCTCACTGAGGACCTCTAGACCCCGAGACTTGTGCAGCCTCCTCCTATTGTAAGCTCTCATTATAATTACACTGAAACTTGTTATAATTGTAAGTAAATAATCAACTGGCTGCTAATTTGTTGTTTAAAGTCTGTTTCCCTTGCTGTAACGTAAGCTTGTCGTCTTCATTGATTTATCCTTGACATCTAGTTCAGAGTTTCACACATGCAGCTGCTCAGCAAACTCATAATGAATTGAAATAATGAAATGAAAGAAACAACAAATAAACGAAATAATCATAAAGAGTGTAAGCCTGTGAGTTAGTGTAGAGGTAAGATAACCTGGTGAATAATCAGAAGCAGAGCAAAAATGCATACAGTCATGACATCCGTGGTAGAATTTTCACCTACGTTGTTGGTTGTGTTGAACTGTATGATCTGGTTGGCCATGCTCCTAATGTGTGGGGTTGAAATGAGAGTGGCCACTTGAAGCTGCAAAGAGAAGAGAACAATAGAGACTTTTTGACCAATGCATAGAGCCCTGATTTGGTAAATTTTTCACTAGGAAAAATTAGCCTGGAAGTCTATGAAATAAGTAATGGGAGCTTTGATGTCATGAGATTTGTGGTTTTGAGGATTTATTTGATAACAGGCTCATTATTTATTGCTAAGGATATGCTCAGAGCTACAGATAAAGAACAATTGTCACATATTTTCTAGCACTGTAATAATGGAACTTAAGACAAGGTCAGATATGTGGAAAGCAGGGAAAACTTGGGCAGGAAAGTGGGGCCAACCTGAGTAAATGGGATAATGTGGTATCTGACCAGTTCCAGAAGCTTCCGAGATCCCTGCAAAGGAATCAAAATACTTCTTTAGTCATTGCAGAAAACACAACTTTCCCCCTCTTGTGAGAACCTCCTCCAGTAACTTGGGATGCATAATCAAGAAAAATAAATGACCCATTAATTCTTCATTGGGAAGTGGAGGGTAAGAAAAACTCCATCCTCAAATAGCTAACATTCACCAAATCTCTACTTTGTGGCAGGGACTGTTGTGAAAACATTATACACACATTTTATTTAATTTTCTTAGAAGCCTGTGAGGGAGGGACTGCTCTCGATTCATTTTGTGCATGATAACACTGAGTTTTAAAGCCGTGACAGAGGTCACAAAGCTAACATAGGAGATAATAACCCTAAGAAGTTCTCAGTCACTCTGCTCCATTACCTCTCTGAATGTCTAAAGCTACATTCTGGATTTCATAAGACAGCCTCGGTTTAACATTCTGTTTTACTTTCTCTATAAATAAATGCCTGGTTTTATTTATAAAAGTCAGACCACATACTGGTTATTCAAGAATATACAATCCTTAGTAAAATCTGGTCAGAACATTTTCCCCTTCAGTGCTGCCATGGTACATGATCATCTCTCCTTCAAAGCCTTTTCCATGATTTCTCATGCTTTGGAAAAACTGTAGCAGTGGAGTTTAAAAGAGAGCCTTGGGACCATCAGCAGGATGAGCAGTCCCCACAGGGGTGCCATGGGGAGAGCCTTCAGAGGTGAGGAGCACGGAGGACCACTCTCTCTGGGAACCAGTGGCTGTGGTGGTCTGCTGCAGGATGTCCGCAATCTCCCAGTGGAGCCACAGCTGGGAGTTACAAGCTGCATAGCCCTTGAGTTCTGCTTCTTTATTTTTTAAATGTTTATTTATTTATGAGAGAGAGAGACAGACAGAGACAGAGACAGACCGAGAGAGACAGAGAATGCCAAGCAGGCTTCATCCTGTCAACTCAGAACCCGATGTGGGACTCGATCCCATAAACTGTGAGATCATGACCTGAGTTGAAGCCAATAGTTGGATGCTTAACCAACTGAGCCACCCAGGTGCCCCGTCCTTGAGTTCTGCTTTTTAAGTGGCACAGCCGTGGTTACTCTGGCTTGAACAGGAGGAAGGTCACAAATCAAGATCATAGTAACCTTCTAGAGGCTGACCATTCTAGGGACATGTTACAACAGTGAAAATTCCCAGACCAAAAGAAATCCCTGCTGAATCTGAGTCCCATTCACTCAGACTCCCTTCTGCATTTGTTCTTGGTCCCTGTGCCAGAGGAGTTACCTGCAAGCAGTGTGATCACATTTCCTGGCTTGTCTGGTATGGCCCTGGTGTACACCTATTTTTTGGCACCCACATTCACTCTCAGGTGTCCTGGTGTGGATGGTAAATTGCATGGCCACCAAATCTATAAGCCAACGGCAGTATGTGCAGGGCGGAGTTACCATAAGAATGCTGAAGTTGAACACCAGGTAGCCAGCCCTGGAAGTGATGTTTTTTGTAGCCCTGGCTCTGTTGCTGCATGGCTTTGAGCTCACTTTGACTCTGGGTCTTCACTTCCCCTTGCAGCTGCTTTATGGTACTCAGAAGTGAGGACTTGTGGGCAGACGCAATGCTCTTACAAGTTTGGATGTTCAGCGGGCAGGAAAGGTGAGAAAAAGTGGGGACCACTGAGGAATGTCAGCCCAAACTGGGCTGCGAACTCCTGGAAGGCAGGGACAGGGTCTGTCTGACTTATTACTCAGCGTCACCAGGGGGCACAGTGCAGAACACACAGTGGACCCTGCATAAACATCTGTGCCACTAAGTTAAATGGGGGAAGAGGTCCCAGGAAGAGCACTGAGCTGGACGTTGGGGTCCTGAGTTCTAATCCTGATTCTGCTTCTGTGATCTTGAGCCAGCCACTTAGCACCTCTAGTCTTGATTTCACCTACAAAAGAATGGAACTGGTGTGGACCCCTTCCAACCCTCTGATTCTGTAGGGAAGACTTTATCAGCTGGATAATTCACTTCTAAAGCCCTATGAATTAATTGGTGTTGGATCCTTTTTACAAGAAAGAGGAGAATGGAAAGGACAAAGGGATTGATGAGCATCATTCCTGCCAGTGTGTGCGCCTGTCACCTGTACCATGGCTGGGAACCATGAAGGTCATCAGTCAGTTAGGATTCAGTCCCCTGTGGCTCAAATCGACAGGATGTGTGTCCAGGTGCTGCTGTTGGTGGAGAGTCTACCAGTGTAGTGCATCCTTTCCCTTAGGAAGACATTCGTTTCCTCCCTGCTGTTTTAGGTAAAAATAACAAAAACCAAGCCCTTTGATGCCAGGGCAGAAAGAGAACAGTTTTTCTACCAAATTGTTAACATGACCTTCAACTCTTTAATTTCACTTCCCTTTGTCCCATTTTACTTGCAAGGTATTTGTGAACTGGCAAGGGCCAGTCTCTGGGATCCTTTGCTTTCATTTTGCCTCAAACAGTGATAAAGTCATAAACTGGGGCTAGAGACCAGTAGCTGTGGTCTCTGTGGGAACAGGATGGTTTCAGGACTGAAATTTTGCTTCAGGGAGAAGCAGAAACATACACTAGAAAGGAAACATGGCATTTCAAAATCAGAATTATAAACCACTCCTCTAATGAAATCAGTTTCTTTTCCATTTCATTGGCATAGCTGATGGGGACTTTACTGTCTCCCTGAAATAAAGCTAAAAGATGCTATTAAAATGCATAGAGAGAGAAGGATCTTCCTACAAGTTGAGAAGTTTTAACTGAACAGGCTCTAGTCCTGCAAAAAAAGTGGAAATGATCATTTTATTCCTCACCTAGAAATTAAAGTAGAAGAGCAGTTTGGGCTAAGAAAAAAGAAATTTGAAGTTTTTATATTCTTTGTGGGCAGAAAAGTACTGTCTTTGAGAGCAAGGAGATTGAGAGCCAGAACCAGCAGTGTGCTGGTAAATCGGTTCTATGGGGGAAAAAAGTAGCCTAGATTTACAGAGTTGGTCAATTTCTGTCATGTTGATACTCCCACCATAGGTTAATTTCAATCTACAAGGTGATCTCACTGAACTAAGCTGGGAAGAGGTATACAATCTACTCTCCAGAGTCGGAGCAAGCCATCTCCAGCCACAGCTGGAAGGAGTTATGAGGGGAGAGGAAGATAAGAGGTTTCTGAGCAAAAGTGCTTGACAGAAAAGCAGGAAGATTGATATTTTTTAAATTCTAGTTAAAACTTTTTGTTTTAATTTTTTTACATTTTTAGTGTTTGTTTATGAGAGACAGAGCATGAGCTGGGGTGGGGCAGAGAAAGAGAGGAAGACACCGAATCCAAAGCAGGCTTCAGGCTCCATGCTATCAGCACAAATCCTGATGCAGGGCTTGAACCCACAAACAGTGAGACCATGACCTGAGCCGAAGCTGGACACTTAACTGACTGAGCCACCCAGGTGCCCAGTTTTATTTTAATTTTCAGGTTAGCTGGTTAGGTGTCCGAGAAGTCCTTTAATATTATTTTTAAAAAATGGTATCAAATTGGAAGTCATGTACTCAGGAAGGCCATGTAATCTCAAGATTTTAATAATTTCCCAGGGGAGCAATGTTCCTTTTAACTTTAAAAGTAAGTATGAGTGTGAATTCCAAAGACAGCTATAACCATTTTTCTGCAATAGCTACATTTCAGAAAACTTGCATGTGAATAGTATTTTAAAAATAGCATCCTATCTTGAAGACACTGGGAAATCTGGCATTTTAAGTGGGAACCTGTAGCAAATCTTTTAATATATTGAACATCTATTTGCAATGTAGGAGATTATCTTCTGATTTATCTCCTCAATCCACATATTTTTAATCCAATGTTTTCTGAAAGCAAAATATCTTTGTAGATACCTGAAAATATTCTAGAAATGGATGTATCCATGTGCATCTCTAAACCATACCTGTGTTGAGTTTTAAGTTCCAAAAACAGTGTAGCCCAGGTTACCTGGGTTAGAAAGTTGGTGCTTCCCCAGATGTCTATTTTTAGGTCTCATACAGGTGCCCTTTGATCAAAATGCTTGGGGTATGGTTTGTGAAGCTGCCTACTTAACAAACTCCATGGGTGATTCCTAAGAATACTGAAGTTTGGGAATCACTACCCTAAAAGATCTGGAACTCCCATTCTGTATAATGAACTGATCTACATGAGGTCATGGATAGTCTTGCCCCATTTCCAAGATAGTGGCCTAATTTCAGGGCACTGGAGGAAAGCTTTCCAAGATAGTGGCTCATCCTATAATTCCATGATTTAATGGTCTAATGAACAAAATTCCATAATTAATTACCCTTCCCTTCGGTTTAAGGCTGTTATTCATGGGAGAGGAAACACTCGAAAGGTTTTAGTCATTTATACTTTTGTGTGAAGGAGCAAGAAAATCTCCCTTCTAGAGGAGAACATGAAAGAGTTGAAGGCTTATGTTATATAAGAAGAGGATTATTGTGAAGAGAGATGGAAGCAATAGAAAAGAATGAATGGAGCATCTAAAAATAATATTTATTCCTTTAAAATTTAGCCTAGACCTGGTCCAGAATGGCCTAGTTTAGAACCCATTTTCTGGGCAGTTTTAGAGTTCCAGGGAATTTAAAACCTTGACTTTGCTACTGAGAAACATCAGAAGACCCAGGAAAAATCAAACCAATGATTTAGACCTGGGGTTGCAAATAAATTTTATTTCCTGTGCTCAGTCAGACTGACTGGTAATAGCTACTTGGAACTCTGTCCAGGAGATTGGAGCCACATCCATAGTTACAGAGAACTGTGATTGATTAATGATGTCTGCCTTGATTGTGGGAAGGTAGGTGGTGATACATATGTTACTTATTGGTCATCTCTAGTTTAGAAAAAGTCTGTATGGGCACAGACTGAGGCAATAATGCTGACATGATACCATCAGAGTAAGTAGGACATCATACCTCTGGAGAAAGGAGGTAATCAAGAGTGCCATCCTTCATGTTATTTAATGCTTTGTTACTTGGAACAAAAATGGTGTATGGTCCACCAGCCCCATCTTCATCTAAAGCATGTCCTACATTGGTTTCCTGCATTTGAAAAATAAAATGTTATATCTACAACCTATCTCTGACAAATACTTGAAGTAATTCCTCAGCGCATATTTATAATTGACACCCTTGTTCATTATACAAAAGGTAAGACATAAAACCATTTATGAAATTCATGAAAAGTACGTACCTCTAGCAAAGATCGGAACTTGCTGTATCTTGGTTGTAGCATTGCCATTATGGTTTGCTAAAAATCATGAAAAGAAATAAGGTGGTTTAAGAAATAGACATCTTAACATTAAAAGATTTATGACAGAATTTACATGTAAATGTGGATGGAAAAGAACCCGGTCAACTGCAACACATTATAGAGATGTTTCCTATTGTTATTGAGTTAGTGGTTCAGATGTGCATGTTTGGAAATAGCCTTTGGCCACCATTGAATGAGTCAAAAGGAATACATTTTTATTGCAGTGAGGACTGCCCTCCTCCACAAAGCATGAGGGATAACTTTTCATGACAACTGGTCAACTTTTCGTGACAACAGAATTATCATATGTGACCATAAAAGAGGTCACAAAATTGAGATCTTGCCTGTCCCTATTGCATGCTTTTCTTTCTGTTGGCAGAGGTACCTATAATTCTATTGAAAACAGAAATGGTCCAATTTTGCCCATGACTGGGGTCCTAGCACACACAAAGGACAAGGTCATAGTGCTGACATACATTTTCTTCTTCAGTATGACTCTCCAGGGAACAAAGAAAGATGGATTTGTATTGACCTAACTTTTACCTGAAATATCTCACCTCAGTGTTGCTCTCAAATGTGGGTACCATCTTGTCCATGGCTCTGTCGAGGATGTGCAGGAGCCCGTTGGAAGCAACTATGTTCCCTTGTATAATTTTTGCCTTCTTTTTGCCTCCATAGAGTTTAAGCTTTATTTGATTGTCCTAAAACACCAAGAAAAAGTAAAATTAATGTGGTATCCTTGAAGGAGTACTGAATTAGAAGTCTTGAGTCCTTGTGTCCTGCCATTTATTGGTTATATGAACTTGATAAGTCACTTAACCCAAAATGGGAAAGATGGCATTTGCTTGCTTGACTCGACTAGTCTTTTGTTAAGATCGGATGAGATAATGTGTGAAATCAGTGATAACTACCAGTGATTGCTAAATGTGAAGAAAGAATCATAAGTCTCTTCCAATAGACCACAAGGTCAAAAAGGGGAAAACAATTTATTGTAAATTTAACACCTACTTTAGTGTGTTGTACAGACAAACCACACAATAAAATTTTTTTTGCTGCATAAATGACTAAAGCTAATTCCTTCTTTTATGTGGCTCTTAAAAAAGCTATAGACGATACATATGAGTGAATAAATGAAGGAATGAATGAGTGAATGAATTAATGAGTGAAAGAATGTTCTTATGAGAAAAGAAGTGAAATTTTCATCCATTTATCTAGGTATCCATGCATCCATGCATCCATGCATCCATCCATCCATCCATCTATCCTCACACACATAGTACAACACACTACTTAATGATTCAGGCCTTGGAGTCTGAATTCATTTAAATCCTGGCTCTGGCCCTTACTTATGACCTCTCAGTTTTTCCACTTGAAAAATTTCCCTTACGGGGTTGTTGCAAATCTTATATAACATAAATAAAGGTTCACCTCAGTACTTTGTATAGAGTAAGTGCTCAAAAATCTATCAGCTATTGATAGTTGGTGAAATGCAACAATATAGGCCATAACTCACACATGCACATTCTGTCTATTAATCATGCACCCTCCTGCTCAGTAAAGTCACAGAAAGAGTTATTTGTGAGAAGAGGGGAGGGTGGTTTTACTCAAACAGAACAGACCTAACAGCATTAGGAGAGATGGAATGCTAGGTTTGCAGAGGATAGATAAACACCAGCAACCTAAAGCAAACATAATCTGTTTCCTTTTGTAAGAGGGACATTGGTCTGGCTTTGTGCCTGTACCTCCAGGAAACAGGTTTACTGTAAAGCTTCTCCTTCCTTCTGGCACCTGAATGATGTTCCCTTGAAAATGAATTCAGACCAGAGCACAATCCCACACTTTGTAACCCTTTTCCCACAACAGTCCCCTCCTGCTTGATCCTTCCTGGTGTTGCTCTCTGCTTCTTCCCTCATAGGAAAGTGCTTTGACAAACAAGGGGTAAGGAAAGTTCTTCATAAACCACAAGCTCACCACAGACAGACAGGCTGTGGGCAGTGGCTCAGCAGAGGCTTTTGTTCTGGGAGTGAAAATCAGAGAGTCCCTTACCTTATCACCACTGAAGATTTCTCCCGACTTTCCAGTCAAGGTATAGAAAGTGCCTGTGTTATTCATACACTCAGTGTTCATCTGCCCAGCAATTACATGGAGTTTCACAAAGTACTGGGCCGCCTCCTTATCCATCAAGAGCTCTTTTACCTGAGGAAAGAGAGCTATTTCTTTCAGTCTTTACTGTTGTTTGGAGGAGAAAATGAGGTTGTTAGGCATGCATAGGCTAATCAAAGACATGAATGCCAGGGCTCCCTAACTTGGGCTTGGGCTCTTTCAAATATATGTGACTTTGCAGGGAGTACGATATGGAGAATGGGAGGCAGTGCTCAGTGTCCCCTCAAACCACCAGGGGTGAGGAAGGCCCAGGCACCCAGGAATCATCTTGAGCCCAGGGAGCGGATGGAAATGAAACACAAAATTGCATGAAAAAAGTGCAGACTAGACCCATGGAGCTTTTGAACAGTAAGATTAGGGTTTTTGAAATCCATCGGACCAAGTCTGTGTTTTGTCAATATTATATATCATCAGCAATCAATCAACAGATACTTTTTATTAACTGTGTAAATAAAATGTGTATGTTAAACAAGGGACCACATGCATAGTGCTTAATCCAGAGACATTCAATATGTGTGAGTTCTCCTTCCCAGAAGGAGAGATGTGAGGGTACTTCTGAGGTTAAATTGTTCATTCATCTCAGACTGTCCAATGGTGGTGGCACGTTAGGGTGAGGCATTCTGAAACTTCCTGTGTTTTTATTCTATGCAGCAAAAATTATTATCACAAAACATCTTGGATGAAGATAAACCAGTTGTATACAAATCAATATGTCCATTATCTCTATTAATCTGAATGTAACAATTTCATTGGCACCATCATGATAGGACACCGCCACCAGGCACTATGAGCTTCATTCTCACTGCATGACGTCACCTCGGACAACAGCCATTCACATGGAAGACTACAGTTTTCTCTGTTTCCTCTACCACTGTTATTTATGATGATTTTAAAGAAACAAATACGTAGCTAATACATTCGGTTAATTCTTCTTGCAGGAAGTAAGCAGTTTTGCATTATGCAAATCCTATTCTTCACATGACTATAGTTAAGATCCCTTAGTCATTGCCTTGAAGGAGTCATGATTGGAAGGGGGCATCCATGGGCCCTCTAGGAGCCATGATGGTCTTGCTGGATATACAAGTACATTCACTTTGTGACAATTCATTGAGTTGTGCATTTACAATCTGTATTCTTTCTGTAAATAGTTCCCCATTTCACTCTCTCAAAATCATCATTTTTATCATCACTATGTTTCATTTTAATAGAGGTTTCCCACTTTATTGTAAATACTTACACTGAATCCTCTTAGTCCATTGTCTGTGGGCAAGAGCACAGTGAATGGTCCAAGGTTACTTAGTGGCCAGGCATAAGCTTTGTCTTAGAATAGAAATACATAAAGAAAGAAAACACCAAATCAATCAGTGGCACATGAAGAGTAAAATCAAGCAATGGCCCTTGAGGTCCATTTAGGCCCTTTGAATCAGGAGCTTCTCTGTTCTCACTGGTGAGAGTAGCCCTTGGAAAACTGGGCAGCTCTCTAAGAAAGCAAGGCATCATGATGCCGTGGTCCCCAGTGCTTCTACATAATTGTGTGGTATGCCCTGCAGCCATAGCCTTGGCTTCAAGGAGACCCTGGGATGAGACCTTCTATGAGGGTCATGTGACAAAATCCTCAGCCAATCTCAGCAGGCCACTGTCCCTGTGCCTGACTTTCTGAGCTATTGCCATCCCAGTGAACGAAGACACAGCCCTGTTCCATCCAAGGCCAGCTCAGAAGAGCCTCATGCTTGGCTTAATATTCTGCTGTTACCATCTTGAAATGTTTAATCATTTTTGAACAAAAAGGTCTTGTCATTCCACATGGTGTCCTATAAGTTATGTAGCTGCTCCTGTTTCTATCCGCCTGGAGAAGCTGGGACAGCAGGGTGGGCTGCGGGCTTTCACACAGCAGGCAAGGGAAACCAGAACTACATAAATGGGTAGAAGGTCAATGGGACTTTGTCCAGGGGAATGTTCAAGAGCACAGTCCGCAAAGAACACTCTGTCACCCTGTCTGCTGTCACTGGATAGTCTGAGTTCTTAGAGGGAGGTTGTAACAAGCCTGAGGCGTGCCACAAATGCATGTTGCCTGTATGATGCCTTGGAAAGAAAGGGCATTTGTGCAGGATGTATGTTAAGATTTATGCAGCCAACGTGGCCTTGACCCATTCTCTATTTGTGCTCTTTCTGGGAAATCGTTTTTTGGTGATTGGAAAATTCTAGATATTGCTATTTTAAAACTTCTGTTGATTGGTCAAGTCTGTGTCTTATTTTCTGTTGATTGGCCAAATTTGTGTTTTATTGAAAGACTTGTCCAGTGTTGCCATCAGTTGTAATATTTCATTCTCAAGGGGGTGACAGGTAATGACCCTTGGAGGGCATTTGGAAATGATGAGGGCATTTTAGATTGTCACTCTGCCTGTGGGGCTGGGAGAGGACATGCCAGTACAGACAATTAGTTGTTGGGGGTGAGGGGAGGGCAAAAATGCTAAATACCCAGCAATGTGTGAGATGATCACACCAACCAAAACTATTCTCAAAATTCAAATGGCTCCCATTGCCAAAAAATGGATACAGCCTCAGGCTTTAGTCACTCTCTATTCCCAGTATTATCTGCCAACCTTGCTTCACACCTGGAGAACCCAAAAGGTCAAGGAAAAGAGGAGAGTCCTCCGTCCTCACATCTGCCTCATCTCATTGTTTTTGCGGACCAGTTAATCTATAGTGACCCCAGGACCCTGTCCTCAGCATTCTGCCTACTAACTGCTGCATAACAGGATCTCTTAGCACTAACTCCTTGTCTCCTTGAAAAAGCTGCCTGCCCTTTCTCTTTCCCCTGAAAGATGCCTCTCTAGGAGGGCCAATTCCAATAGATACACCTTGCCTCTCCTGCCCACCCCTTTCTGAATGATTGTGTCTCGGTGATAACTTGCCTGAAAGAAGGTTGCCCTTTACATGGAAATCTGTACCCATAGCTGCGTACCCAGGAGCGAGATGAAAGAGGTCAGCCTTCCTTGCCATTTTCCTCTGGGTTCAGTGTTTAATTCTCTGAGTCGCTCCATGATGTTTCCATAACATGTTGAGCCGTCACCCACATAACCTTTCTGGCAAGTGCATCTATAGGGAGGGTGAAAACACACTCTCAGGGTCTTAGAGTATTGAGATCCTACAGTCCAACTCCCTCATTTTGCAGATGGGGAAAATGGAGCCCAGAAGAAGAGGGTCAAGACCAGGAGAGGAGAGGCATAAATAGAGGTGAAAATTCCTGTGGCAATACCTGACAGATAGTAGGTCCATGAGAAATGGATATTTAAGAAATTTTGCATATCTATAAACACTGGGTATTCTTGTACATTCTCTGTCTCAGTATTTTTCAAAGTACAGTCAAGAGACTATGTACACCAGGGGCGCCTGGGTGGCGCAGTCAGTTGAAGGTCTGACTTCAGCTCAGGTCATGATCTCATGGCTTGTGGGTTCGAGCCCCATGTCGGGCTCTGAGCTGACAGTGCAGAGCCTGGAGCCTGCTTTGGATTCTCTGTCTCCTTCTCTCTCTGCCCCTTCCCTGCTCATAATCTCTCTCTCTCAAAATAAATTAAAAAAACATTAAAAAAATCTAAAAAAGAGACTATGTACATCAGCATCACTTGTAGTGCTTATTGTAAATGCAGATTCTAGGGCCCCACTACAGAACCACTGAGTCAGAATAAGCTACTGAAGCTAGCCTCAAGTAAAGATTTAGAGCTATTGATCTGTTTAGTAGACTTCCCCTTACCCTGTCTTCCTAGTTGAGACATCTGCTCAAATGACCCTTCCTTACTGGAAACTTCGGCTATTGCCCACCTCTCTCCACACTCCCCACAGTAGACCAGGACTCCCCTTAGTGTGTGCTCTCACAGTGCCATATAGCTCTTCTCTGTAGCAGCAATCCCAGCTGTAATTTTACCCTAACCTGTGTGGTTATTTGATTCATATCTGCTTCTGCATCTAAATTGAGAACAGGGAAAAGGCAAGGGTTGTCTGCATATTTATGCCCCATTTTAACATCAGGGTCTAGTGCAGCATTTGGTTGAGAGTAGGTACATAATTAACAGTTGAACAATAAGTAGCGATTGAATTCCAATAAGTATATAAACAACGAAGTTTACAGAAATTGTATACAATAGTTTCATAAAAGATGAATATAGTTAAGGACGAAGTTTAAAGGCACACTGGCAGTATTGTGCTAGTAAATATTTAAGCCAACTCTCAGCGGGAATTGGGGCAGGGCCCCTGCTTTTCAGGATTTGCCAATTTCCATGGGTCCTACTCACCATGGCCAGTCTCAATCTACCAGTGTGATGTCAAACAGCTTGCAAAATCCTGAAAATTCAACCATCGGCTTTCATGACTCAGTAAACCCTGGCTCTGGCACACCCCTGTTACCTAGCAAAGATTAGTTGACAGCTGGCTAAATCTGGCAAGGTGCTTAGGAAGGCAACGTTCAACAGGATCCTGGGATAAGTGAAGAACCAAACACAAGGTCGGGGAGCGGCACTGCAGAGATGAGAGATGCAGGCAGGCTGCGGTCGTCCATACCACAGACATGACTCATGAAGAGGAGAGGCTTCCAAAAGACAGTTAGACATTTAAGTCCAGTTGTGTTTCCAAATATGGTCCCATGGCAAATAGGCATATTTTCAACAGGTTTGCGGAACAAACATTTCAGAGTTTTATTATCCCTGTTTGGATTGCTGTGGTGACTTCCCAGCTGGTCTTTTTGTTCTTAATTTCCCTCTGCTCAAATCAACCAACGTTTTGACTGGTCTCTCCAAAAGGGAAATCTGGAAAACCTTCATGCTTAAAACTCTCATGGACTCCATTTATCTAGAGAAGAAGGTCTAAGTGCTTAGCATGGTATGCAAGACCCCAAAGGAGGAACTTGCTTATGCCTCCTCCCTGTTGCGCATTGCAAATTGGCTTCTTTTAAAGACTGTGATGTCCTTCTCAGGCCATGTGCCTTGCTAAGAATACTCTCCCAGCCTCACCTCGTGGCTCAGGTGTGACCTGCTCTGAGGAGACTTACCTGGCCTCCTGACTCTCCCTGACAGGAGCAGTCTGTTGGTTCCTCCTGTATCACAACACTCCCCACCAAAATGAGCTCCTGAGATATTGTTTCCTCTGCTGGATGGGAAGCTCTCCTGGAATCTGCATCCCACTCATTCCTCATTATATTCTTAGCACTTGGGACAATGCCTAATTGTTGTACTGATAATTTACCAAGTACCTACTTAATTCTAGGAACCTTCCTGGGAAGGAGGGCTACAAAGATGATAACAACAGATAGCTTGTCCTTTTAGCATCTCAGTCCTGAAAATGGGTCTGAAAACAATTTTTAGCAACATGATAAAGCCACTTAACCTCTTAGAGCGTCAGCCTTCTCGTATATGAAATGGGTTTAGTAATCCTTTAGAATCGTTGATGGAAGAGAAGATGCATGAAGAACAGCTAACACAGTGACAGACACATAGGAAAAGCCCAGTACTTGATAGATGATGATGATGATGGTGGTGATGATGATGATGATGATGATGGTGGTGGTGATGATGATGGCAATGATGGTGATAGAGATGGTGTCAATAACACCACCAGTCCTGTTAGGGAGCCAGGGATATAACAGGATAAATCCATAAACACACAGCTTACATTCTGGAGAAATGCCACCATAGAAGACTGAATAGGATGCTATGGGGCATGGAGGAGCAAGTAACTAATTGTGCCTGGAGAAATATGGGACAGGTTCTAGGAGAAAGAAGCACTTAAGATAATTCTAGAATACATCTGAGTTTCCTGGTTGCATGAAAGATTGGTAGATATTTACTGACTGAGCCTTTGGGATTTTTACAGAGCAGTGATTTTGATGCTCCCCCCAACTCCTGGCCCCAACCCTGAGGACATTTGGGAATGTCTGCGGATATTTTGAGTTGTCACAACTAGGTGAAGGTGTTGCTGGCTTCTAGTGGGTAGAGGCCAGGGATGCTGCTAAACACCTTGCAACACACAGGACAGCCCCTACAACGAAGTGTTCTCCAGCCCTCAAATATCAATAGTGCTGAGCTTGAGGAGTCACTAAGGTTATAAGGAATCACTAAGGTAGATTCAACCATGAAACAATAGCCTACTTAATATAGTCAAATAAAAATTTCCTACTCAAGCATCCACTTCCTCAGAAGTACTGTGCTACAAGACCGTGAATTTGAGAAGTACATGAGGAGATTGGTAACTCTTAGGAGTGATACAATAGTCCTTGTTTGAAATATAAATTTCATTTGAAGGCAGCTGATAATAGCAAGACAATGAACTTTTATAAACTGCTAAGTATGTTTCTCTCTAAAAGTTCTCTAAGTTGTTATGAAGCCAATGGTCTGTTTTGTGTAAAGTGACTTGACTTGTCTTGCCTAAGGATGGCAGGAGAATCATATTTTAATGGTCACAGTGCTGAATGGAATGCATGAGATATAAATACTTTTTATTATTGTTTAAAATCTTGGTCCAGAGTCTGAGATTTCATGAGATGGTTTTCTGCCTTAAATGCTCTCAGTTGGCCATGGCACATTCACATTAGGGGCCTCTTTTGTACATTGCTTCTTTATTAGGAGTAAAGGTCTCTTGCTGTCTTACGACTCTAAAAACACCCATAAGACATTGGCATTTTATATGTTATGGGATGGAATTAATTACAAAGAGTGCTGGATGAGATTTAGTGAAATTATAGGGTGTCCCAAAAGGCTTCCTTTCTTCACTTCTTCATTTCATTTTTTCATTGATTCATTTGTTCCCCCAAACTATCACTCATGTCATTGTTTTAATCGGTGATAAGAGTTGTTGCAATATAGATGAATAAGACATGGATTCTCAAGGACCTTACATTCTAACTGGAATTGAGATCAGTAATACTAACAGCTAACATCTATTGATAGCTGCTTTTCCAGTTACCTTTATAGGGACTTTACTATGGTATCTTATTTAATACGACCATCCTCTGAGGTGGATTCTGTTACTAGCCCCATTTTAGATGAGGGAACAGAAAGACAGGGATGTTAAGTATCTCACTCAAGATCACACAGCCTGTAGGTGGCAGTGTTTGTGCACATCACTACTGTGCTCTGTACTTATCACGGTTCAGGGTGATCAATGTTAGAACAGAAGCATTCCGGGCTGCTCCGGGAGCCCAGGAGGAGCTGAGTGGACTGAGAGTCCAGGGGAGACATCCTAGATGTGGAGACAGTTGAGCTGAATAGTGAAGGATCAATACGTTAACTGACCCAGAGGAGGTGCAGAGGGAAACATGTCTGAGCAGGGGGAAAAGCATCTGCAAGTGTCTGAAGCTGGGGATATCCTGGCTTGTTTAAAGAGTAGCAGTCAGGGGGCACCTGGGTGGCTCAGTCAGTTAAGCATCCAACTTCTGCTCAGGTCGTAATCTGATGGCTTGAGTTCGAGCCCCGCATTAGGCTATCTGCTGTCAGCACAGAGCCTGCTTTGATTTGGATCTTCTGTCCCTCTCTTTCTCTGCCCCTCCCCCACCTGCACTGTCTCTCTCAAAAATAAATAAACATCACAAAAGGCAACGGTAGTTGGGTGGGACTAGAGCCAAGGGGGTGTTCATGGAAGTGGTGGAAACAATGTACCTTCCATAAACAATCACCCCTTGGCCATACCCTGGGGAGAATGCTACCCGGAAGAGCTCGCGCAGGTCCCAGAGGCTGGTTTGGAGGCATTTAGGCAGAGAATTATGGGGTTCTGGATACCCGAGCATGGTCTATAATGGGGGAGGGGGACTCAGGCTCTGGGAGAGCAGGTCCTCATCGTCCTTGAGACCCCTTGGCCTGGTGTAGCTGGTGGACGACCAGAACAGAACCCTCTGAAATGTAGTGCCCAGGGCAGGGCAGGGAGATATTTGTTCTTCTTAGTAATAATCAACATGGAGCTTAAACTTTAAAAGGATGCTTATATGCATCAACTCCGCTCTTTCCGGGGAGATATTCTTGTTCTCTAGTGGACTTGTCAAGGGAAGAAACTGTAGTTCAGAAAAGCTACATGGCCTGTCCAAGGTCATTCCAGTGGTGAATGAGAGAGCCCATGTTTGAGAGCCATTCTTCTTTATTGGGTGGACTTCTGTGACTAACACAGTAGGCTTTTGAATATTCTGCACAAACTCTGTGTCATACTGGGAGGGAGGCATAAACAAAATGAATCTTTGTCCATGGGAAACTAAATTGCCTGGACTGAATTAGTGATGGCCCCTTATTTTATCAATGTAACATCTCCAGCCTTTAATTCAGTCCTCTTTCCAGCCTTTCCAGACAGTCCATTTTTTGGTGGAGGGGGTGATCAAGGAGGTTTGTGAGTGACACACTTACTACTAAAATTCATGCACAGCCCCAGTGACATGATAAACACAAGCTTTAGTGTCGCTTACATTATTCTGATGTTCCTTCCTGTTCCATTTTTTATTTTATCTTCTCAAACACAAAGGAGAGAAAGCATTGAAAGTATTGTCCTCAGACTTGCTGAGATGGTGGTAAAAGGTGTGTACAAGGTACACACATAAGTGTTGGGTGCACATGTGTCTACATGCATGACTGGCATGTTGCTGTGTGTGGAGTGATTTCTACATGCCATGTTCTGCTCAGAGATTGATGAATATATTCTCATTTAATCCTGCTCACAGGCTTGGTAGGAGGTACAATTCTCCTCCTTTTATGACAGAGGAAACATAATTCAGAGAGGTTAAGGCAAATGGCAGAGCTGGGACTTGAACCCAAGTGTTCTGATATCCGGGCTCTCTTGACTTTACCCATAGCGAGTACAGACTTACCTGTCCAGATAAAACGTGAGAATCGTAAAACCTATTTGGGCAGATCCACACATTTGAGATCCAACTATAAAAAAATAAGCCTCAGGGCCCCCCGGGTGGCTCAGTCGGTTAAGTGTCCGACTTCGGCTCAGGTCGTGATCTCACGATTCGTGGGTTCGAGCCCCGCGTCCGGCTCTGTGCTGACAGCCAGCTCAGAGCCTGGAGGCTGTTTCCAAGTCTGTGTCTTCCCCTCTCTCTGACCCTCCCCTGTTCACGCTGTCTCTATCTCAGGAATAAATAAAAAACATTAAAAAAAAATAAGCCTCAAAGAAGACAGAAAGGGGCTCTGGAAGCACGGAAACTGCTTAGTAATTATGTGGTTCGGGGTCTACTATGGTTTTGAGCTCACAGTGACAGTGTGTGCTTCTCCAATGACGATAACAATGAGAACAGAAGGTAGAAGCCTCAGCCTGGGAGTCAAAAGACTGGGATTATAGCCTCAGTTCACCCACTAATAAAAACATAATACAGCTGTATAGTAGTTTCTAGAACATTCTTTTACATAATGTTAACAGCACTGTGAAGTAGACATTGCTGTGCTCATTTTATACACGGAGAAACAAAGACCAGAGAGATGATGCCACTTTCCCAAGTTCATTCCCCTGGAAGATACCAGTGCTGAGACTCAAAGCCAGCTCTTTTCTTTCCAAATACCATCTTCTTAACACCATGCAAACCACCTTTGCCTCAGGAATTTTTACACAAAAATGTTTACTCTCAGTAAGTCCCTTCTTGTAAAACCTGGAGTCCAGGAAACATCCTCGTGTTTATTCACCTTTCCCTGTCTTGTTTGGCACCACTAGCAAGCAGTATTTCATGAGTGAGGAAACAGGCATATACATTAGAGGTCAAATGCCTGTCATCACAGCAGATGTTTGTTTTCCCAGCAACGGTGGTTTCCTTCTCCCACACTCTGACCACTTACTACCGAGTTACCCGGCCAGGTCAATATTTCAGCATGTTCTGATAGCCATTATAAAGGAAACAATTGTTGAATGATTCAGTGAGTAAAGAAAGATTTATTGAGCACCTACAATGCTTCTTGCATCGTGCTCTGTGGGGGTGAGGGTGGATACGAGACTAAGACACATTTCCTGCCCTTCAAGGAACACACAGCATTGACTGGCCAGCACTTGGGAAGATGATGGTAGAACTGAGCAGACTTACTTGGATTGGCCTGGTGCGATGGTAGTGCAGTTAGCATTCCTATGACAGGGGTTATTGAGGGTACAGACATCGATCACACTGCACCCCACTCCGGACACATAATTGTGGTAATGTTCCTTACACTCACAGTGAGACTTCAGAAGACAGGGAGAGAAAAACAGAGGGCTCTTGTTAGTCACAGAAGCTGACATCCTTCTTCAGCCCATCTGTATTCTGCCATAAAAACTAACCTGGGCAGGTCCAAAGCATGGGCTTAAGAATGTGTCAAAGTATTCAGAACTGGGGATCATGTTTACATACCTCACCTGTTGGGATACATGTAATTACACCTTGTTTGTAAATTTTACCTTTTCTATTTCCTTATTTCCTAACCCTGGGCCTTTCTGGCTCTATAATTCCTGGTTTTAGATTGTCTACAGGCGAGTAAAGACTAAAGTTCGGATGGGAGATATTATTGCTTTAGAAGAGTGATTTTCAGTCGGGAGTCTCAACTTAAGGTATATTGGGCAAGTCTGGAGATATTTTGGTTGTCACAAGAGGAGAGGGGGCAGTGTCACTGGAGGCCAGGGATGCGTCTAAACATCTTACTATGTACAGGACAGCCCCGCCCCCCAAAGAATCCAAAATGCTAATAACGCCAAAATTGAGGAACCTTGCTCTGGAATAATGGAAATAATGAATGCTCTGTTTCTGTGTGGACATGGAGGGGGGTTTCTAAGACCTGAAAATCTGCCTTGGGACCCAGTTTGTGGAGACAAAGTTTATTTTTAATCTCACTCCCAAGATCCTGGGACTTTGGCTCAGAGTGTAATGTGACTTTTCCCATAAGGGCCCTCATTTTGAGGATGGAGGATGGGCTCCTTGAATTTCTTTACAAATCTGTCTCAGGCATTGATAGCAGAAATGGCATGTGATATACATTTTTTTTTTCCCCTAGAAGATGAAGTTGGGTGTGTTCTCTGCAGGAACCTCCAGGAGCATTGCCATGAGGTGATTGGATTGCTAGGGACCCATGACTCTCTTTGGGTCAGACGCTGAAGCCTTTCTTCCTACCAGGGCAGCAGTATCCTTCAGTATGGATAGATTTCCTCCACTAAACTTGATGTGCAGTTATGGACTCAGGGGGCACCCACTAAATAGTTGATAGATGGACAAGGTATTAGTGAAAAGGCTCTTTCAACAGGACTCTTCAGCAAAGATCTCTGGACCTGGCTGGTTTCTAGCAGTCAAGGTCATAATGTGATTTAGAGGGGCAAGGTCTCACCCCACCACATCCTCAGTGCTCCCTACTATCTTTCAGTGTTTCCTGAAATTTTGTCAGTGCGCATCTCTTTGGGGCACAGTATTTTGGTTCTAATAGTCCTCTCTTGCCTCGAAAAGATAAGAGAGAGAACGGAGGATTGCAGGTGAAAGTCAATGACATATTCATTCACGACTTGGTTAACAGTTAATTTGTTAATCTAATTTGAGTTGTGTATGTATTTTGTCTACCACCGTCTAGGACTGGACATAAGAGAGCATAGACAGGTAAATTCTCACTGGGGAGCTTGGAAAGTGTGAGTTCAGAGGATAAACCAGAGAGGGGACACACTGAGGTTAGTCCTGAGCACATGGAGGTCTACCTGGAGAGGAAGCCCAAACTGAGCATCAAAATGGCGAACTGGGCAAACCTGGCAGACAAAGGATACCGATGGCACAGTTTTACTTTTGGTGGGCTGTCCGACTTCTAGACACCCCAGTTCCATGCGTCATGCACTCACCTGTCCAGGCCCATCATATATGCACACTGTAGACTTTGTAGGACAGCTTCCATAGTTAGTCTGGCAGGGGTCTACTGGTAAGCACACTTGGCCATCCCCATGGTAGCCTTCGTGGCACGTGCAATTGTGCTGATTTGGTCCCAGGTACGTACAAAGAGCGTGAGGATGGCATATTTCTTTTAAACATGGATTGATGGCTTGAGACGCAATGACAGGATAAGAGTTCATCAAAGTTGCATAGGCAATTCGATAGTTTTAAGAGAGAGAGTGAGAAACAGTTCATCTTACCCCACCTGATGCCTCCCACCTGTTGAACAGATTTATATATGATTGTCAGAGATTATAACTACAAATATTGCATTGATATATTACTATACCATGTTATATGTGGGTTTAAATATAAAATAGCATGAAAGAAAGCACTAATGCTTGTAGTATTTATATGTACTGGCCCCGTCTGAGCATTTGCCATACATTAACTCAGTTAATTCTTGTGACCTCTCTCTAAGAGAGGAGCCATTATTATCCTCATTTGATAGATAGGAAAATGGAGGTACAGGCAGGTTAAAGAATTTGTCCAAAGTCATGTAGTTCATAATAAGCAGATCTGGGATTTGAATGCTGGCAGCCTGGCTTGAGAGTTCATGTTCAATACATAACACAACCTCTCACGAAGTGAATGAGCATGAAAAGAAAAAGAAAGAAAGGGAGAAAGGCAGGCAGGCAGGAAGAATGAAGGAAGGATAAAGAAAGACAGACTGTATTTTATCCTAATGTTGATATGGTTGATATAAAACTCTGTGTAAGAACTTATTTATGTGCTTCAATAATAGAAGGAGAAATTGCCACTTATTGAAAAGCTACCACAGATGAACATTTGCTCAGCACTTGTTATATATTTCATTTAACTTAACACAGAGAGAAACAGAAGTGTCATTGTGTTAATATTAGAGAGGTTGTGGAGTTTTATTTTTTTCTGTTGAGTAACCTAAACATCTCAATGAATGATTAGCAGGATCTGAATCTTACTCACGTTCACAGTATTGGCCATCACCTTGGTAATTGGGAAGACACTTGCATACTAGTTTTGTTTCATCTTGGCTGGACGGCGAGCATCTGGAATTTTCTGGGCAGAGCAAGTCTGCACATTCAGGGATGGCTGCAAAGGAAGGTTGTTGAGGTACCTGCATTAGAATAACTGATTCTGAAAAACTCAACCAATGTATTGTTCTTTGTGATTACAAAGAGCAATTAATAAAGACTAACTGCAACCATTCAAAAAATCCCAGAATGTAGAAAGTAAAAATTAACTCTTTTCTTATTCTCATTTTTCCATTTCACTCCCAAAGTAAACAATATCAACAGCCCATGTACTACATTCACTTGTAAATTTATTTAGTTGATTTTTTCAACAAAATGGAATCCTGTGAAGATATTTAGCAACTTAATTTTTAATTTAACAATATATTATGGAGGTATTTAAGGATCTACTTTAATCTCTAGTAACTGTGGAATACTTCATGATATACGGGGCACAAATGGTTGTCAAAAACTGTAAAGAATCTGACATATTATCCAATGTGCAAAGCTAAGAAATTGAGCTAATACAGTTCCATGGATGCTAGTAGAAGTTATGAGATTCCTGGGTTAGAGATGAAGGACAGTTTACTACTCACATCAAGAGTGGTAGCCAGAGTGTTGGCATTTTTGCATTAGTTCTTCCAAGCTCTGAGTCCTCTGGGACAATGCAGAGAGGGGCATGAATTTCATTACAGGGGAGGAGTCCCAATCTTAGGAAACCTAAGTTTTGTTTTGTTTTTTAAATAATAAGCAATGTATAAGTTAGGGCCCAGGCAGGAGACAGAAACCACACAATTATTTGAACAGGGAATGTTTTAGTGTAAAGAATTATCAATGGAAAATTGGAATAATGGTGAATTGGTTCATGAGTGTTAAAAGGAATTCTAAAGAATGAAGGAATAGCAGATATATAAAGAGCAACCTGTTCCCTAAGGTTGAGATAAATACCCAAGGGAGAGCCCTCTTCTGTCCAGGACTGAGATCCAGATGTCACTGGAAAGGGTATGTCTTGGTCACTAAATAGTAGAAACGGTCCTGAGGTGCCTTAATGATGAGACTTGCTGGAAATCTTCCCTGTAGGGCTCCAGGGAAGGTCATCCACAAAGAGGTGCGAAGCTGCAGAGTTCACTTAGTGCCTGGGGAAGCTGCTTGCCACTGGGTTCGACCAGAACCAGAAACTAAGAAGATACCCCCTTGGAAGTGTAGTATACTTCTGCATGTGGCTGGGGCCAGAGCATCTCCAGATTGCCAACCCTGCAGAGACCTTGGTGTGCCCGGCATTGAGGAGAAGGCATACCAAACAGCAAGCATATCTCTGTGCTGTCTGGGGCCCCTGGCTCTACTACTGCTGCCTCAGTCAAGCACTAGACAAAGTATGCAGTGGTCAAACACTGGAGGAAGCTGAGCCCTGCAGGAATCTAGCACTGGATAAACCGTTTAGGGCTGAGCAGTGGAGAAAACCCATGTTCTTTAGGGGCTCTGGTGAGTGAGCTAAACCAGAAACAGGAGAAAGCTCTTCCTTCTTCAGTGTCCCTCTAAAACTCTCTATTGATAAGACCTCATGTCTTGCTAGCTGGCAAATGAGAAATATTTACAAGTTCCGCTTCATTATCAAAGAGCAGACAAAAAGGACAAATTTTGAGCTCAAAGGCAATCCATTGATAACTAGAACAGGCAGTGAGCCTGCCTCTACTTCGTTCCCGAGAGAGATCCTACATCTTCCAAAGCATTTGTGATACAAACATCCTTGGAAAGATATTGGAGCAAAGAGCAGTCAGTGTGCTGCACTCAAGAGGCATACAAATATGAGACACCCACTAGGATTGTCCCCAACAGTGGCTAGTTGAACGAAACATTCCTAGAGAATATTCCCCCAACTCTTTCCATAGAGGAGAATTTTTGCCAGGAAGTGGTTGCACTTTCAAGGATTACATTTTCAACCCCTCTTTGCATCTAGGTGGGGTCATGTGACTACTTTCTATCGATGGAATATTGAGAAGAATTTGTATGTATCATTCTGGACTCTGAGGTGCTACAGAATGGCAGAGGCACAAAATAGAAAGATCTGGAACCGTAATCACCATGTGGTGGGAAGCTGGTGTCAGTCAGGAACACCCACCCTGCACTGTACCTGAGTAGGAAACACACCTCTGCTGTGTTAAGCCAGAGGTTCCCTAAATTCTCAGGTCATGGTGTTTAGTATCTTAATTTTTTTCATGGTGATTCTGTCCAAAAGAAATACCTAACAGTCTCGTTTATTAAGTTGTTAGAACCAAGGAATTCAGTAAGGGTGTCATGAGACCTTAGTAGTAGCCATTTGAAAAAGTAATGTGGTTAATATAAAGAGAAAGATTTTTATTTCATTCTTAAATACCCACATTTACTTGTGAATAGAATGTGTGAGCTTTAAAAAAATTCTTGTTTATTTATTTTGAGAGACAGAGAGCACATGCATGAGTGGTTCACATCCCATGACCCGTGAGGTCATGACCTGAGCCAAAATCAAGTGTCGGACGCTCAACCGACTGAACCACCCAGGTGCCCCTGGAATGTATGAGCTTTTTGAACACTGCCCAACTTCTTAAACCTTGGAATCAGGTTGGAAACTATCACGCTTATTCCATTAGAAAGGATTGTTGCATGATACTTGCTTTTCACCTTAGCAACCACTGAAAACACAGCTTTATAAAGATACGATATTATTGAAAGAGATGTAGTGCTACCTAATGTTGAAATTGTGAACTAACTCAAGCTAGCAATTTGTACAGTATTCTGCAGATGCATCACTGTCTCCCTCAAAAGTTTAAAATATCCCAGGGGTGCCTGGGTGGCTTGTTGGTTAAGCATTCAACTTCAGCTCAGGTCATGATCTCACAGTTTGTGAGTTTGAGCCCTGCATCAAACTCTGCGTTGACAGCTCAGAGCCTGGAGCCTGCTTTGGATTCTGTGTCTCCCTCTCTTTCTCTGCCCCTTCCCTGCTTGTGTTATTGCTCTGTCTCAGAAATAGATATTTTAAACTTTAAAAAAAAATTTAAGCTTATTTATCTATAAAAATTAAAATAAGCTTAAAAAATTTTTTTAAAGTTCAAATATCTCCATAACAGCCTTGTGAGTTTTATGTGGTAACTTGGGGTGCCTTGGTATAGTTTTGAAACGTTTGCATTAAGCCAGTGGATTTTTGTGTATGTCTCTTAAAGCAGCTAGCATTATCCTAACTGGTATAGGGTATACCACAATTCACTCAACCATTTCCTACTGATGAACCTTCAAGTTGTTTCCAGAAAATACTATTATGAATTTCTTTGTATATATATTTTTACCTACTGGTGCTTGTCACTCTCTTTTTCCAGGTAAATTCCTAGAACTGGGGCTATAGCAGCAAAATGTAAGCTTATTTTAAACTTTAATAAATAAATTTCCCTCAGGTTGTAGCAATTCATCTCTCTGTTGACAGTACTATGATTTTTCTCATACACACAGATAGGTATTATCTATCTTTGCAATCTATGTAACATAGTGAGCAAAAAAAACCAAAACCAAACCAAAACCTCCAAACCTCTAAAATACCATTTCATTATTATTTTAAATAAACCTGTGATTCATTTGCATTTCTGCATGGGGTTAAGCACTTTTTCTGTGCTTGTTGGCTGGTTTTTATTTCTCTTCCTATAGACTAGCTGCTTTTTGGAAAATTTTAAAATTGGGCCTGTGGGTTTTATATTATTATAGAAACTTTTCTGCTATGTAGGTTGCAAATATTTTTTTTAACGTTTTTTAAATTTATTTCTAGTAGAGAGAGAGAGAGACAGCGTGAGCAGGGAAGGGTCAGAGAGAGAGGGAGACACAGAATCCAAAGCAGGCTCCGGGCTCTGAGCTGGCAGTCAGCACAGAGCCCGACGCGGGGCTCGAACCCACGAACCGCGAGATCATGACCTAAGCGAAAGTCGGATGCTTAACCGACTAAGCCACCCAGGGGCCCCAGGTTGCAAATATTTTGTGCCAGTCTATTGTTTATCTTTTGGCTTGACAGAATTATTTTGTCATTTGGAGGCAAATCTGTCTGTGTTCTCCATGAGGCTGGCTTCTTGGATGGGTCTGCTGTCTTATTAAAAAGATCTTTGCTCAGGGTGCCTGGGTGATTCAGTTGGTTAAGCTTCTGACTTTACTTCAGGACATGATTGCACGGCTTGTGAGTTTGAGCCCCACATCTAGTTCTGTGCTAACAGAGCTTGGAGACTGCTTCAGGTTCTGTGTCTCCCTCTCTCTCTGCCCCTCCTCTGCTCATGCTCTCTCTCTCTTTCTCAAAAATAAATAAAACATTAAAAAAAAGATCTTTGCTCCTGAGTCCACTGGGCATAGACTCCTGGCCTATAGAAGGAGATATCCTATCCACCTGAATTTCATGCTGCTGTTGATTTGAACTTGTCATTTGTGTGTCTGTCTCCTCCACATGAAAAAGGCTTTGTCTTATTCATCCTCTTTACTGTTCATAGCATCTCAGTTATTTTCAATAAAATGAGTTTTGAATTTGTTGAATTCGAATCTTATCTAATCCCTTCACTTTGTAGATTAGAAGAATAAAACCCAGAGGATAAGTTAAGTGAGGCTAGTGTCAAAAGAAGAATGTCTAATTTCTTAATGGATAAACTCCAAATTCACCCTTCATTACCCGCTCTTTGATTCCGGACATTTCTCCTTTACAGTGATTATGTTAAGTTTGGCCAGTAGGGCGCACTGGAGGGCCATTGTAGGAGAAAGAGTTCCTCCTGTTGCTTCCTGTGTGCAGTGTTGTGTTTCTGCTGTGTTGGTGTATTGCTGCTGCACAGTCTGTTGGTGGTGCAAATGTGTGAGGACATTCAGTGATGCTCTGCCCAGCCATGCACTCAGAGTACGCACTCTATGGTGGCCTTGCATGGTCAACCTGGACCCAATGACCATCTTCTTCCAGCTCTCTCCACACACAGACACTGCCCACTCCAAGTTTGGCACCTACCTCGCCACAACTCCCTCTGTGTGCTTGCCCACCAGCCTTGCCTCATCAGTGCCCTGGGGGATGTTTCCTGAGTGCCTAATGACGGGGTCCCGTGCCAGCTTGGACAAACCAGCAAACCTCTTCTCCACCCAGTGGGCTGCCACCATACCTTCTCCAAAAGGATTTGAACTCAGCCTTGGGATGGCCATCCCCTTCCAAGCTTGTCCTTCTCTATTATGCTCAGCTACCCTAGAGTTCACTTTGCGTTTTTATAGCCACTTTCCTGTGATAGCTTGCTAATTCTTTATATTAAACTTCCCTTGTTTCGATCATCCTGTGGTTTCTACCTCTTGCTTGAACCCAGTGTAATAGAGCATTCAAAGAATTTCAAATGATCTGAATTCCAGCTCTTCTATTTAGTAGTTTTGTGACTTCTAGTGAATCACTTAACCTTAGTGGGCCTCCGTTTCCTGTGGATGTGTTCTGTCCTTGAGACCTGCAACTGAGAACACGCCTTACCTCCCTTACTGGGCGGTGGACTTATTGCAATGACCTCAGCTGGTCTTCCAACCCTCTCTGTTCTATCCTTTGCACTGCCACCAGCTTGACCTTCCTAAAACACAGCTATGTCAGTACATCGCTCCCAAATCTTCCCTGAGTTCCACTCTTCTAGACGATCTCTTCCCTCCCCTCCTCTCCTCTTCCCTCCTCACTCCTCACTTTCCCCTCCCATCCTCTCTTTTTCTTCTTTTCCCTGTCTTTTTAATTTTTGGTGTTCTCCCAGGAAAATATTTGATGGCACGCTGCTCACGTAGAGCCCCAGGATGTGCCTATGGGAATACAAAGCTGAAGCACATATGCCTGTGCCTATCTGACCCAGTGTGGCATCAAGGAGAGCAGCCGTACTTACGCTTGTCACAGTTTGGGCCAGTGTACCCGGAGTAGCACTCACAGCTTCCGTCACCATCTATCCCACTGTTGCACATGCCGTGCACACAGCTGCACACTGCAGACAGAACATGTGTTGTTCATTATTCAATGTAGACCTCTTCTGAAGATTTTGGGGGAGTAATGCTTTGAGATCGCTTTTATTGAGAAGCCGCATGACGAGAGGGGAAGAACCATGGGTTTGGAGTCCTAGAGACCTGGTTTAGATCTTGGCTTTATTTTCATTTTATTAGCTTCAGAGCTAACATACCATGAGCTAATATAACATATAACATGAGGGCAGTAATCCCTACCTCATATGATTTCTCCAGCTGGACGAGATAATGTATTGGTCCATTAGAGCACACTGGAATGCCTTTTCTCTACTTTTAAACTAGTTACTTCATATTTGAACACCTCAAGAAGAGAATTCACTTAATGTTTTTTTATACACCTGTCACGTGTAACAGAGAGAAGCTACCACTGACTCAATCACTGTTGTTGGTGGGGATCTACTCTCTACCGGAATAAATCCTACTTCCTGAATGATGGGGAAATTCAAACATAAAAAAGGAAACTTGAAAGGGCAGAGAGTAACTATGCCATGATTTCTGGCTTGAAATAGCTGGCTTTTCAGCCCACTGACAGATAGTTTCAGGAATGACAAATGAAGGGCAATTCTTTTGCACTCAGTTTGCAGCTCATTTGTAGCAAGATTTTGTTTTTAAATGTTTTATTTATTTCTGGGAGAGAGACAGCATGAGCAGGGGAGGGTCAGAGAGAGAGGGAGTCACAGACTGAAACAGGCTCCAGGCTCTGAGCTGGCAGTCAGCACAGAGCCCGACGTGGGGCTCAAACCCATGAACTGCGAGATCATGACCTAAGCGAAAGTTGTACACTTAACCGACTAAGACACCCAGGCGACCCAGTAGCAAGGTTTACTATCTGGCTGAGTCCACAGCATCCTGGGCCCAGCCCTTGGTACAACATATAGTATTGGTTTCCTTTTGCTGCTGGAACAAATTACCACAACTTAATTGTGACTTAAAACAACACAAATTTATTATCTTAATTAAATTAATTAATTAATTCTTAATTCTCCTTTGCCATGTAACCTAACACATTTACAAGTTCCAGGAATCAGGATACAGACTTCTTTGGGGGGCCATTCTTCTGCCTACTACACATGTATTCATTGCGTGCCAGCCAATTTAATATTAATGCAAATGAAACATAATTAAGAAGATCCACCTGCTTAAAAACCTAACCAAATACTGGAAAAGCAAGGATTAATAAAGTATTCTAAATAGCTAATAAAAAAAATCCTTTAATTCTTTCTTATTGTCCCCCTCAATCTCCTGCTTTTTATATCCATCAGAACGGTTCTCCTTCAGGTGCCTGGACTGTTGCAGTAGCATTACCTGGCCTTGCTGTCCAAGCTCTCACCTCTCCGTTCTGTCCATTTCATATGATCAGTGATGGCATCAAGGTGATCATCCCTCCAGATATCTCAGTGACTTCCAACTGCTAACCAAATGAAATCTAAATCCCTCTCTTTGGCAAACAAGGCTCTCTCCAATCTGATTCCAACCGTTTTACTTTTCACTTTCCACTGCTTCATTTTATACATCTTAGGTTCTAAGCACATGGGGATGACTCATTAGTTTGCCTTTCTTCCTTCAAAACACGTATTGAACATCTCTCATGTCCGGAGTGCTATGCTTGAGATTAATGACCCAGAGATAAAAAGGACAAAGTCTGTGCCCTCCAAGTGTAATGGCAGAAGAAGGCAGCCCATCACAACGTAGTGTGATGAATGTTAGGACGTGATAGATCAATGGCAATGCTAGCTGGTCAGGAAGAGATGGGTGAGGCTGGCCTAGGAGAGACATACCACACCTCCTGCATCTCACACCTCCATGACTTTGCCTCCAATGTTCTCTCTTTCGCATGCCAATGGAAGTCCATGTGTGGCTCTGCTGTTTCTGCCATAACTGCTGACCCTTGCTGCTGCTGACTTCATTTGACCACTGGTGCTAGTAGGCTCTTAGGCATAGAGAGTAGGGTGTGATAGGGGACAAGGTACAAAGTTGGTAGTTACAGTAGGGTATGATAGGGGACAAGGTACAAAGAAGGCGCTGCTGGACCACAGAGAAGCAGATTCTGCGTTGGGACCTCTGAGTGGCACCATGGAGGAGGGGGCTTTGGTTGGCCTTGAAGGGTGAGCAGCATCCCCACTCATGGTGACCAGGAGAGGCAGCTATTGAGTTATTTTTATCATTGCCCACTATCATTGTTTATTTCTCTACCCAGACTTGATTTCACAGTGGCCTAGTTTTTGTCTTGTTCCACCATGGATATAGCAAGTCGTTGATGTGATATTCTGTGAAATTGTCAGTGCTCATGGGGGAGCACCGCAGCCTAGCTGGGAGCGAAAAAGCTGACAACCAACAGCTGTCAGGGCTGCTTTTTCTTTCTCAATTTGTATATTTTTTCTCTCCTATTCAATGGGAATCTCTTGGAAGTTCTTACCCTGTCTCTGTATTTACCTACAATATCTTTTGTTGGTGTTTCATAACAATACGAATAACTACAAAACTAGATTATCAATAAAGACAGCTTCCTGCAGGACCAGGATTAAGGTGAGCAGGGGAGACAGGCTACAAGGAGAAAGGGTGAGGCAGAGCAGGAGGTGGGGAGAATGAGGCAGAGTAGCTCAAGTGCAGAGTTGGATCCTGCCTTTCTTTGGTATTTTGATATTTTGTTCAATAATTTATTTTATTTTATTTTTAAAGTTTATTTATTTATTTGGTTAGAGATAGAGCATGAGCAGGAGAGGGGCAGAGAGAAGGAGAGAGAAGGCTCCACACTGGCAGTGCAGAGCCTGACATGGGGCTCGAACCTACAAACTGTGAGATCATGACCTGAGCTGAAATCAAGAGTCAGACCCTTAACTGACTGAGCCACCCAGGTGTCCCTGCTCAATAATTTAAAAATATGATTGTCATGGGTTGATTTTGTCTCTCGGAAGGATACACTGAAATGCTAACTCCCAGTGCCTGAGTCACCTTATTTGGAAACAGTCAGTGAAGATGGAATTAGTTCAGTTGAGTTCCTACTGGAGGAGGGGGGGCCTTAGCCCAATTCTACTGGTCCTTCTAAGAAGAGGAGCAGGCACAGATATGAGGACAAGATGGCCATCCAGAGATTGTGTGATGTTGCCTCAAGCCCCACAACACATGTGTGACCAGAGGCTTCATGAGATCAGTAGGGGCCTCTCCCAGAGCGCTCAAACTGCTGACATTTGATTTTGGATTTCTAGCTTCCAGAACTGAGGCCCTAAATTCCTATTTTTGAAGCCACCAAGTTTGCAGTCCTTTGTTATAGCTGTCATAGCTTAGAAATAAAATGACTTATCTTGATTACTGAGGTTTTTTTAAAAAAGTTTATTTATTGAGAGAAAGAGAGAGAGAAAGAGAGAGGTGGGGAAGGTCAAAGAGAGAGGAAGAGAGAGAGAATCCCAAGAAGGCTCCACACTGTCAGCACACAGTCCTACATGAGGCTCAAACCCTTGAAACCATGAGATAATGACCTGAGCCAAAACCAAGAGTTGATCACTTAACTGACTAAGCTACCCTGGCATCCTTTGATTACTGAGTTTTTGATGCCTCCTTAAATTTGGCACCTGAGGCATGTCCCTCCCTTAACTCACTGTAGAACGGGCCCTGCACTTCCCTTTATTAAGCACTTATTATCCACCAGGCATTTTGCCACTCACTTTATACACATTATCTCATCTGATGCTAGTCGCACCCTGTGAGGTAGGGCTCATTAATTCTGCATTATGTATGAAAATGGGAGACATCTAGCTTGAGTATTCATTCAAATATTGTGAACATTTAAATCAGATTTGGAATTGTCATCCTCACTTCAAAATCTGATTTGCCATCATTTCTATTTTAACAAAGCACTTTGACGTTCACCTACGCCTATAGCTGTTAGAAGAGGAGTTCCAGAGAGAAGTCATATTGGTCACAGAGGTAACTGGGGTATGGAAGGGGTGAATTACATCTTGGTAGAGAAGGGCCAATTCAATTCAATTAAAAAATGTCTATCCAGGGGCACCTGGGTGGCTCAGTTGGTTAAGTGTCTGACTCTTCATGTTGACTCAGGTCATGATCTCACAGTTCATGAGTTCGAGCCTCACATCAGGCTCTGTGCTGACAGCATGGAGCTTGCCCATGATTCTCTCTCTCCCTCTGTCTCTGCCCCTCCATCTTGCACTCTCTCAAAATAAATAAACCTTTAAAAAGTCATCTCTCTCATTGAAAAAAAATATCTATTCAGCTCCTACCTCGTGGCAGTCATTGTAGGAGGTACTGGATGTATGAATATGGGTAGTTCACAATACCTACACTCGAGGATTCACAGTGCAGTGGGGAAGCCAGACTAAGAGGCTCAAGGTCCTGAGTGTCATGTAGCCCATGGAAGAGGGCGAGGAGGCAGAAGGGGGAGTTGAACTTAATTCAGCACGAGCTCCCAACTTAGATGCTACCTGCAAAAGTTGTCCTTGTCACAAAGCTTCCCTCTGGGGTGCATGCTGTGAGCCTCTCCCTGTGTCCTGTCTTCTGGTACAGACTCTGTACTGGATTAACTGACCTGGCACGGACAGCCTTGGGGAATGTCTGATATATATTGCAGGTCACCAGCCATTGCCAAGAAAGTATCCCTGGGAAGGAGGCATGAGTGGTGGAGAGATTCCGATATGTCTTTTAAAGAACCCTTGAAATTTTTGAACGGGTGTCAGTAAATCTTTAGAGACAGGAAAAAACTTGAGGTGTGTGACTTTAAAGTGGTCAACATCTGGCCACTTGGGTCAGCGGGACAGCGCCTGAAGCCCCCAGTGCGATGCTCCTTGGCAGAGTGAGCTGCTAGCTCTCCTGTGTTCCCGTAGCATCCTGTTACTGATCATAATTGTCATCTGCATTTCCAGCCCCTTGGGGAACTAATCTGTCTCCTCTTTAGAATATTATTGTCAGGGGTCCAATGTATGGTGGATGCTCACCAGGGGGCAGATCAGTGCAGAAGGTTAGGGCACGCAGGCTCTGGAGTCAGATATTTTCAGCCAAATTCTGCTTCTGTCCCTGAAATAGCTGCTTGACCTTGAGACACCTCTGTGCTTTATCCATAAAGTGAGGAACGCAGCTTGCAGAATTGTTGTGGGAATCCAGAGATATCATCGCATGTCAAACTCTGCACACGGCCTGGCGCAGAGCAGGTGCTCAGCACACACTAGCTATGATTATTGACAAGGCACAGCTGTGGCACTAATTTGAGGGTCATGTTGGAGAAAGTGGCCTTTGCATTCTGCCCTAACCAGGAGTGAGGCACAGAGCTAGCTAGGGCACTGGGAGCGGAGACAGAAACCCTTGGCTGATGTGACTCTAAATCGTGTCTAAACTAATCAGCAGCGGGATAGGCTAGGGCTCTGGCAGCAGGTTAAAGTCAGTGTTAAAAATAAACTGTGGCTAATAGAGCTGTCCTACTTATAGGCAGAGCTGCCACCACTATGGGACCAGCGCCTTGCTGGATGAAACAACACTGGCACCCAGTGGAGGCCCAGCTGAACAAGTTTGTAAGTTGTCCTTGTCCTGGTTAATGGAAAAGCACCAGCCATCACGGAGCCATTCATCCATCCATCCATCCATCCGTCCATCCATCCATCCATCCATCCACCCATCCGTTCATGGCTTGCTTACCGTTGGAAAGATTTTGTTCTCACTGACTATGTGCTTCCATTGAGTGAGTGCTTGTGACCTGATGCTAAGAGCTTTGCTACACTGTCAGTCTCACAGGCAGGTATTATTATTCCTGTGTTATAGCTGAAGAAGGCTTTGGGAGGTTAAATAGCTTGCCCCAGGTCACACAGCAACTTGGGGTAGTTTCAAACTTAGGCCAGTCTGATTTCAAAGTCTCTTAACTGTTATGTTCTGGAGCTACACCATCGAATATGGTGGAGACTAGCCACTATTTATTTATTTATTTATTTATTTATCTATATGTATATATAATTCAAATTTTTTAAATGTTTATTTTTGAGAGGGAGAGAGAGAGTGGAGGAGGGGCAGAGAGAGAGGGGGACAGAGCATCTGAAGTGGGCTTTGGGCTGCCAGCAGCAGGCCTGATGTGGGGCTCAAACTCATGAACCTCGAGATCATGACCTGAGCTGAAGTCTGACGCTCAAAAGACTGAGCCACCCAGGGCAGCGCATGGCTATTTAAATTTAAATTAAGTGACATGAACTAAGACTTAAAAGCCAGTCCTTCACTTGCACTGGCTGTGTTTCAGGTGCTCAGTAGCCACATGTGTCTACCAGCTGCTTAGATGGTGCAAATTCAGGACATTTCATCATCTTACAAAGTTCTATTGATTGGAACCTCGAGCTTGGAGTCTTTCTCCTGAGCCTCAGTTTAGGTTTCTTACTTAGAAATAAATGCAGGTTTCTGATCCACCTAACTTTCTCCTGCTCACTTGCCCTTCCTCCATGGCACAAACAGGTGTAAAAGTAGGATGCTTTATCTAGAAGTGTTTAGAATTTCCTGTATCGTAACCAGCACCGATTCTTAGAGGCACCAGGGGCTCATCTTCTTTCCAGCTTTTCATCCCCAAGCTGTACCTGGCTTTCTTGCTAAGTAATGTGTATGGGATGCTATGTTTTTTCCCTTCCCATTTCAAGATTTACTTAACACGTGTGATTCAGATCCTAGTATTATGGTAGGGAAGGGCCAATTGGGGAGACATGTTCTTTAATATAATACGTAATGTTAAAAACTCACTGAATACCGATGTCTGTTTTAAATTTGTTTTTGCCAACATTCCATAATCTATGGAACAGTCAACAAACAAAAACACAAGATTGGGGTCCACTGGGGAATAATAGGTATTAATAATAATAATTGCTAACATTTATTGTGCACCGATTATCTCACTACATCCGCATAATAACACTGAAGGAGACAGTATGGTTTCTACTTTTACAGATGAAGACGAAGACAGAGAATGTGCTTAGCATACTTAAAGTTCCCACAATTAGAAGCCTTAGTGCTGAAGCTAGTCTGGGTGTAAAGCCATAGCTCTAATTATATCTACATGCTGCCTCTCAAACTCAAGCTTGTGGGTCAGGACAACACGGTCAGAGTGAATTACATCAGTCTTTCACTCATTCATTCACTCATTTGTACACTCACTCACTCACTCGTTAGGCAGCACTGTGGGAGGTAGTGGAGATAAAGACAGGTCAGTGCCTGCCTCCAAGGAACCATGGATTAGAAGGAAATGTCTCTGCTGTTTCCAGTCAAAGTTATCAAGGCAAATTTATGGGGGTGAGATGTCTATGTATGTGCATAGGTTTCTTGCAAAAAATATTTGAATCAAGGGTGCTTGGGTGGCTCAGTTGGCTGAACATCCAACTTTGGCTCAGGTCATGCTCTCACAGTTCATGGGTTCTAGCTCCACATCAGGCTCTGCGCTGACAGCCCAGAGCCTGGAGCCTTCTTCGGATTCTGTGTCTCCCTCTCTCTCTCTCCCCCTTCCCTGCTCATGCTCTGTCTCTCTCTCAAAAATAAATAAGCACTAAAAAAGTGTTAAAAAAACATATATAATTTAAAAAATATTTGAATCAAAGCAGTGTCTACCAAATCCGACTTTTCCATAAAGACCAGAACCAAGGTGGTGTTGGAGAAAGGTCACTCGACCTACCCTTTCTGGGAGGCTGTGAATCCGGCAGACACTGTCCCTACTATGCCCATGTTCTCTAAGCCTTACCAATTCCGTGCATTGCAGCCAACTTCCAGTAAGGCCTGTAAGCCCTTCCTAGGAAGGCTGCTCTGCCCAAATGCCCACTGGGGGCTGTGTGTGTGTGTGTGTGTGTGTGTGTGTGTGTGTTTTACTTTTTTTTAGAGAGAGAGAGAGCAAGTGGAGGAGGGAAGAAGAGGGGAGGGGAGAGAGAAAACCCCGAGCAATCTCTGCGCTGAGCTTGGAACCTGACTTGGGGTTCAATCTCAAGACCCTGAGATCATGACCTGAGCTGAAATCAAGAATCAGACTCATAACCAACTGAGCCACCCAGGTGCCCCGTGCTGGAATCAGTTTGTTGCCTTGCCTTTCCTGGCTTCTAGAGGCTGCCCACGTTGCACGGCTCGTGGCCCCCTTTCATGTTCAAAGCCAGCAAAGGCTGGTGGAGTTTTTCTCACTTCTCATCATGTTGATACTATGCCTTCTGAATTCTTCCTCCACATTTAAGGACCTTTGTGTACAGCGGGCCCACCCGGAGAATCCAGGAAAATCTCTCCGTTTCTGCAAACATAAGTCCCCTTATCATGTAGGTTAACATATTCCTAGGTCCAAGGGATTAGATGTGGATATTTTGGGGAAGCCATTATTCTGCCTACCATGCTGTGGATCCCACTCCCCTGTGGTGGGAGGACCCCCAGGTGGCTGTTCTACACTGATGCCCCAGTTCCCCAGGGCATTCAGCTCCAATCATCCACACTTGCCTCTGGCTTGATGACACATCCTATATTTCTCCCCTGTCATTTTCTTAGTGTTTCTGGGGTCACCTGACAGGTATGCTACCTTGTCTCAGGGTCTGCTTCTGGGGGGGAAACAAGGGGGTGTACAAGCCAGTGTCAATTATGTTTATTAGTTTGTTTAATCTTCAAGATGGAGCCCATAATCCCCAATCATCTCAGGTATTTGAGGACTCCCCAAAAGGAAGGGACAGAAGGTGGTGAGGCCCATTGTGGAAGAAGAGGCCCCTAGGGAGAAGGTCTATGCTGGGACCAGGACCCAGAAAGACTTCCAGGGCAAGGAACAGATGGATATTGGGTCCTGGAGCCTGGAGAGAGGCAACCATACAGTGCCAAGTGGGCCGGAAGGCATCACTGGTGAGTAGTCCCCTGAAAACCGCAGAAAACACTGTCTCTCTTTCAAAGACTGCATTTTTGTCCACTCTTGGTGTTGCCTGTGTAGACTCAGTACATAACTGTTTGATGCTTCCCCCACCCCACCCCCACTCCTCCCAAACAATAGCCTTTCTGGGATCTTCAGTGGCATAAGCCATGTTTGACCTTCAGCCCTTACGAATACATTTAATTACATAAAAATGAGACGTACCTGCTGAGCAGCTGGGTCCAAATACATTGTCATCCATACAGGTTTCACAGGCAGCTCCCCCAAACCTGTCCTGTGGAACACCCAGGCAGATGGCATGAGACCCAAGTGATCTACGTCCCGGGAAGCCCTTGGATTTCCTCACTGACACTCTGGTCAACATTCATTTCTCAACTGTATCTTCCTTCTGTCCTTTCCTGAAGCTTCTTCTTTCTATTTCTGCCTTTTTTTCGTTGCTGGTTTTATGTTACAATGCAAACATTAATCCCTGCATCATTTTTCACTAAGAGTCTGAGCACTTCTGAAGGGAACTGCTTTTCCAGTCCAAAGATACAGAGGGTAAGTGCTAACAGCCTCATCGTTAATTTCACTCAAGAGTGAAATGAAAATTCTTTCAGTGTTGCATTCTTTTGGTTTATTTATTTATTTTTGACAGAGAGAGAGAGAGAGAGAGCGCGCGCAAGTGCATGAGTCGGGGAGGGGCAGAGAGGGAGGAAGAGAATCTCCATGTTATCTGTGCTATGTTATCAGCACAGAGCCTGACGTGGGACTCTAACTCACAAACGCTGAGATCATGACCTGATCTGAAATCAAGAGTCAGGTGTTTTACTGCTTTACCGACTGAGCCACGTAGATGCCCTGGATTTTGCATTTCAGAAGGCAGTTGAGGTCCATCCCTTTCAGATGGACTTCTTTGTATTTAAATTATCTGAGGCTTGCAGCTCACAGCATGTCACTTTCATGGGATAACAAAGACATTCTTCTCTTGACAGACCCACTGACCACAGAGTAGTCTGCTATTAGTGATTATTAACAGAAACAAAGACAGTAATTTATACTGCTCTGTGGAGGTCCCCAAAATGTTTTCACACATATGATCTCACTTCATTTTTTCAACAAATGTAAGTACATAGGAGTTTTTATCAAACCCATTTTATAGATGGATACACTTAAGGCTGAGCAGCGAACTGACTCTCCCAAAGGTCTCCAGTCCCTAAGAGGTCATTTTATTGCAGATCGTATACTCTTTTCATGAACCTCACTACTTTTTAGAGACTCCACTTAGCATATAGGTGTTTAAGGAGGGACCAGAGGTAAGGGGAGGGAGAAGGAGAACACGTCTCTGAACTTACCTGGCAGGAACAGCTTCCGTTCCCTTCCATGCCTTCTGCACAACTGCCCCTTCCATTGCAAGGGGACCTGGCACCTCCTGGGCACTCTAGGAAATGAAAAGGCTCAGATTCACTCATTCATTTTTTTTTTTAATGTTTTATTTATTTCTAGGAGAGAGAGAGAGACAGCGTGAGCAGGGGAGGGTCAGAGAGAGAGGGAGACACAGACTCTGAAACAGGCTCCAGGCTCTGAGCTGACAGTCAGCACAGAGCCCGACGCGGGGCTCGAACCCACGAACCGTGAGATCATGACCCAAGCGAAAGTCGGACGCTTAACCGACTAAGCCACCCAGGCGCCCCTCAGATTCACTCATTCATAATTGCTCGAAGCATTCTGCATGGAAGCATCTACTGTGTGCCAGGTACCATGCTACTAATTAAATAGTTAAAACCCCTGATGGCCCTGCTGGCATCATCCAGGGCCACACAAAGGCGCGTGAATCACAGTATAGTCAGGTGCTGTGATAGAAGGCATTGGACTATCTACTATTTCTTAAGCATTTGCTATCCTTTAGCCTTTTTCATTTTTATACTTTATAATTTTCTAATTAAATTATTCCCACTGCAACCTTCAGGTAGTGCTACTGTTGCTGGTCAGCAGATGAAGAGACTGAAGTTCAGGGAGGCCATGTAACTTGACCCCGTTTCACACTTTATTAAGTTGCAAAGCTGGGACTTTAGTTCTGCCCTCAGCAGGACTCTAAAGCTAGGACTCGCACTCAGGGCTGTAGATAGGGTGCTGAGGGAGCCCGGAGATGAGAGCTGTTGATGCTGCCTTGAGAAGTCTGGGAGGCATCTCTAGGGAGGAGTCCTTTAAGCTGGGGTTTTGAAGGCTTGGTAGGAGTTGGTCATGCTTGGAAGGGAAGGGTATTTCAGAAACAGAGAACAGCAAGTACGAAGCGTCAGGGTTGTGAAAGGGCACGAGTTGATCTTGGGAATAATATAAAGTTTGGTGGGGCTGGAACTTGGTAGCTGGGTTTGGGGGAAGTGGTGGCTGATGAGGGTTAATGGGATGGTTGGTGCCAATGAAGGAAGTGCTTTCTATGGCAAAGGAATTTTTATTTCACTCACAAGCTAATTCTAAACAAACATGGGTTCTGTACTTTCGGGCTATGCTAAACCTGAATCAGATCTTTTCTAGACATTTATTAGAGGATTTTAGTCATTCACTAATCATTCAGGGAATATGTACTATGTGCCAAGCATTATATTACATGTTGTGGGGGAGGGACATTTAGCTACAAAGATATTGCAATGCCTGAAACCAAAAAGAGGATTTAAAGTAATGGAAAATGACAGAAGTTTAAGGTACTGTGGTAATAAGGTTGAAAAACTTCTTTTTATTTCTTTCTTTTTTAAAAAATACTTTTAGGTTTATCTATTTCAAGAGAGAAAGAGAGTGTTCGAGTGGGGTAGGGGCAGAGAGAGAGAGAGGAGAGAGAATCCCAAGCAGGATCCACTCTGTTATCATGGAGCCTGGTGTGGGGTTCGAACTCATGAACCTTGAGATGATGACCTGAGCCGAAACCAAGAGACAAACACTTAACCAACTGAGCAACGCAGGTACCCCTCTTTTTCTTTTTATATTTGCCATTGTTCTGCACCTTGAGTGCAGCATGGATTTAACAACAGTTTGGGTGAGGTCTGACTATTAAAATAAGTGATCTGGACCAGCCAGCTCCAAGCAGAAATCATGCAATGGTCATGAAATGTGTCTGTGTGAATGAGGCAGGTCATATTATCCCAAATTAAAGTTAGCAGGACAAATGCCTTTCCCAAAATAGCCAAGGACATGGGGTTCTAGATAATAATAAAGTATGCGCCTATTTACTGCTCAAAGTAATCCTCTGAGGTTAAGTCCTATTTTTAGCCCTATTTTCTAGATAAGGAAACTGAGGCACAGGGTAGTAGAGTGACTTGCCTAGAGTTACCCAGCTGGCAAGGGGTAGTGAGGGACTGACCCCTCCTCTACATGAAGTGTCCACTTTCCAGCCCTGCCTCCTCTTCCGACCCCCACTGACAAAGCCCACGATCTTGCTGTGCCATACATCTTCCAAGAAATCAGCATCCATAGAAAATGAAAAGCAGTTCTTGGAAGAGACTTTTAACTACTGAGAGAAACAGTTCTCCTGAAAGGACCCTGATGGCTCATTTGAGTCACTAGGTTAGTTCTTTAAAAGAACATTTATAGGGGTGCCTGGGTGGCCCAGTCAGTTAAGCGTCAGACTCTTGGTTTCAGCTACGGTCATGATCTCACAGTTAATGGGTTCAAGCCCTGCATTGGGTGGATAAAGGGTGGAGACTGCTTGGGATTCTTTCTATCTCCCTCTCTCTGTCTCTATCTCTGTCTCATCCACCCCTCCTCTAAATAAATAAATAAAATAAATAAATAAATAACTAAAAGATCATTATAAATTGTAGGGGTGGGGAGATGAAAGAGTCTAGTCCCATTACTGTGGCTGGTGTTCTCTCTGGCTCCCCTGTGTCTTTCCTACATGCAGAATACTGGTAACCTACAGAGACTTGTACATTTCGAGTCTGTGGGCTTCCTTCCCACTACAGTGTCAGAGCCGGGCTTCAAACCCTGGCCAGTGCTCCGGAGTCTACACACTGATACCATCCATCACTATCCTACATACTCATCAAGCACTGCCATGTGGCAGATTCACGGCACAGAGGACAGAAATGTTTATGAGGTGGGCAAAAGAGAAGACACACGGACATGTAGCTATGATTTATAAATCACCTTAAAAACTATCATGTGGGTTTAGACTCCAGTACGACTCTTTGCTCACTGGGCCCTTTTAGGAAGGTCAATGCATGACTCGAAGATTCAGTTCACATGTCTTCCTGGCAGGCATGGATGGAATATTAGGTGCTCAATAAACGATGGTTATTATTTAAAGTGGATGCTCCCCATCCTCTCCAGTTCATGTTCATCCAGATTAGCATTGCGATAGGTAATAATACTCAGGGAGTAAGTCACTGGGTACCTGTTTGAATCAGGGCCCTGTAAGGTCCTGGGTATACAAGGTGAGCACCCAGACCTGCTTTATTTCCATAGTCCTACTAGTCTGGTGGGGAGATAGTCATGGATTAACAGACTCTCAGATAAACACTGGTTTACAAACTGGGATAAGGCTAATGGGGAGGGGGGAAGTTTTCTCAATCCACCTACTGGCGGTTACCAACATTGACACCCCCCAAAAACTAACCCTCAAAGGCCCAGCTGACTTAGATTTGGTCTCAATAGGGGGCAATGGACAGATCATTGAAGAAGAGCCTTGTTAAAGATTGCATCTTTATCCTACAAAGAGCCGTAGGAGTTGGGGATGGAGAGGAGGGTGAGGGCCTCACCAAGCAGGAGGCAGGTACACACTTTGAAGTTCACCTGAAACCCACTTGCATTCACAATGCAGAGCAAGGGGTGCTGTGAGAGTGTTTCCATAGATTGTTGACTATCAAATAGCTCTTCTTCCATTTCCTTTTGATATTAGGCACTCCTGGGTCTGAGATGGTGTTTTGGGAACCAGGCCCTTCTCTGAGCAGGACCAGGAAGGTAGAGAACTGACAGTTTTGCCAGTTTCCCTCTCGTGGCCCCTGGGCCTCTCCCTAGGGCTAGGCGTGCAAGATGCTCTCTGAGTGATCCGTAGCTTGCCCTTTGGACTGGCTCAGAGGGACACAGGGCCTCCTCAGGCCTGGGACCCAGCATTCAGAGATAGCTTGCAGAAATATGCTCTCCCGGGCATTTTTAATCTGCAGGCAATGACAACAGAGTCCCAGCCTCCTGTGCTCGCATTCTGCTCCTTAGCTTCCTCCCTGCATGAGTCACCGCCTCTCCCGTCTCCCATTCCGTCTGTCCATCCCACAGGCCAGGCATGCCCTTCACTCCACACCTTGCCTGTACCTTTCCTCCTGTGGAAACACTCTCCTGGACCCTCCTCTGAGGCAGATATGACTCTTTCATCCTCTGGGTATCCCTTCTGCTCGGGCCTTGCCTTGTGATAACATACAGAGCAGTGGGACGCCTGCGTGGCTCAGATGACTAAGGCCTGACTCTTGATTTTGGCTCAGATCATGATCCCACAGTTCGTGACAGCAAGCCCTGCATCAGAATTTGTGCTTACACTGCGGAGCCTGCTTGGGATTCTCTTTCTCCCTTTCTCTTTGTCCCTTTCCCATTCTCTCTCAAAATAAATAAATAAGCATTAAAAAAAAAAAACATACAGAGCAGCAAACAGGGCAGAGCCATCTATTGAGAATATAGGCCAAAGGCTGATTACAGAGTAATTAGGGTGCTTCTCCCATTCCAGGTCCCAAGAGTGAGATGCTGTCTCTAGCAGTCTGGGCTCCCCTTTTCCTTAGGAGACAGTTAGCAAGCCCTTCTTTTTATTTATTAATTTTTAAAATTATTTATTGTGAGAAAGACAGAGAGTGTGTGAGCAGGAGAGGGGCAGAGAGAGAGGGAGACAGAGAATCCGGAGCAGGCTCTGCAAGTTCAGCCCACAGAGCCTGACGTGGGGCTCGAACCCACGAAACTATGAGATCATGACCTGAGCTGAAATCAAGAGTCAGACACTTAGCCACCCAGGTGCTCTAGCCCTTCTTTTTAAAAATTTAAGCAGCTGTTGCTCTAAGAAGGATTCACTGGACCAGCTGTTTCCAACCACCTGGGGAATGAGGGGGTGGTGGTTATAAAGGCAGTTTCCCAAGGCCCTCCTCTCTGGGTAGAGTCGCCATGAAAATAACACCTCTCACACGTACACTGCGGGAGCACAATTTCCCAGCGAGCCTCCATCCTGTTCACGAGGCCACGCCTCCCACAACTGCTTCCAGCCCGTGCCTGAGCATGATAGTGATACCAGGGCAGGTCTGTTGCTGCAAAATGGAGGACTCCTCTTTTGGGGACTCTGCCTGAGTGCTCCCCATCAGCTTTACCAAATGTTTTTAGAACTACACAGTCTAAGACCTTTCCAATCTAACCTCCCTTGGTTCCCTTTCTTATTCAAGAGTCAGACCTACATCTTTTTATCTATTTGAGAAGGTG